GGACTTGATACCATGCGTCCAGTGCAATCTTGAATCTCCGCTCATCTGCATCATGCTCCTCGCCAGGAGGTCAACCTCGACCTTGTCTCCCGACTCACTGTCACGGAACACCATCATCAGAGGGGCGCCCAGGGACAAAGAATATAGTTGATCGAACGGGCTGTGAGTATCGGCGTGTGGCGGGATGCCCGTGCCAGGGGCATAGTACTGCAGGCACACCTGATCAGGAGCGCGGCTCTCCGTCGGCGGCAGGAGTGGCACTAGCCAGTCGGGAAATGGGTTATAGGGAGTTTCCTCGTCGATGCCAAACGTCTTGTAGCTGAAGGTGTAGCCATAATGCAACGACAGTCGGCCAGATCGGTCCGGCCACTGCAGATCATTCCGGAAGATGTCGAGGAGCTTGGCTTCGTGCTCGGGCGTGATGAAGTCCGTCTGCATAAAAATGCCAGCCGGTCGTATTGGAAGTTCCTCCATCACGGATGAAGCTAACTTGATTGCGCGTTAGGCCCTGGATAATGAGTTTCCTTTTTTTCTTCAAGTTTTCGAGAAGCGAAAATCAGGTGATATTTTCAATCACGTGATTGTCCGCCATCTTGATTGCTCCACCTTCGTTAAATTGCTGCTTTGCACAGGTTTGAGACCTGAATAATCGTATTGAAGGAGCGTATGGTCTGGTAAAATAAAATTGTTTACACAATAACCAATGAAATTTACTTTATCAAATCTAAGTACTCATATTATCAATTATTACTGTCAACCACATCAGTATATGTGCCCACTTTTCTGCTACCCTACAGCTAAGGTTAATCACGCTGCCGCGAGAGGAAGTCCTTGAACCAGTGACAGAGAAGAAAATATTGAAATGAGTATATCAAGGCGATATCTAGCTATCTCTCATACATAAGAATCCAAGTGACATGAAGATGAAAGAAAGTTCACTGGGGTTATACCGGTTGCAAAAGTTCTCGATCAGTTGAAAGAGTTTGACAACGAACACAGAGACGATACAGAGCTGAGACGAAATGTCCGAACGCGAGACTTTGCCGGTTAGAGCATTAAGAAATTCGGTTTAAAAAGTTGATGAAGGAGGAAAATTCGGCCCAGGGCAAACCAAGGCAAAAAAATGAATTTTATTATGTGCGGAATTATCGCGGGATTGAGGTTGGCTTATTCCTCTAGAGTTGAGTTATGGAAATAATTGCGTCGCTCTTCAACATGTGACTGCGGGTATGATTTTTGAGCCTAACCCGATGTTTTACATACCATCTAAAGCAGGGAACAGGCTGGGCGTGGTAAAATCAACACCGTCGACAGTGACACGAATGTACCGTAATGTTGCTCTCTTATGTTCAATTCACGGCATGGTTTATCAATCTCTCTTATGTAGCATCCACCCGAGCTGAATCAGTTGCCAAATGAAATCCCGCAGTCGGAAAGACTATGTCTTACCGAGGCTACTAACCCGGTCGAGGCCTTGTCGATGCTACAAGGTAATATATTTCTTTTTATTCATAGTCAGCCATGTGGATCTAATAATCAACCATAAACACCTTAAGTATGCACGGCTTCTTAGTATGGAAATCGATGTGTCCATAAAATCCACTCACACAGCGCCAATGCAACATCGCGTGGCCAAAGGTGTGATCTAACCCGTAATCCATTTGCAACAAATAGGCGAGCACAGCGCCCCTAGTTTGAGACGAAGGTTTGATCAGGGTCCTCAAATATGCATCGAGAAGAGGCCAACGGCTGTTCTAGACTTGGTATCCATTGCGGATGGCCGTCGCCAATGCCTTCTACAAGTAGCTATGTCTGCTGAACATCACATGCATGAGAGGGACGGAAGACGAAGCTCATAGATCAAACACCCATTCACATCTTATCTGATCCGAATCTTCCCTGTGCCGCAGAGTATAGCGGCGCAGCATCCACTAACGCTGCAACTTGAACGGCGCTGAAGCCTTTTGGGACATCGCCGAAGTCATCTCTTCTGCAAGACGACAACCTCTGCATACCTCATTGGGTAGGTAAAGCTGGTTTCCCCGGGCGCGAGTCGAAGCGCTCGGAAAAAAATCTGCGCAATTCTAGGAGGGATTTACCAACGAGATTTTTGTGTGCAAATTCGGTAATCGGCCGAGCAGGCCAGCGTATTCATGCTACCGCATAAGAACTCTCCTCGTTCGAACGGATGAAAATAATTCATCATGCACGAACGGCCTACGTATCAAAGTGCTTCCAGCCTTTGAACTTTCCAATGGCGTCTCTACACGGCCAGCCGGCAGCGTCAACTCAAATTTCCAACAGCCTGGGGGCGGGGGATGCTTCATTTGCCTCAACCAGTCCTATCAAGTTTGTTTTGACACTCATCGGCGTCTTATTTTCTTGCCTGGTCGTTCCGTTTTTGATAAGCCACACAATTCTGTGGCCTCGAATCAACTACATCGAAAAGGAATATCACAAATTAGTCCCTTTGACTTGGGACATCCTGCGAGGTAGTTCCGATATTCTCAACTTCTTGAAGACATCGTGCGTCACACACCATGGAGCCACACGTTATCAGGTACAGCTAACATAAAATCCAGAAATTTATTCCACCGCAGGGCACCACTCCTAGCCACATGGTTCAACTACAAATGTTATTTCGTTCAAGGGACCGCAAACATCCGCACCACCTTTCAAAACAAGTCCCTGTCCACCTTCTTCTTCCAAGGCATCTTCACACACCGCGTGTTTCTTCTGCCAAAGGAAGACTTGGCGCTCTTCTGGACTGAGGAAGACGCCGACAGTTCCCACCAGCCAACTAAACATGGCGCTCAAGAAGTCAGAAACGATTTTGGCGCCCGCGGCACCCAACACATTGAAAATCTGCTTGCGGGTGATGGCACAAAAAGATTCAATCCGAGGTTTGATGAGAACCTCGCTACAAATGTGGCAAACTTGGCCTCTCCTGATGATGGATGGAAGGAATATCCAGACTTGAAAACTGTTCTGGATATTGACATTAACCGCTCGTTCATTGATACGCTCTGCGGTCCACGACTGCTCTCGAAAAATCCGACTTTTCTTGAAGACTGGCGTTGTGTGCATGACAACATTACATTGATTTTCCTCGGGGTACCACGTTTCTTGTTTCCGCGGTTGTTTGGCGCACGCGACCGTTGCCTACACGCCATCCAGGAGTGGACGGAATGGGCGACATCCAACTTCCACCCAGATTCCATTGCTGAAGACGGTTCCGACCCGTACTGGGGTCATGAGTTCTTCCGCGAAAGGACAGCCATGTACATTGAGGTTGACAAGTTTCCCTTCAAGTCTATCGCTGCCCACAACCTAGGGCTTCTTTGGGGGTAAGTCAGATTGCCTCATGGGCATTGAAAAGCGTAGAAAGCTGACGGGATATAAACAGCGGCACTGCAAACCCCACGCCAGCTGCATTTTGGGCTGTTTGGGAAATTTGCAGGGATCACGAATTGCTTCGACTTGTACGAGAGGAAGCCATGGACTGTCTTCTCCCAGCATCAAGCGGCGCGCTCAAATTCGACATGGAAAGATTGTTAAGAAAGCCCGTTCTCCAGGCAGTCTTTGCTGAGACTTTGCGACTAAGAGTTCATGGAATCATCCCCCGCAAGACTCCCCAGGAAGGCGTCAATGTCCGTGGCAGCGTTATTCCCAAGCACACGCTGTTCTTCATCAACTCCACCACGCAGCACATGGATCCAAACGTGTGGTGTACTGGAGCAGCCAAGGACCATCCCCCGGAGGAGTTTTGGCCGGGCAGGTTCCTGTTGGAGGAAAAGACTAGCAAAGGAAACTTTGTATACAGCATTAGTGGCAAGTCTGGAGCTTGGGTGCCGTTTGGTGGTGGATCGCACATGTGTCCGGGACGGTTCCTGGCCAGACGCATCATAACTGGCTGTATGGCTCACTTTGTTACCCGTTATGACTGTGAATTCTTGTCTGAGAAGGCGGCTTCGGGGGCTCTGGGCATGAGTTTGAAGACCTTTGGTTTAGGCACTCTTCACCCTTCCGAAAAGGTGCCATTTCGAATCAAGGTGAGGGATATTTGGAAGAATAACTCGTGGGATGGCTCAATATATTGAATCGATTGTTGGTATGGATTCAACTGGCCTACTTGTGCTGCGAAATACCAAATTAGCAAATACTTCATATAGTAAGTACTTATTAGGATAATTCTTGTTGCATCCTGAGTATAAAGGCTGTCCTTGTTGAGTACCGTGTTGTCGGGCTCTGGCAGCTTCCATTGCTGTTGAACTTTGTTCTCTTTCTCTTACATTGAGTACTGTTACCTTGAATTCTCATTGTGTTAAGATGTCCGGCCTGGCATCTTCTATTGCTGTTTTTAACTTTATACTCAAACTCTCACCAGGTTACCTTGAATTCATTTTCGGTGCAGTCACTTAATCAACAAGTCCCACGCTAAAAGACCACACTGTTGCGCATCTAGGTCCTAAGCTTGACTACAAGCACAAATCCTTAATGGATGAGAGTTTGAGTACAAAGTAAGAAACAGCAATGGAAGATGCCAGACCCGATATCTCAACACAATGAATAATTCTTAACAGTGATTGTCAAAGAATTAAGAACAGGCATGATAGCGATATCTAACGTATCCATATTGTCATTTCCTCACTTTTAATTCGTATCATTCCCCGGAATCTTTGGCAACGGATGAGCAACAACGCCAAGGCTCGGATGGGCGCGGATTCCGATCAGAACCCTGAATGAATGGGTCCCGTTGCAGGTTACGCAAGCTCGTTCCGAGCCTTCCGTGATTCATAACTCTCGGGATCGGATTTACACTAGCGAGACTGTGTACTTGGCTGCCAGACAATGCACAGTTTCTTAATCCTATCGAGCTAGACGGAATTCATGATATCTACGGAAGATGCCTATCTAATAATATGATATCGTCCGATGTTCATCGCGAGGCACGCATCAACAACCACGATGATTTCCCGAGTTCGAATGGCCTTCCTAATTCATTTATCCCTGCCCTCTGATCGAGGAACCATACTATGAACGGTATGTGAATCTAAGGCAGTGACACGCTTGATCCTACAGACTTGATTAGCGATGGTATTGTCGGAGACCGAGCAATTTGCTTGCCTGTCAGGCCACAGATACGTCACTGCCACTAGAAATGCCACCAGGCCGAAGAATGCGAGTCCAATCTCGCCTGTGACGAGAATGACTGTCTTCGCGAAGGCGGTAAGGCGATGACGAAAGCAGGTGGCCTGAAGGTTCGGCATTCGCTCAACATCATCTAGCAGCTCGTTTCTAACCCTATGTGTAAGTCGTGATGAGAAGCCTCTTTAGACCTGCGAGAGTGAAGCATACGTATCGGCATCGGAGCTGCATCGAGATTCTGATCTCAATTCAATGGCCGTAGGCTCGTACTGATCAAGACGGCCGTCGACGTCGGTCGGAGCAGAGAGAGAAGAAGCGTCGTGAATTATTGCGGGCTTTCCATCGCGGGATGTTGGAGCAGCAAATCCAAAAGCTAGCAGGCAAAGACAAAGAAGAGCAACGGCAGCTCTCATTGTGGCTTTAAGTGTTCATGTGAAATGGATTGCAAAACGAACCAGACGAAGGTTGGAATGGCAATGTTAGAAATCGGATGGATTATTGAGGTTTAAAATGATCTCTCACTCCTTGGTGACGACGCAAAGCTAGTAGGTGCCGTTACGCAAGCCCCCAAGGAGGGAGCCCGTCATCGTGGGTGTTATGCAATTGCACATGGTGTTTGGAATTCTTGGCGAGCGTTGGGTATGATTGGCTCCCGCGTATTATTCTTTACGCCGTCCAGAGTCTAGACTCTAAAAGCTAAATGGGTGGGCATGGGCAGATCAAAATCTCTAGAGAGGGATTGGACTCGTGGCTCGGCTAGCCACTGGGCGTGAAATAGGTTAATGCTCGCTTAGCTATACAAATAACCGAGCAAGCCAATTGCTGCTTGGAATTGTAACTTTACAACTAAGTATACGATCCATCCTTTCTTGCTTATCGTTTGGACTGGCCCTTCTGGCATTCCTTGGGTAAATATAGTGAGTGTTATGGAGATTTCTCTAGGAGGGCCTGCTGCCTGAACGGGAGATTTTAAATCACATAGGCCTTTTTCGTCAGGTTATTCCTTCCGGCGGCCTTGTTGCTTTGTTGCCGTCGGAGTTGGGAATGAAGAAAACCCCGGGGATGCGGCCAAGATAAGAACGGGATTCGGGGGGTTGCAATATTCCAGCCAATAAGAGATCAGGGTGTAGAATCCTGCCGATAGCTGGTCATTATCTGTGCATGTTAAACCTTGATGATGAATGATTTGGTACTTGAATGTAGAAGGCCCAAGAGCTATTGCCTCAAGCTACGCAGCCGCCTAGGACATTGCCAGCTGGTTCCGTATTCACTTGAGTATGGCAGATTTAGGAGTAGGTAAATTAAAATTCTTTCGTTTTAATTATTTTCCCTGTATTTTACTTCTAGATTAGAATACTAAGTTTAGGGGCCCGTTCTACATCCACCATAAAAGTCTTAACCACCCACTACTTATGGCTGTGCGCATTCTTGAGAGCCGATACCGCAATTGACTTACATACACCTAATAAGCTCAGTCTCCCATAGATAAGTAGATCGCACATATGTAAAGAGGCTGCCGCGAGTAGTAGCTAGCTAGCAGATTTAATTAGATAGCTGGATCGTATATATATGAATAGGCTGTTGTTAGCCACAGCTCGCATACACACGAAGAGGCTATTGCGAGCCAGAGCTAATTCATCAAGCAGGTCAAATTAGACAGCTAGATCAGAGGTCAAGCAAGAAGTTATCCTCAGCAACTAATTAATATAGCCGAATATGTTGGATTTTGCGGGCCTTGGTCAGTATCAGTCTTACGCCTCAAGTTAAGCCATAAGCGGTGGGTGGTTAAGACTTTTGTGGTGGGTGTAGAACGAGCCCCAGACAATACCCTTCGTGGGAGGGGGCTGATCGCAACCGGAGTACGCGTTACGTTTAGTATTAGATCCGTCAGAACGCATATGGGTTGGAGGCGGCTCCAACGGCACAAAGCATAGGGTCCAACGCAACGTTGGATGCCCTCCGTCGGACGGTTTACTCTATGCTGTTTACGTTTGTGTCCGGATCTATATTTCCTAGTGAAGCTTTCCCATTCCTTTTTCTATTATTTTATGAGATAAGCTAGCCACCCACCACTTGAATTTACTTTGTGGTTAGGATGAGGCGTAGTAGCCGATATCGCAAATTTGTGGAAGACTTGCTCCAACAGCGGACAGAGAGGTCAGGCCCGTAGCGATGACTCGTCTTAATAGCAGACAGAGAGGTCGGGCCTATAGGAATCGCTTGTCGTAACAGCAGACAGATAGGTCGGGTCTATAGCTATCGCGCGTCTCGACGGAGGACAGGTTAGTCAGGGCCGCAGCAATCACTCGTCGAGACGGAAGACAGGTCAGCAGGGGCTACAGTGATCGATCATCCCAGCAGCAGACAGCTAGGTCGATTCTGTGGCGACGATTTGTCTCAATAGCAGACGGGTAGGTCAGGCCTCTATACGAATTGACCGTCTCAGCGGATGACGACGAGGTCCAGCTTATAGAGATATCTCGTCATAACACAAGACAACTAAGCCGGCTACAAATCGATCATATATCTCAATAGCAGACAGAGGGGTCGGGTCTCAATGAATTAACTGTCGCTACGGATGACTGCTGGGTCGGTTATATAACATAGCTCGTCTTAACATCAGACAGCCAGATCAGGCTCACAGCGATCACTCGTCCTAACAGGAGACAGCCAAATCAGATCCGCAGCGATCGCTCGTCTTAATAGCAGACAGATAGGTTAGCTGCTGGTACACCTCTTAAATTATCCTATAGCTATGTAACAATGCTAAGTACGATTTATACATATGTTCCTCCGCTATCCTATCAGCTGCTAAATGGAGTCACGCCACACATGTGGTGGGTGGCTAGCTTATCCCTATTTTATTATCCTTTCCTTGGCCCTTTTTGCCTCTCAACTCCTGAGGCATGGGATCATCAAGTTAGCTTTGTTAGCGGCTGCCTTCGCTCGGTGACCAGGATTCGGCAAATTGGTATGGAGCATCGAGTCGGTCGCCCTACAGCTATATCCAGGCTCCCATTGGGCTAATGTGATTACATAGTAATGCACGATCCCAGAACTCTAGGTTGCCAAGCGTCTAAAGATGCAGATTCCTAATATAGCAGGCTGTCCGCCGCGCGTCACTTAGCACCTCCAACATAACTCGCCAAGCATAGACCATCAGCGGTATCTACCACCGAGCAGCGGAATTCCGTAGAAGCCATTCGTTCAGGGTTGGTCTTTTTGTATTATGGTCAGTGCTATGTCAAATTGAGGCATACTGGAATGAATCCCCAATGCACTACTCCCGACTGATTAATGAAAACTCTGCGCCATCAGCTAAAAACGAAATGCCGGAGAGCAATTAATATATATAAAACCTAGCTATCCTATTTCCTGGAATTCCTACGTCAATCTTAATAAAAGCCCATGTATTGACCTTGACTCATTGGACTTGGCAATATGTCTTATCATACCTATTCCTAGTCTCGTCAGGAACCTAAAGAGGTTATCACCGGCGTAGTCTTAGCTAGTTTAGGTAAGTAAACTAGGGTTAGACAAACACTACATACATAATCAGCTGTTACTGGTATATGCTTAAAATAGATTATATTCTTTTCTCTTTCTATGTATGTAGTGATGGGGAGAGTAGATGCTTAAATTGTTAATAATAACAGCATGATAGAAACCTATAAATTGCCATCTCTCGCGCTCTATCGTCGAGGTCTTATTCTTCCAACAATAAACAAATAGGAAAACTATTATTGAGACTTATCCTTTCTTCCCCAAAGACATTCCTTGACGAATTACTCTTGTTCTTGTTTACGATTCATTCAAAATGCATTTCCTCAAGCTCATTCTCTCCATCAGCGTTTCCGTCGCTTCTGCCCAGTTTGTAAACATGGGCGGCGACATCAACGCCCGCGACTTTGATGAGCTCGACTCTCTCTCCAGACGTGATATTGCCCTGAGCGCTCATGAGGAGTACCTTGAGGCTCGCGACGAGTATATCGAGAAGCGTGAACTGTTCCGCCGCGTTAGACTGCCCTATCTAATCTCCCTCTTTTCTCATGTGTACCAGCTAACAAGGCTTTAGCTCGGCGGTAACGGCAAGTGTTACAAGGACCGAAAGTCGATGTCTTGCAAGAGGCTCATCGGACACGGAAAGGGTACCACTTACTGTGGCAAATGCCGCCCTACTGCCAGCACTGGAGAGTACTGCCTCTGCAACGCCTAATTGCAACTTACCATTTTCCCCGTGCCATAAACGCTCTTCCCATTAGGTGCTGTAAGAGGAAAGATGGTATTCAGTCTGGCAGGTGGGGTGAGGGGTTAGGAAATCCAGATTGTTTATGAGTCTGGTCCGCCTAGATTACCTGTTTCGCTATGGATAGAGTTCAACGTTATCCTAGAGACACTAGGTGACTGGGGGGGAAGGGGGTGTTTAGTGTAATTTTATTGGTATTAAGTGTAGAAATCATAACCAGATAATACGAACTCGTCTTCTACCAAGGGCCCGCGCTAGATTAATACTTAGTCGTGATAACTACTAAGCTGAAAAACTACGATGATTCACTATACTCTACCATATAGTTAAACTTGCTGATTAGCTCTCCATGGGTCTTGATCTTTCTTACTCCGCTAATCTACTTATGAAGGCTATATATAGGAGGGGTAGGGTGCCTTGATACTGTTGTCTCGCATGATGTGTGTCGAAGGCTGCGGATGTGTCAGTATAAGTGCTCTGGCCAAGAGGCTACTGGTACTCACTGGGTCTGTCGAAGTGCTTGGATTGGTGTAAAACGAGTGTACAAAGAAAGCCAGGTCAAAGGAGGTAGCTTTAATGATCATTCGATGAACCGCTCATCCTGACGGCAAGTAAGTCATCAGTATGAAGGTTTGTACACTTTTCTTTCCGCATGACTGCAACCTTAGGCTAGCAAAGGCTTTTTTTTAAGTTTCTCTGTTCATTATGTTAAGTTGTCGGGCTCTGGCAGCTCCTATTGCTGTTGAACTTTATTGTCTTTCTTATGTATAGGCGGGGTAGTAGGGCATATAGAAGTGATTAGGTGCCTGATCAACTGCCCACTATTCCTAAGTGCAGTTTAAGGCTGCTCATGCGCGGAATATACGACCTTAAAGCCTGGTTAATCGCTCTCAAAATCCGGGAGGGAGTCACTTATATACTTTAACCTAGTTACTGAATATAGTGTCTCCTTCACTCTCAGGGACTTAGATAGCGAATAAGAAGGTCGTCCCCCGAGGCTACAATTCGTAGCTTAAATCACTATGCCACAAGATAGTCATAGTTCTAGCCTCGAGCAATCCATTATAACCCACGCCTTCGGGTCTGGGACGCTATGTCGCGACTAGAAGTGACATTATGAGATTAACTAACTAGATGGATATGTAGCTTATCGAAAGAGCTCGCAAGGTTAACAGCCTGCTGAAGGGAAATCGTAGCAAAGTCTTCACCATAAAAGAGTACAACCTTTAGCATATTATCTAGGTATTATGACCTAGACTTCCACGGGTGGCATGCGTTCTTCTGTGCTACTAGGAGTGTGGGTGCGTCATTTTCCTTGTTGTCTAGTTGAGAGAGCTGAAGGTTGTTGACCTCTGCACTAATCGACTTAGTAATGTCAGAAATGGTTTCAAAACACTGAACATCACCCACCTCCATTTGCGACTTGCCTGGTTCCCAAATGGTACGTCCTCGCAAATAATTGATCAATACCGCGACTACATAGCCCATCTCTACCTCAATAGAGTTTCGTGATGCAGAATCCAGTATAAACTCCAAAAGCATCATCATGTCGTCGACAGTCTCAGCACAATCTCTCTGAATCGCGAGTTGGGATCTCCCACGCCAGCAAACCCGAACCCAAGAAAGCTCTGAGCTAATAGAGGCTATTCGCAATAGAGGCTATTCGCAATAGAGGCTATTCGCGGCCTGATATTTCGCGTTGGGCTCAGTGAAAAACAGACTCTGGGCTTCCTACGAAGGTAGGGTTAGCCGATCACCAAAGAAGGTTTGGAGCGAATTAGGCATCACCCGGACCGCCGCTGGACACGCAGAATCAACAGTGGCAAAGAACGCCTCGCGCTGCTGGAGAAGACAGAGCAAGTCATCATCGAGATCATACGACGGTCCAACGCCATTTCTAGATACGACAAAAGCCTTCTTCAGTCTTACCTTCGTCAGAAAAAGCAGCTCTGGGTACCAAGAGATGTTCTCTTTGCGATGCACAAGATCATGTTCCCAAACGAGGTCGAGATCCGGAAAAGGGGCAGCCTCATGTGCCGGAACCAAACTATCAGTGGTGCATTGACGGCCACGATAGGCTGAAGTCATATGGGTCCGAGATATACGCCGTAATCGACGCCTACTCACGCAACATCGTATGGTTCTATGCTGGTTACCAACCTCAATGCTTTCAGAATTTCATATACAATTTATGCGTTGTTATTCAATAAAACATTTCAGACATTTCTATATATGAGGGAATGTTCCACATCTATCAAAGAGTGCTAGACAGATAGTGGCATTCGCGAAGAGCTCGCAATTTCTCCATGTCCAATGCTGCCATCCATAGATACGCCCAAGCGGTGTCTGAAAATGGCACAATTGATACCGGCAAACCACAGCGAAGATGTCATCGAGCACACACGATCCTTACTCGGTCATCTCTGTCTGCCATACACTGTCCTTATGCTAAAGTCTAGCTCAGGAACGGCGCCGGCGATGACTGTGAGCCTCACAATGCCACTGTTTGCGACCCTCCCCACAGGGATTTTCATCGTGCCCGGCGTGGCATTCCGCTGAGGCATCAGTGGCCTCGTCACAACAAATCTCACAGCCACCAAAGTCATAAACTTCGCAGCCGAATTCTTCCGCAGTTTCCAAAAGCTCAGGGCAATCGCGGCGAAATAGCTCGGTAGGTGTAATGGCAGGAATGGCAACAGCCAGGCTAGCCAAGGCCAGCGTAAAGATATGAATTCTGACCATGGTGTGTCTTGTAGGAGAGGTGGGTTTTAATAAGAGTATCGAGGGGATGCTTTAGGGTTCTTCGATTGTTTAGGTTGAATCTGTGGTTGGGAAGAACGAAGTAAGAAATTGGCTGGGACTTGAGGCTGGATTTATACTTGTCAGAGCTGAATGTGAGTCTCCTCCTGAACTTTGCAGCCAATCGCCAATTCTTCAACAAGAACCGTAATGGATCGTCCCATTCATGTTTACATACAATCTAAGCATACCGAATGAATCGTATTATCCGGTAATAGGGTCACATCGGCACAGAAGAGGGATGGGTGAGCGGTTTGTTCTAAGAAGAGACACTCGCTTATTCACTGCGAGTGATACGGGTGGAGCGGATATAGCAAGCGCCTGGTATGGAACTAGGCATTAGTGATCAAATGAGATAAGAAATTTTGGTTGAATTTCTTATTACAAGCTTAAATACTCTATTTACCATGTATAAGCGACTCCCCCACCCCATCTCACCCTGGTCCTTTCCAGGTACCTGCCCAAAAGATTAACCTCGGAGATTGACTGAACATAAACCAAGAGCAGAGTTCATATACACGGTATGCCTATCCGTCTCACTGGTCATGCCAAATACAAATACTCGATGACAAGCAGCCGCCGGACCATCTTCTGCCTATCGTATCTCGGATTGGTGGTTTCCTTACGGAACGCATACAAAATTCCAAACTGGTAGTACCAAGTTCGTTTCCTTTCTTGTGATGGCGCTTATCAGTGGTAGAGTTTCAAGCGGACGGATTCAATCTGGGCTCGGCTAAACATGAGCGCACAAGTCATCAGCACCTTGATGGTTTTCCTGTTGTGGAAGGCCCAACCAAGGCCCTAGTCATGGGTATCTACGCCGCAGTCAGAATCACCAGCTTTGGCTACCGTAATGGCTGCCCAGCAATGAAGTTGTGACCTTGATGGACATTCTAGGGCTATTGTGATTGGACACAATTTCCCATCACATCTCACTCACAGCAACTATGGTTCGTATCCTCAGCTGCCAAGAAGGTGAATTGAGGAAATATTGTCTTGGCCTCCAAGTTTGATCACAAGGTCAGATAATGTGAGTAAATTTCAACCATGCTCGAGTCCCAGGAGTGGCTTCCTAAAATTTCCGAAGCAAGGGTTTAAGAGGTAAAATCCATGTAAATTGCATGCATTAAAGCGCCAATATTGTTCTAGTGATAGCTTACTGTAATGTTGGCTACAAGTGACTTAAACCTCCAAACCATGAGGTACAAGATACAAATAATAAGACTACAAGAAGGCCGGTCATCCCTCCTCAATATAGCTCTCTCGTTTACCCATTAATCCTTTCGTGCTGTCTTTAAAACTGGCATCTGTTAATGTTCGCCACAATGCGGTCGGTCAACGGGACATGGTTAGTTGCACTGGCCTTGAGCTTGATAGGGACGGCACAAGGTCAATCTGAGTGCAGGTAAGCGAGCTCCCTCAGATGCGTGTTACAGGACAAGCGAGTAACTAAGCGCATGACAGCACAATACTTAAAACATCTTATGCTGTCGCGACAACGGTGACGGATCTCTCGAGCTTCCGTTCGTCCCTGAACAGTCGATTCTCTACCCCAGGCGTCTCTTGGTCAGGCGCACGAGTCCCATACTATTCCACCTTGCTTACCGGCGGAAACGGGGTTCCATACACAGGAATATATTACTATGATTCTCATGCTCTTTCAAGCGCTGGGTATGAAGTCATCTCGGCGCCCCATACAACAATCAGTTGTCCTCCAACCACAACTCCCACGCTTCCTCCATCGCCAACAGGGTCCGTGTGTTCGCCCCACGGCGACCATTGTACGTCGTCCGCGAGTTTAATCCATCTTTTACCCGTGTGACATCTATCTAATCTTTGCTAGGGCATTGTGATCCTGTCGCCACTTCGACCGGGACTGAAGTTCCCACAGAAACGTGCAGCCCCCATGGGGATCACTGGCATTGTCCATCTGGTGTTCCCGAACCGACCACACCTCCGCCGACAACTACCAGTTCCTCGTCAGCTGTGAACGAGTGTCAACCTCACGGGGATCATTGGCATTGTCCATCTGGTGTTCCCGAACCGACCACACCTCCGCCGACAACTACCAGTTCCTCGTCAGCTGTGAACGAGTGTCAACCTCACGGGGATCATTGGCATTGTCCATCTGGTGTTCCCGAACCGACCACACCTCCACCGACAACTACCAGTTCCTCGTCAGCTGTTAACGAGTGTCAACCTCACGGGGATCATTGGCATTGTCCTTCAGGTGTCCCCGAGCCCACAACACCTCCACCGACTACTACCAGCTCCTCCTCATCAGCTATCAATACGTGCGAGCCTCATGGGGATCATTGGCACTGTCCATCTGGTGTTCCTGAACCCACGACACCACCATCACCAACTTCTGCTTCTACTTCTACTGCGGACAAGTGTGAGGCTCATGGTGATCATTGGCATTGCCCTTCAGGTGTCCCTGAACCAACCACACCCCCACCTACTACCACCAGCTCTTCGTCAGTCGTCAACAAGTGTGAGCCACACGGGGATCATTGGCATTGCCCTTCAGGAGTTCCCGAGCCCACAACACCGCCATCACCAAGTTCTGCTTCCACGTCGATTGCGGATGAGTGTGAGCCCCACGGGGATCATTGGCATTGCCCTTCAGGTGTTCCTGAACCTACAACACCACCATCACCAAGTTCTACCTCCACTTCTACAGAGGGTGAGTGTGAGGCTCATGGGGATCATTGGCATTGCCCGTCAGGCGTTCCTGAACCAACGACACCGCCAAATACCCTCCCGAGTCCCACAACTTTACTTTCAGTTACGACATCAAGTGATGCATGCACGATTCATGGAGATCATTGGCACTGTTCCCCCGGAGTACCAGAACACACAACGAAACCAAACACTCTGGGTACTACCAAAGCAACAGACTGGATTCAGCCCACTTCCAAACAAACTTCCTTGTCAGCTACCCAGCAGATCGGTTCTCCTACCACTAAGACAGCTGTTAGTAGTTTAAACCCTACAGTTGTGCCGGTGTCTGGTGGTTCGAAGTTATATGTTTATCGGCAATGGGTTGTGCTGGGTTTCTTACCGGCTATCCTGTTACTTTTATAAATTGATAACATCTTGGTTCTTACTCTAGAGAATAGGCTTGATCACTGATAGCTGCTAAATGTTATCATGTATTTCTAGATGCCATGAAATCAATTGCAACTACAACAGATTGCAAGGTAATTTTAACCTAGATAATCAAGATCAATTCCAGTTATAAATGAACTTAGTGGGCAAAGCATGCAAGATCAGAGCGGACCCAGTATCTTCGAGCATCTTCCAAGCTTCCCGGTCAGCCGGTAGAGTTCCGAAAATCGGAGCGAAACCATGTACTGAAAACTACAACCCTACCGGTGTCAAAGGAAGAGGTAAATGACTGTTTCACTTCAAGGGCGCGTTTGACTGTTTGCCGTGGGACCGCCCTGCACAAAACAACCACGCTGACGATCTTGGTGCAATATGATTGGCTGGTAATGCCTCAAGGCGTGTTGAACATGATTTGGTGGGTCGACAGTCTCCATCTATGATCTAGACCTATTTAAGTAATATCTCTGCCATGATCAGATTGTCTAGGCCTGAATGAGTAAAAACCCACATGGTGGCCATTCAAGGTTCATCGACATTGTGACGGGTGGTCAAACGCTTCTCTTCAATCTCACCCAATCACTCTCTTCAGCTCGTTCTCTTAATCAGTCGCCCAAGAGATTGCGTCTATCTCTACCTTTTGGATGGGATGTCTTGGTCCCGCTACAATCACAGACGTCGCTCTGGAAGCCTATCCCGTTTGCCCAACCTCGATACAGGGGCAGATATCCAGGCTTTGACTCCAAACCCCCTAGACGTTTCTGCGTGTGTCTTCTTGCCTGGTAATGATCCCAGCCTATTTCCCCTTGCAGCAAGTGGCATACATGGTTCCGGCGAGGGAACTGGACCTGGACTTAATTCAGAAGTTTCGATTCCCTTCCCCGCTTTGCTAGGGCAAGACTTGATGTCTAGTACTGACCAGTCAACAATCACCTGGCCAGTCTCCTCAGTTACAACGTGCAATGAGTGTTTAATCTCTGGGCGGAATTGCCAACAACCCACTTCAGACCCTGGCCAGCAGTCCTGTTTTTCCTGCATCATTCACGGCTACCACTGCAGCCTTGCCCACGTCAATACAGGGGGGTTTACAGACGATGCCGTCCTTCACAATGATCTCGATGAATTTGTTTCCGCATCTTACGGTAGCATTAGTACTTCAAACAGTGCCAGCCAAGTATCCGATTCCGCACCCCCCGCTGTGAAGATAGTTGCAAAACCACCGCCCAAGATCGGAACCCGCTTCTCCCGGGACTCAACGAAATTTTTGAACCGGTGGCTTTCTAACCATGAGAACTATCCATATCCCAGTCGCGAGGATATTAAAACTCTCCAACTCCAGACTGGATTGAACAAGACCCAGATTCAGAACTGGCTAGCCAATACTAGACGTCGACAGAAGAAGAGAGGAGACTCAACGAGCCAGTCACGATATGTATATCCTCGAAGCACATCCGACCCCATAGATGCTCCCCTTCGCCCAGGCACCCCGGCGATCAGAAGTGATAATAACTTTCGAAACATGAACCCACTCCAACGCTGGGTCGAATCACCGCCAGACCGTGAACCTGCCACCGTCAAAGATATCGCCCGTGCTGTGGCTTCCTCACCTCCTCGGCCATCAGGTAAGTGCTCGCATTGAATAGCTTGTATCCATACTGTAGCACCATGCTTAAACTAAGCACCCTAGATACGAACGATGAAGGACAGCCTGATGACAGCTTGGCCCCATCCGTGAATGATTCTTCCGCCAGCAGTCGCGGGACATCTAGCGGTAGCTCCCTTGGATCGGCACACTCTCATAGCTCGGGATCATCATTAGGCGGCCTAGCACCTTTTGCCCGGAAACGACGACGTTCAAAACGTGCCCGGGTCAAAGCCAAGGCATCTTCACTCGCGGCGATTCGACAACAACTTTACCAATGCACGTTCTGCACAGAAACGTTCCTGACGAAGCATGACTGGCAACGTCACGAGAAGTCCCTCCATATTCCCCTGGAGCGTTGGGAGTGTTCACGCAACGGACCACGTGAACGTAATCCTACCACTGGAAAAACCCATTGCGGATTCTGCGGCGAATTAGATCCATCCGACTCCCATATCGAGAGTCATCAACCTAATTCGTGCCAAGAGCGCGCCTTCAACCGCAAAGACTATCTCAGGCAACATTTGCGGCTCGTGCATAAATCTGCATTGATCCAATGGGTTGCTGACATTTGGAAGACTCCAACACCAGAGGTGCGGTCTCGTTGCGGGTTCTGTGGAGAGAACTTGAACACCTGGGATGAGAGGGTAGAACATCTGGCTGAACACTTCAAATTGGGCTTGACAATGGCCGAGTGGACTGGCGACTGGGGATTTGATGACGCCATTGTTCATACTCTCGAAAACTCCATCCCGCCATGTAAGAAATAAATGATGTTTCTCCTATCCAGCACAAACTAATTAGTACCTAGACCTTATCCACAATGAACGGACGAGCCCCTATCCTTTCGAGGCCAGCAATCAGTCGCCTGAATCTCCTAGAAGTGCATACGAACTACTCACACTTGAGCTGTCTTACTTTGTTGGGAACTACCAGTTTCAGCATGGGAAGCCCCCAGGCAATGCCACTATGGTTGTTGAGGCTAGTAGGATCATATTCGCTTCCGAGATTCTGTCCGTCGACGAGGAGCCTGGTTCGTATCCATCTTGGCTACGGGACCTCATCATGTCGGACCATAATTTAGCGCTCCAAGCAAGGGTTATGCCTATTAGAACTCCTTCCGAAGGCAGGCTTCGTACCTTGCAGCTGAGGGGCAAGCGCAATTTATTCGAAGACTGCCCACTAGAATCTCAGTTGCGAAGCTTCGTCTCAAACCTTTGTGAGAGCGGATACACAGATATCACCGACATCGAGCTTCAGAATGAGGCATGTCACATCATGAAACGAGTTGAGGATAGTCAAGCTGTAGACTCTGGCTCTGTGTTTAAATGGTTGTTGGGTCAAATACAAATGACGGTGACATGGCTTGCCGATTTTAAGAAACGAGCAGGCTTAGCAAACAGCCTCCATACCAGCATATCTACCACGGACAATATGACAAGCCTCCCTGGGGACTTATTTCCCTTCGAACTTGCTTCCCCTGAGCCTATCTCAGAAGCCAGTCATGGGATTCAGCCAGTACACAATCAACCCGAGGCGGCCTTCAACCTACAACGAACCGGCCGATCCTATCCCAGCACCTTCACGAGCTTAGGCCCACCCTCAGCTGCTTCTCCCAGGCACCTTTCAGTTGTAAATCCCCCCGATGCTGACTTTGAGTTTCAATCTAATCTAACAGGTGCACATGAAAATCTACATCGATTTGAAAATATCAACCCTGTTGAATCGGAACTATACCAGCGTCCAGAATGGCTCCAGAATGGAAATTACATTCTAAATGACCCTAATTTCCATCGTTGGCTCGGGTTGGAGCTCAAGCGCTGGGTTTCCATCATATCCTCTCCTCAAAACCCAAACCCTCGAATACCCTCCGACCAGGAGATCCAAGACCAAGCCCGATGGTTATTATATAATGAGTGAGTAATGTGTATATGACGCCAGCATCATGCTCATTGAAGCTAAAGGTATTCTTAGCGATGATTCATGGAACCAAACTGCCGCCGATAATCCGGAATGGCTCATGAGATTTAAACGTGATGCAGGCATTGATCAAATCAAAAACAGCAGTATTGGGGGTTCCAGCCAGACTTGAAATAAGAAAACATTCAATTCTACCGTCTCATTTCGCAGAATTGGTTCGAATCAAGCCCCACGGGCGGCAGAGAAGATGGCACACCAAAATCACCGGCTTCGGATTGTAGCACAATCTCAAATCACAATAAATACAATAAACAATAATAAAAATACAAACAAAGGGGTACAATCTCTTGTTCGTCTAAAAGTGCTCTTTATTATAAACAATCGATTCTATACCCAGAATCGCTTCACACAACCTGGAGATATCAAACTATGTTGTAGCCTTTTTATATCATCCACCAAGGCATTCTATGATCTAGCATCGCAGCAAAAAAGATTGTTTCGCAACAGCCTTAATGCACCGGGCCTGCCCAAGGCAAATCTAGCGAGATTCCGTGTTAAGCCAGTTTAAGCGTCCCCTGTTGCTCCATTGTATACGCCAGCGCCAGGTTTCCGTTTCACAAGACCTTGATCATAATGTGATCTGTTTGAATATCTCCTCCAATGTCGAAGTCGTGATCTCCAACGACCTTGTATCCGAGCCGCTCGTAGAATTTCTGGGCGGTGTGGTTATCCTCCCAAACTCCGAGCCAGATGTGCTTGAACCCCTGTTCCCTCGCCATTCTCTCCAGTTTGAGAGCTAGTCGCTTGCCAAGGCCCGTTCCGTGGCACGAGGTATCGACGTAGATGCGCTGCAGCTCGACCTTGTCTGGGATATCTTCGACGCATGGCTCGGTGCTTCCGCGCGTGAGGAGGGCAAACCCAACCACGGCACCCTCATCGGTCTCCGCAACAACCATGTCTTTGTTGGGGTCGGAGATGTCCTTGATGGTGGCTTCTATGCTGTATGATTCGTCGAGATAAGACTGAAGTTGAGTGGGCGTCACTGAATGCCCAAACGTTGTGCTGAACACTAATGCGCCCAACTTTGAGATTTGAGAGGCATCTTGTGAGGTGGCCGGTCGAAGTTTGGTCGGCACAGCAGGTGAGACGGCCATTGTAAATGAGACTAGGTGGTTAGAAATATTACGCCAGGTAGATGAGGGCCAGTGAAGAGAAATGAAAAAAGCACTTGGGCGTGATCGGGGAAAAGAGCGTGATAGGAAAATTTAAGAAATACCCACGAAAGACCAGAGCAGGCAAAACCAGAATACAATAAATGCAAAAATAATAAATCAATAAAATCAAATGACTAAATTAATTGATGGGTCGTTCACGCCGGTCCGGTGGCCGGACCCGGTTCTCTTGGTAGCACCGCAGGTAAGCGAGGATGACTGATGGGCAGAGACTGATTGGCTGGTTAAACACCCGAAATCGCTGGGCGAGTCAGTCCAGATGATCCCTCGCAGTCTGATAAATACCACCAGGTCTTAGTTCCAGATCCACCAGTGGTTGAACCGCCCTTGCATAGTTCTCAGCCCAAGTCACTATCAAACAACATTCCATCGAAGTCACCAGCCCAGGCGCCCATCAGCGATGTATATCCGAGCAGCCCACGCCGAAACCAGCATTCAAGTGCTGCGTCAACTGGTGCGGGACAACCCTCTCGGGTTCCTGACTACTGCCATCCAGTCAGACGAACATGCCTTCCTGCAGACAAGCCATATTCCCTTTGTGCTTGACGTCGATGATGAGTCCAGTGACGCATCAAAAAGCAGGCTTCGCGGGCATCTAGCCAGACAGAACCCGCACAGCAAGGCGATGATCGAGGAATTATCACGAGGTGCAGGCTCTGGCAGCGCTCTCGAACGAGACGTCCTCGTCATTTTCACTGCTCAACACCATTATGTCACACCGAAATTCTATACCGAAACCAAGCCATCAACTGGGAAAGTAGTCCCAACCTGGAACTACTCTGCCGCTCAGATCTATGGCCGCGCAAAAGTCTTTTTTGACTCCAAATCTGAGGAAACGTCGTCGTTCCTTGGAAAACAGATTTCAGATCTTACCCACCATGCTGAGACTTCTGTCATGGGCTACACAGGAGGAGATCGGCCCAAAGACTGGAAGGTGACGGACGCGCCTGAGAACTATGTCAACATCCTCAAGAAGAACATTGTTGGAATCGAAATCGAAATCGATCGGTTGGAGGGAAAGTTCAAGATGAGCCAGGAGATGGGAAAGGGTGATAGGGAAGGCGTTATCCAAGGGTTCCATGACTTGCAAAGCGATGTTGGGCAGAAGATTGGTGACACGGTAAAGGCGCGTGGCGAGCTTAAAGACCAGGAGAACAAATAGATTACACTGCGCTCATACATGCATTTATTTTGAACGGAACATTCTCGGGAGCGACCCCGAATGCTATCTACCATTCATGCACCCATATCATATCGCCGATGGAACTTCATCTTGTAGAAATGCATCTACATCCACAATAGTGAAGCAGAAACAAGCACAGCCGCTTGGGCTAAAGCAATGGAGATACCCAAACTGCCGGCAGAGCTATCCTTGTCATCCTTCGTTATGGCCGTGGTAGTGGCTGCTGGGGCGGGTGTTGCCAACGAGGCAATCTGGCTTGAGAAGCTGCTTGCCTTCGCTGAGTCAATCTTAATGGCGCAGGGGTCACCAGTGCTGTTCCCTAATTTTCTGATTGCTGGGCAAGCCCCTTCGTTGCTGTCGACTTGGGCCACTGAACCCGCCAATGGACACTCGGCCGCGTCCAGGATATTGGGGTTCACGCCCTCGTCGTCGATGGTGAAGAACATTCTTCCACTAACATATCTATCGCTTCCGCAGTCGTCAAGATCTTGGTGCCATTGGACTGTCCAGATAAGCGCGTGCAAGCCCCTGCCAGAATAGCTCACTCCCTTGTTCCACCTCGTAGCATCCGTGACTTCTATGAGGAAGAATGGATCGTCAGTGAAGTTTGCGGCATCATACGGGCGTACCCATTTGTCTGTATTGCCGACATCAATTCCGCCCGGGGTTTGCCAATTGCTGTAGGGCATGATGTACGCTCCGAAGTTGAACTTCCCCAACCGACTTGCGACAAGTGGCCTTTGGATCGCCACGACAACGGGGAACGTCTCCGTGGCATTGTATGTCTCATTGCGTGGGTAGATGACATCAATCTCAAATGCCTCGGGCCTAGTGGACGTTGTGGAGGTCGTCGAGGTAATGGCAGCCGACGTGGCCGTGGCACTCGTAGTGGTCTGGGCTTGTCCCAGACGTGGGAATGAGGCTGTCACCAGCCATGCTGCCGCTAATCTCTTTGACTGTGAAAGCGCCAGTGGATACCTGTGGCAGGGGCCTACAAGCCACAAATGAGGTTCTCACTTGTAGCGATAGGTATTTGATGAAGAAATGCGGCTAGAATCTATCGAAAACAGGGGGTAAGTGTACCGAAATATACTTGAAAGAAACATTCATGCGCCTCACGGCCAGACCCACTGGCGCTTTCACAGTTAAAGAGATAGCTTGGATGATGGCTGCATGGCGTTATTGTTGAGTCTTAACAGAAAATTAAGGTGGCTTCGGTTGGCTTTAGTCCATGTGAGTCAGCAAGCAGTCATGGTTGTCAGGGGGCCAGGTGCGCTTTAAATATCGGCAAACGAACATGGCCCTACATGCCTTTGCTTGGCAGTAATTTCCTTGCATTGGCACCTGAGCTCAGGATTCAATTCGATCTGGCCACCGTATTGGTGCGTTTCCGACGCTGTGTTGGAGAGCCTTCAACGTGTAAGTGCTTGATCAATTACGCAAGACTCTCCTAACAGTTCCGTCAATCACGATCAAATGCCGGGGCATCATGACCATATTTCATTTATCCTTAAAGAAAGGCTTTTTCTTCTGATTGTGAACCTATACTCACGCGGTTCTTTGGTTGCTTGGCATGAAGGATCCATGCATAATATCATACACAAGTACCTACTGTTAGTGGCTCAGCCAAGAGAATGGAAGCAACAAAGATCCATTGGAGTCTCGGCGCAAGAAAGATGGTCTCACGACTACCAGAAATCGGCTCACTACCCAATCGCTACTCGGCCAGCAATTACGTCTCGGTGGGTGATAAGCCCGAGCCTAAATCTTTGTTTTCGCCGTTTTAAAGCTTCTCTTTTCAGCCTAGGCATGTGTTTACTATGCACGTGAAGACTTACACAACGAATTCTAATTCTAGCCTTTCTCATTTTGATACAACCTACTCCCAAAAATGATTCCATTTAGAACTTATCCAGAATTTTTTATCTACGTCCGTATTTAGGCGAAGAGGTATTGTCTTCGACTTTCAATGGCAGCCGAGGTTCTAGACCCAGATTTCTGGTAATAGCAATCTCCCTCTAAAGTTCATGATAAGGCCGACAGAGCTGTGCAGACACGATGTAGGGTAGGCGGTTGATCACGGATCTCGAGGGCTGCTTCTGACGACGAGCTTGGACCCAATTGTGGGCTGTACAAGTTGCCATTTTTCTTTGTGGCAATTAGTGGCGAAGTCAGAAAACTCACAAGACTCTTATATTTGAGGTCTTGATAGAACGAATATCTATTAAATCTTAGTTTAATCAGAGATCCGAAAAAGAAAGGCTAGGTGCACGTGGTTCATTGACACGTTCAATGCTTTAGCTCGCCCAAGGACCGTTCTACTCTGCGAGAAGCAAGAATATTCTGCGATGCTCATGGAAGCATGCTGTAAAATTGCCTCCCATGCATAAGATCAGTCAACAAAGATCGCTACGAATGATGCTACAATATTTTCTTCGTATCCTCAAATAACCAAATTTCTTGGAGCAGGTAGCGTCAGCATTTGGTCACTCTGCTGTTCGCCACTACCTTATCACTCGAGCGATCGATAGGATTCGGGATTCGAAAAGATGAAACAATGGCTTGAGGGAGACGAGCTCCATCTGGCGTAAATTACAATACTAAAAGGTTACAAACAATGGAGCCATTTGCAATCAAACTTGAAATAAGTTGTGGCAACCGCAAAGCCCCGTTTTCGGGAGTTGGTGGAGTGACATGCTGTGAATCCTTTCGGCATTGTAAAGTGTGACAAATCGCTAATCACCGCCTACGAGCCGGGAACATGTTCGTTGAACTCCCAAAATAGCAAAGACACCATCATGAAGATACCAAACCAACTTATAAAAGAGCTGTGGCTGTCGTTCAAAAACAAGAACAAAATATCAAGTTCCAGTCACAGCTACAGCATCCCCTCCACCACCAACAACAAACAACACTCACAATTTTAAGCCGGCTTCTTAAAACATTCACTTCTCACACGTTTCTTTTCGTTCCTAAGCACTTCAATCATTCCTTTTGTTGCAATTCAACAACTAAACTTATTCACCATGGTCTCATTCAAGCAACTCACCGTCGCCGGAGCTACGCTTCTCACCGTCGCGCCTCAAGCGATCGCGGATCCAATCCAGGCCCCGCCTAAGCACCATCTGTCCCACCTGATTGCTCGCTCCATTGTCGATTCTGCACCTTCGGAGGCGCTGGAGCTATGGGCGCGTAATGATATTGACGGTGATGAACTGGTCAACATTCTGTCCCGGGCCGTCTCCGACGACGAGACCGTCGCTGACCTTGCGGCCCGTGGCTTTCTGAGCAAGTTCGTCCATAAGAACAAGGAGTTGGACAAGGCCAAGCGTCCCGCCCAGTCCAACAAGCCAGAGAAGGGCCTCCCCGCCATGCCATCCAAGAAGCAGGCCGAGGCTGGTGTGCGATATAAGGCTCCCAGCCGATCGTCTACCGGCGGCGGTCGGGCTCGACCTATCCCAAAGAAGGCCCACACAATGAGGAGAGATCTTGCAGACGAGCTCGACGTTCGTGGCTTTCTTAGCAAGTTCGTTCATAAGAACAAGGAGTTGGACAAGTCCAAGCGTCCCGCCCAGTCCAACAGGCCAGAGAAGGGCCTGCCAGCTATGCCGTCCAAGAAGCAGGCTGAGGCTGGTGTGCGATATAAGGCTCCCAGCGGATCGTCTTCCGGCGGTGGTAGAGCTCGGCCTGTGCCCAAGAAGGCCAAGACGCTTTAGGTAGCGATGGCTTAACGAGGTCAGATCGGTAATGCCGAGATCAACTGATCCCGAGTACGAACAAGGGATCCTGTAACTGAGTAGGTAGATATATAGTCAGTCCATATCTTTGGAACAATTTTCATTCACGCTTTGTCATTATTTTCATAAGAAGGTCATTTAGCTGCATATTATACATTCTTTATTTGTGTTTTGATTGATACATACTTTGCTTCTGGTACGTGCTCGGCCATATCTTTCCGGTTTTATTCTCCGGAGCAGTGCCAGAGGCATGTCACATTATTCTTGAATCTCAACACATATGAATGCATGTATTCCCTAGTTACTCACACGTTGATAAAGCTATTTCTCATGCTAGGACCTCTTCTCAGCCTCTCATTTGTTTCGAGTGCATTGCTAAGTAGAAACACCGAGCATAATACTGTCTTGACCTCGCCTCTCATCTTTGCGATCGCACCCTGCGCAAATGAAGCCTTGGTAACATATTTATGACAAGGGACAAACCGCTATGCTCATAAGACAATACGAATGACTGAAAAGAATCCATCAACCGTTATTCTGCCTGCCACCACGGTTGGGAGGAATGTTTGCGGTACTCTCCTCCACGCTCACTTTTGGTTCCCCATTCTGTCTGCCATCAGTGTTGGAAGGGGTACTCATGGCACTAACTTCACTGCGCGCCGTAGAAACCCTGAAAATAGTCATGTTATTGTCGCGACCCGTCGAGACGCGAGCGACTGCTGGCGTTTCTTCCTGTTGAAGAAGAGCTGGTGCTGAATGACCAACTGCCTCGCTGGCTGCCCCTTTCTCACCTTCCTCCACATTGTGTTCCCGCGAGATTTCTTCACGTCCTAGGAATACCTGAGAGTGTTGGAGCCTCCTCTCAAGATAGCTGGTGCATCGCTTGGTGCCTTGGCCATTGATGTGGGTGATTATCAGAATGACCGCCCACACGATTGTGATCGTTGGCAGGACCCACGAGCGCTGCAGGAAGTCCCAGACTCTATCGTCGTTGAACCAAAGTGTTGCTACAAGACCGACCCCGAGCCCAAGAGCGCTGACAATAATCAGGCGTGCGATTTGCCACGCCGTATAACGCCGCGTGCGGGCTACTACTGTAAGAAGTACCATCAAAATAATAGCACATCCGCAGGAAACGTAACCGTAGGCAAACTAATCCTCCTTTAGCTGGCGTCTAAACATTCAAAGGACTGTAGGGGAGTATAGAGACGGTGACGACTTACCACAAGCCGGTATAAGTTCCAGGCCGCCTCCTGCACTTGGAACTGGAAGCCACCTCCCTTGACAGCTTTGGAGGCGTTGGGATTTTTCTTTATAATCTCGCCATCGACCTTGATTCCGAAGCTGCCGAAGAGAGCATTCGTCATTGTCACGGCGAGCGTGGCTGCTGAAGTCAGGATCATCGTCAGCGTCTCTTTCGCATCGCTTGGAAGGCCATCCAACGACTTTTGAATATCCGCTAGAGAAGAGCCCAGATCCAAGCGCCTGAACTGTGGCCAAAAACTGTTTGGGACGTCAGAGATGTTGCGGATGGCTTCATTGATGGTGTCCCAAGTTGATACAATAGTTGCGGGATAGTTGTCAAGAAATTCGACGACGGAATGGTTTAGCGCGGCTGCGACGGAGGCGCTGGTTGTTGAGTTGTTGATGATGGCCGGGTCGTCGAGGGGATATGCAATATCAAGAGCTTTATCGAGCTGCCCCATGAGTTTGCCCCAGATGACATATTGCTGGACGGCTTGCAAGAGCAGCACGAGAGCAAGGTTGAACGGGAAGTGCAGTGCCGTCCAGATCTGCAAGCGTATGGGCTGGAGATGGTAGCCGGACCTGATCCAATCAAAGTAAATGAGGAAAATAAAGTAGATAGTTGCAATAGCTGCCGTAACGTGACCGATGGTCCTGGAGTCTAAGGCCTAGTTAATACCTTTCCTTCAAAGCTTTCATACAGGCGAGCACTTACCCCAAGCATCAGGATTCTTAACAATCGTGACCACGCTCTTCGCGACTTCGCAAATGCTGGCACCCAGGATCATTACCGTCATCAACGTGAGACGCTTCATGAGATGTGTTTCAGCGAGGCCGAATGTCGGTGAGACATTGGACAGTAACAGGCTAGCCAGCGCCTCAAATCCAGCGACGAAATACCAAGCCATGAAAGCGTAACTGTGCTCATCCTCCTGGAAGATGAAAGCAATTCCAAGGAGTATTGCCGCTGAAGCGACGTGAAGTGAACCTTGGATGAGGAGTGGAATGCGGACAATTTTGAACCTTCGTAGGCTCCATAACGTACAAAAGTACTCCGCTGCTAGAGAGAAGCGGGATACTGAAAGGATAATAGCTGTTTCTTCTTAGTATAGTATGGTTGTTTGATCCCAGGAAGAACTCACACGTCGTTCTCATCGCTTGCGCCTCCTGATCAACGGTGTCGAACTTGGGAGTGATAACTGTAAAGCCTACGAGAACACCCAGCTGAACAGCCCTCATCGCTCGTGCTACAAAAGTTAGCCAGGTACGTGGTCGATCTTGCGTGGTGTGAGATAATGATACCGAATATGCTATCCGTCACAAAGCGAACGTCGTAGAGAGCGACAATAAACCATGTCAGCCACAGGAGACTGGAGCAGAAGTTAAAATTTTAGCCGTTGGACGGAATATAGAGGCATATTTCCATACCAAAAATAGCCCACGTATGCCTGGAAACGTGCATGGTCAGTAACGTGATGGTTTTCACCAAAGACCTCGTAGTTCGCAGCAAAGAAGAGGTCAAGGAAGATCTCAAGAAGAGTTGGCTCTTCGTGTCGCTTGAGCTGGGGGGTATCCTGGAAGCTTTCAGTACGATCAGTCGGAAGCCCGTTAGTTTCGCTGCCTTCGTCGATCTCGTGATGCTCTGCCAGCGGAGTGTCGAACAAGTGGAGCTTGCTAGCAGCAGCTGTTGATGTGTCGCGTCCGTGGTCCTGAGTTCCGGCCATGATATCCAGAGATGGAATCAATTGCTAAAAGGCCCCGAGAAGCAGCTGCTCAAGTTGCGCGTCAAGGTTCTTGTCGTTTCATCGAGGAGAGCGCGCGTTGGAAAGCTGCACAGTAGGATCAAGTGTGGTAGAACGAGGAATGAAAATCCGAAGCATCCCGGTTCAACTTATTAGCGGAAATTCAAGAGGCAAGTCTGGCCTTTAATTAACTTCAATCGCACAAGCCACTGCTCCACTGCACATCTGATTTGGGATAGACTTTGAATCGTTGAACTGTAAATATCACCACTGGAATGAGTTCAGTGGGAAGCCAAAATAATGAAACGCTTCATTGAAAACCAGCTATGGAGCTAAAAGGAAGGAGATATATCCCAATCTCTGTCCACGCAGATGCAACGAGTACATAATCAGCTGTCAGGAGAAAGAAGTAAGCTCCGGTACGAGGTCGAGCTGGGCTACGTAGCAAGAGTAGCCGAAACTTATCAGCCATATATCGTCGAGGTACTTCTTCATGAATATCTCTCGTATTGATTGCACTACACGGCGATAGTAACGACATTCTGTGATTATGCAAATGATCATTAGATTTGAGTCGTGCTGGCTGCGATCGGACGACGCAAAACAACAGTCCATTCAAAACTGGAAAACTTGGATTCAAAGTAAGATATTCCATAGGATCAATAATTGACGGTTAGATATGTATACTCTCTGGAAATGTAAATGCTTATCTTGCATGGTTCTTAGAAACAATGATTCCTTGTGGAATATTGTTTGAAAAATTCCAATTGCACTAATCCAGCGACATAGGAGCTTTCCAACATTTCGACATCGCACCAAGAGCGCTGAATTTATACGTCCAGGCCATCAAGCTTGATCTTGAACAGGAATGAACTCTCAATCTCCTGAGCACGGGATTTGAGCTCATCGACGTCCCAGTTGGCCCAAACATAACGGTTCTTGAGGAACTTGGCCTCCTTGGAAGCAAGCCAAACACAAAATTGACCAGGGAGCTCGGCTAGAGTGAGACATATGTTAGAAAGGCTGTCAAGCATCAAAAGGGAATGAAATTTGGAAAGTTAACGAGTCTGGTACCTTCATCCTGGGGTGGCGCGCCGTGCTTGGCATTCATGTCCGAGGCCACAACACCTGGCTGGATATTGACGATGTGCATGTCAGGGTTCTCGAACTGCAGGTAATCGAACATCTTGGTTACAGCAATCTTGGTTGCAGCGTAAGCCCATGTACCACCGGGCACAGCCTGCATATGACCGATCCCAGAGGACACGTTAATGATGATCACATTCGGGGCGACAAAGGGTTGAGACGCCTGCACAACATTAAGAGCCCCGATTACATTAGTCTGAAGACCGTCGCGAATAACGTCTTCCTTGGAGGAGAGGACGGTGGAAGGATCGGGCAAGGTGCCAGCGTTGCTAACAAGAACGTCGATCTTGGCGCCGGTCTTGCTGGCAAAGGCGTTGAAGGCAGCGGCCAACGAGTCACGCTTCCCAACATCGGCCCTCTCGAACAAGACGGTGGTTGAACCGTCTGGGTTGGCAGAACGGATCCGCTCGGCGGCCTCCTGGAGGACGTTGAGGCGACGGCCGAGGATGGCGACGAACTTGGCACCAGCCTGAGCATACGCAATTGCAATGGCAGCACCGATGCCAACGCCGCCTCCCGTCACGACCACAAATTTGCCTTTGGCGCTCAACTCGGGGCGTGAAGGTGAAATGGACGCATAAGGCTTGTTGTGCCAAGTCTTTGTGAAAGAGGGAAATTCCGGGAGGCCAGACATGATGCAAGACAGCACGGTTATGGTTATTGGTGTTTGTTGGGCAGAAGGTGAGTTGATATGAGATGAGGTTATCTGGTTCGCATGCCGTTTGCCATGGAGGTTCCCTTATTTTATACTTGCGCCATAGACCACTCTCTACGTCTATCTGCTCTCCATTTCGTAAAATTTTACCCATCACTGTAGACCGGTATTGAAATCCGGATCCTCCGATGAATTTACTAACTCGGTGACAGGAGTCTTGGTTCCGGGCTCGGGTGTGCCTCTCGGAGGTGGCAAGGCGTCCTACTAATTACCCACCGCCTTATAAATACTCCGGCAAAACTGAAAACTTACCTGAACTGGCCTTTTTAGGCTGGGTCCAGACTGTTAGTCCCGGAAGCAGCATAATTGTCCGAGGACGGTACGACTCTGACATGACTAACATGTTGGGGATATTGACTGATACAAATTCTGAATCCTATTCAGGGCAATTTCATTGCTTCAGCTACCTACGTCGAGAAAAAACCAGCCACATTCAAATTTACCGGCATGCTGGATGTTCGTGTAAGAGGCGATAGGTACTTCTCGTATCGCAAATCGAAGCGCAATGCCCAGCCCGACTCTTCATTTTACGTTGGATCACAGCCAATTGAATAACTAAAAACACCAGTCTTTCATCTTACATGATTCTTATTACCTTTTTATGCAATACTGAGTAATGATGGCAATCGTGATGTGCACATTCAGTTTGAACGCGTTGATACCTGAATAGAGTTGAATCTGAATCTCTCCTCTTCTTCTCATTAGATTTGGTTGAATATGAACATGTTTACTTGAACGTTGAAAACATGATTCTGGCATCATAGAACTATTTTTAATCCCGAGGACTCTTCCTGAGATCACCATAAAAAGCTTGATTTATTTATGCGGTCCCGAATTTCTCATACCACCTTCTCAGCGCATTTTGATTCAAGTCGGCACATGCGTTCCGAACCAGATGGACCTGGCCGCTTTCTGGGAAGATCTGACTGCCAAAAATGTCATCGACAAGCTGAACAGCTTTCCTGGTAAGTTTCATATCCGAGAGCATATTGTCTGAAAATGGACGGTGGGCATTGTTTGCCGCCACCAGTATTACTGCCGTCAAGTACGCGCAGATCGTCTCCCTAGCCCAGGTGAATATAATCAGTCAATTTTTGTCATGACTTTGGAGGAATTGATGTAGTCTTGAATGAGTACAGGCATGAAACAACTCATCAGATCAAGGCATAGCCGCTTGGAGGGATGCTCTCGAATAATACAGCAAAATCCCTTGCATGTTCCACCAGTGGCTCCCAGCGGGAACGTGGATGAAGATCAGCACATGCTCCGGGGTACTTGCGAATATCTATCACCCATTGTCGATTCCAGGCGCTTGCCTCATTGATCATAGCGAGACTAGCGAAGCTCGTGGCGTGCAGTGAGCAAATAAATGGGAGTGCAGTAGGAGATACATTCCCAGCTGCCGACGCGGCATCAAATTCTGGCGCGATGTGCGATTGCCATTCTTGGAGAGCATTGACTAGGCTGGAAGTTGCAACGTTGCGCTCTTCTGGGCTCCGGGCTTGAGACCGAACGGAATAAAGGTAGTCGTAAATACCGCCCTGGACGATGGCAAGACGGATGCGGGTCAAGAAGAAATCCATTGCCACATCTCCATTCACCGTGGCAATTACACCATCGTCGAACTTTTTCTTACTACCATGTACCCCGCGGTGATGGTTAATGACAGCCACGGGCATGTCAACATCAACCTCATCGTCACCGTGGATAGAAGGACTCCGCATCCGCATGCTTATATCTTTGTCCAGGATATAAGCAATCCAAAAAACATAGGTGTGCTCTTTAGCAGTCTCGGTATCGAGATGGGCCGTAGAGGCACGCGTATGCAGCCCAAGCCCGCGAATCAGACGCATCGCCGCGCCCATGAGGACCATGGCCGGCTGCAAACTCTTAGAGATTTGAAGCATAGTAACTATACCAAGGAGAACCTGCGCGTGTAACAGCTTTGGTTCACCAAGAAGCACATCCGAAAGGACAGACTGGGCCTTATTAAGGTGATGAAGAGCAAGGTCCGTGCCATTATCGGTTCCTACACCGCCGAGCATGACTTGCCTGTAAGTAAGGGCCAATACAACGTTAATGGCAGCCCAAGACACGGTATCTCGGCGGTTTGGAAACTCGTAAAAATCATTGACTAGGCCCAGCAAGGTACCAGGGTGAAACAGGGGAGTTACTGAATTGAAGTGGTCAAGATACATCTGTATGACCGGCATTACTTCATCAAAAGGGGGCAAGTTCAGGCGAGGCGACTTCGAACCGGTAACCGAACCACCCGCGTTACTCAAGCCACTATCATCTATTGGTGACATTATTAAAGTAGGCTTCGGTCCGATGGTCGCCTTGGTTACGACGGGCAGCTGGTCTTTCTGTGGCTCGCTTCTATCAGTGGCCTCATCAAGGCGTTTAGTCAGGTCCTCCACCTGACTCTGCAGCTGCTCGACAAATGCGCGCATATGGGTTGGTTCGGAGGCTTTCCCAGCCGCCGGCCGCCGCTTACGGGGTCGTGACGGGCGGCTTGGGGCTTTATAAGTGCACTCTGACATGTAGGCGACACACTGGGAGCATCGTGGCTGTTGTCGATCACATTTTATCTTGCGGAGATAGCACTTGTCGCAGGTCTATGACACGAATGATCATGCTTAGCAAACATCCAGCCAAGGCAACATGTATTTACCGATCGACCATTTGGCTGGCTCACCTTCCTTAGTGGAGTCGGAGCATGTGTTGGAGCCTCCATCAGGAGATAGCCAACAAATTACTCGCTGTTGGGGTTCGTTTTTCGGTTATGATCCTTGAACTTTCTGGATCGGGCGGTATTCGGTGATTTGGTCCGGCAAGAGAAAGCTTGGGGAACGGAATGAGGAGAAGGTATTGCGGTCAACATTTGTAAGGCTTCGGCAGTCCGGAGATGGTCCGGTTTGATGGATGCTTCCGCGGAGGCAAGATGACAAATGGACCAGTAAGCTAGTAATCGAGAGTGCAGCCGTCAATGTTCCGGAACCTCAAATGATAATCTACTTAAAGCTCCGAGCCCCAGTGAGTTCCACGCTCGAGGCTCCGAGTGTGGAATCTCAGGGTAGGATTATCACCCATGTAGGATGCAGGCCATGGTGAAGTTGATATGTGAGTAGAGCGGGCAGTGTTGAGTAGGCTTTATAGAGCGTTCGTTCACGCATCAATTCAGGAAATTGTCTGCCATGAGAGCCCCCTTCGTGTACATTGTGTTATTGCATTATCCAGCCCCTACCCTCTGATATTGTTCCGTAAAGATGTCAGATCTCAACGCTGAAAAAGCGGTAGCCGATCCGCCTCAGTTGCAAAACCCCGGAGAGAAGCATCCCGAGAAGACAGGATCTCAAGACTTGACCGATGGTTCGCAAGACACCCAGAGCCCAGGGACAACCGTGGATGAGGAACCGGTAAGGCAGATTCGCGGCTTTCGCTGGTTCGCGATGTGCATCTCCATTTACATCACCTGCTTCCTCTACGGACTCGATACCACCATTGCAGCCGATGTACAAGGTCCCGTCGTCAAGGCCTTCGGCCACATCGAGCAGCTCACCTGGCTCGGCGCCGGCTTCCCCCTCGGCTCCGTTGTGGCTGTCCTCCCCGTCGGTGCACTCTACAAAATGTTCAATATCAAATGGATCTTCATCATCTCCGTCATCCTCTTCGAGGTTGGGTCCGCTCTGTGCGGCGGTGCACCCAGCATGAGCGCCCTCATCGTCGGCCGTGTCATCGCCGGCGCCGGCGGCAACGGCATCTACCTCGGAGCCCTCGTCTACTACTCGCTGCTGACGACCCCCAAGGAGCGCGGCCTGTATATGTCCCTCATCGGCTTCTGGTGGGGGATCGGTGCAGTTCTCGGCCCCGTCATCGGTGGCGCCTTTTCCGTTTCTGCCGCGACCTGGCGCTGGGCCTTTTATATCAACCTCGTCCTCGGTGCGGTTGCTGCGCCGGCCTACGTTTTCTACCTACCCTCTCACCACCCTTCCCGTGGCATAACGGTTAAGGATCGTCTGGCACGCCTGGACTGGGTTGGGTTCATCCTCGGGTCTGGCGTGTGGACGTCGTTCCTTCTGGCCCTCACAATGGCCGGTGGGCAGTGGCCATGGAAGGACGGGCGCACCATCGCGACCTTTATCTGCTTCGGCCTTTCGCTGGTGCTTTACGCTGTGCAGCAGGGCGTTCCACTCTTCGTCTCCGTCGAGAATCAATCGTTCCCAGTCTATTTGCTTCGTCAACGTACCCAAGTGCTCCTCTATATCACAACTGCGGCCGGCATCACATCCCTCTTTGTGACAGTCTACTTTATACCTCTCTATTTTCAGTTTGTCCAAGGAGACAGCGCTCTAGTAGCCGCTGTGAGATTGCTCCCGTTCCTGGCCGTGTGCATTACTATCAATCTCCTCTCTGGATACTTCTTAAGCACCATCCAGTTTTATATGCTAATGTACATCATCGCTTCAATTTTCATCACCATTGCAGGTGCTCTCTTAGCTGTTTATCTTCATCCGCAGACTCCGACGGGAGCGATCTACGGCCTGTTGGTTGTTCTTGCCCTTGGCACCGGCCTGGTCATGTTGTCTGGTTTCGCTGTCACGACCCTAACCGTCGCGCCGCAGGACTCCGGGTCTGGCCTTGCTCTCCAGAGTGTTTCCCAGATAGGTGCTCAGGTCATTGCCTTAGCCATCGCTGGCCAGGTGTTTCGTTCAACCGCTACCAGGAACCTGCAGTCTGTCATGGCCGGTCAGGGATTCTCGGATGCCGACATTCAAAGCATCATCTCCGGTGCATCTAGTACCCTATTCGAGCACTTAGAGGACGACTTGCGTTCGAGGGCTACAGAAGCTGTCACGGATGCGATGAAAATTACGTTCTTGCTTGTTCCCATTGCAGGTGGCGTCATGTTTCTCGCCGCTCTCTGTATGAAACGCGAGAGGCTCTTTGGCCATGCCGTCGCTGTTGGCGGTTGATCCTAGTGCCATGAATTCCTAATTATTCCATGCCTCTGTCCTCATTCATTCAACAATGGAGGGGTTGGGAGACGGGGGGGTATGTACACTTATGAGCTGCAGTGTTCTACGCACGCATAAGGCTACCAAACGGCACTTTTACAAGCATCTAAGATTCTTTTCTTCTACTTATATAGAGACCATTACCCTTGAACTAGACTTCATGTCTCAGAATTAGACTTAGCATTTTAGATGTCCTCTTTTAGGTTGACAACCCCAGAGCCCCTTCCTCGGTGTCATTGAGAAACGGAAGCTAATTTAAGCATATGGCTAACTCTATGTCTATCATCTCGAGATTGAATACTATTATCCAATCACTTGTTTTTTACGGCTTTTGTAAACCTGAGAACCAAATACCAAGCCGCATAGGACAACACGACTGAAATCACAGCTGACACGACAAATATCCAGATATGGGGAGAGAAAAATATCAGCCTATCGTCACCCATTCCAATCATGTTCATTCCCCAGAAGCCCTATGATGCCGCAGTGTGTCAGTTGCGTCTAAGCAAAACACAGTGCTTGCTCCACTTACAGATACGAAAGTGATAGGAAGGAAAAAGAGTGTGAGGTTGGTGACGAATTTTGTCAGGTCTTTTGATTCATCACGAGATTCTTCAAGAAGTTCCTGGTTGATCTTCAACTGCAAGACGTTGACCATGTTGTCCGCCTATGAGTAAATTAGGTATAAGTACCAATTGGGCAAACAACCTGTTCTTGGCGAAGCATTACTCACCAACTTGATTTCATTTTCAACTCTTTTGGAAAAGACGTCGGCTCTGTTCTTCAGATTCTCAAGGAAGCCGGAGGAAAATCGTATGCCAGATATAGTATTAGTCAGGCGCATTGAAGATGCCGTTGCGGGTTCTGCTGAGTGGACTTGCGACTCGGCCTGAAGCAGGACCGTGCTGGTTGTTCTCATCGCTACCTCGAGAGTTTCGCACATGTGCAGAGTGTGACGTGAAAGTTCGAACAGCTCCTCGTGGCCATCTCCGACATCCGTGAAATTTTTGCCGCCAGCTGACGGCTGCAGTGCCATGGTGCGTTGCACAACCCGGACACGAGTCTTTCATGGGTTTTGTTAGTTGAATGCCTTCATACTAAGCAGTTACGCTACTTGCCTTTTCAATAGTGCGAATCGGCACCCGAAACAGCCAGAGTGCCTTGTTATACTGCCAGATGATGACACGCAGGAGAGCGTCATAAACTGCGTATGGGTTGTCCTTGATGTTTGCCAGAGGGTATTGCCTGAACCCTTTTACGATCTCGCTTTGTATTTCCTCTGACCCATCGTAGCAAACAAGGACGCAAGACACTTTCTTAGTATGGTGATTTCTGACCCATAGGACGGAGAAGGATAAGAACAGCCAGCGGTTATATTGCACCGTCGCATCCTCATCTGGCCCCAGGAACTTGATTAAGAAGCGAGTTGCGTAGCCTTGTGTGAACCGTCCTGTTAATATTGAGGAGTGATAGAGCTGGAGATGCTGCTTCAACACATACTGTTAATCTCCTGGCTCTGAGATCGGCAAACTTGTTGATCGATAAAGAAGCCGTTTGAATTCCATGCCTGATGCGTCAAGAAGAAGGGCTCTAGATGGAGCTTCTCTTCGAGGTCTCTGCATAAATCAGCATCACCAACCAAGCCCTGGCCCTCTGCGTCGCCTGCTACATGGGGAAGAAAGCTACCACAAGGGTCAGCATGATCAGATTTCACATTGAATGAAAGAACGATACTCACTAAATCTGAAGCTCGTCCTCCTATTGGCTTGTTAGACATTAATCAGTTTGATGTCAAGAGAAGAAACTTGCCTCACTGAGTTGGGGTGAGACGTGCTCAAGCAGCGTATCAATTGTGACCAACTCAGATCCTACAACTGCCTGGCCCTCTGCATTTCCCAGCCTTCAAGATTGGTAAGTGGTCTTGTCGGGCTTCTGTTTTTTTGAGACGGTGAGCTTACCTTAGCCTCGCTCGCTTGACAGCATGTGCTCTCATTGAAGAAGGACTCTCTCCTTCTGTTGTCGCCTGGACAAGTAGCGACGGTCCTTTCAAGGTAGAGGGAGCGCTCATGTTGGGAAACTGAGTCTGTGGACAACCAGTGTTGTGGGTGGTTGGACGCGCTACAGCTGATGGTTGTTTGTCTGTCATTTTATAAAATGCTTCTGCTTTTGGACCGGGTTCTGTAACTGCTTGTCATTGGCAGCGTCTTCATGTATCCTGCAGGGGGCTGGGGCCCAGCGCTTAGCCCTGCGACTTTGGACGGAGGTTTCAGCCTCAAGCCCATTGCTGACCGCGTTTCGTGTTGATTACCATCCGCTGTCTCTTCTGACAGAACATAACAGCTGTCTGGGATGACGGAAATGCGCTGGCGGCAACAACTCACATAGCTTCTACGCCGAATACACGCGACCGACATCAACAACCACCGTTTCATCATAGGAATCTCCCATTTTACACGTGCCGGAAGCATGCCACACGATTATCAGCGATTTTTTCACGGCCCGACGACCACGTAGTCGAAGCTGTCTACAGCATGAACTTCATTCTCCCTGGTTCAAGTCAAGTTCATGTCATGTATGCGCCAGATCCTACTTTTGATTGATACCATGAGTTCCTTACATCACCCATCAAGTTGGGGATGGCTCAGGCTTCAAGAAGAAGCTTCTCGCATTCCAGACTCTACAAGGCAGCGGCGGGGAAGGAGCACAGTACCTTCGCTGTCTATTTCTACATGGTGATCGTCCTCTCCACCGTCATCGCCTACATCGTCGTCAGCTTTTCCCGGGATCGACTCTTGGGATAGCACACCCTGAGCAAGAAGCACTTTCGCCAACTGCACCTGCCATGGATCATCGCTGGGACGTACAAGGCAATGGTGGAAAAGCGAGCATCTCATTGCCTTGGGCGAATCAATGGGTTGCCCCCACGCTACAGGAGATACATTGGGTGTCTGCCCTGCCACCGCGTCGATATGCAACCCTCGGTCGAGGAAGCCATCAATCGCATCTTTAATCAAGAGTGATGCGTCCATGCAGACGTCTCGGCCGAATAACAAGACACGTGCATATGCACTTCAATGCGCCGACCTCGTTGTGCAGCAAACAGTCAAAGACTTTCACGTGCCCATTCAATACATCGATATAGGGTGCATAGAAATAATAGGTGAGCCCATGATCTTGGTTGTCAACACACCCCTCTCCGGTTCATTGTTATCGTCGCTCGGCCGATCTCCGTCGAAGTGGGCGCCATTGAAGTGCATGATTTCGATCGTGTCTAAATTGCCAGATGCAGCGGCCGGAGTCATCACTCATACGGCCGTCTTTGAGGTTACGACGATACAAGGGCGGATGTAGGGCGCTTGCAAATATCGGCTGGAACGCGTCAGGGCTGGATGCGTCGACGCGTAATTTGAAGCCAGCTTCTCGCCGCGTGGTGAAGCGGGGCCCCATTGGGAGACTTCCACATTGTGGCATAATCTTGACGGGAAAGTCTATAAATGAAGGCAAGGCAAGACCTTCGGAGGCCCAGCCGCTCAGTGTTGTCGTTGTAGTGAGAGTGAGAATGTCCAAACAGTTGAAGTGGAATGAAGCCAAGAGGACTGGGACAATGTTATTGCTTGCCTGATTCGCTCATTTTCCCAACCGCTTCTGCCTACCCTAAAGCCGCATGACAACGTCATCGCAACGACTTCATCTCTTATTAACGTCATTAAAGGAAGGGTACAATTACAGAAAACCTAAAGCTGTAGTAATTTAGTATTTGATGAAGTTCTTCGCCAGTTAGCAACACGGTATCAAAATGTGGCGTTAGTGTTTCAAACACAGGTCATTGATCAGGAAGTCTGCATCGGATATACAGATGGTTAACGAAGTGTGTCCATGCTCCCCAAAGCTACAGTAGTCACGCAGCAGTGCAGAAAATCGAATTTGTTTGATATACGTGTGCTCACAATCTAATCGATATAACAATTATTGCTAGTCTTCAAGATAAAAAGGGAACATTCAATGTTGAAGAGGATGCGGGGGATCTGAAGAATCCACACTCCGCCCCAAAGCGGGAACGGCATGGTGTCGTAATTCAGTGGTGATGACAAATTCAACGCTTGTCGGGATTTAACCTATCAGGAATTTTATGGTCTGTCTGATTATAAATGGCTGGCTTGGATTGATGTGTTCTCTTGTTATCTCCGAAATTTTTGGTGAGTATAAAGCAAACGTTGTTGCCCTCATCCCATGAGACAGGTCATCAATTAACTGATAACCCGAGAAGGATAACCCCGTTAACTCCTTGTTTTCTCGCAACCCCACACGAACTTCCCTTTGAGCTAATTTCTGCAACACTTGCTCTATAAATTTCTAAACATGGCGAACAAGGCGATCGTTTACGTCGAGAAGGGCAAAGCTGCCATTCAGGAGGTGTCCGTACCTCAACTGCGTGACGACTATGTTTTGGTCAAGGTCAATGCTGTCGGTGTGAACCCCACCGACTGGAAGCATGTTGATTTCGGCATCACAAACCCTGGATCGCGAGTTGGATGTGATTTCGCTGGTGTTGTGGAAGCCGTCGGCAGCAAGGTCACGAAGCCGTTTAAGAAGGGTGATCGCATTAGCGGTGCGGTTCACGGAAGGTTGGCAATATAACTACTTCATAAGCGGTTCCTGACGTCGGACTAATATTCTCTCAGTGACGGAACCCAGCTGGAGAACGGAGGGTTTTCAAACTACATCGTCGCCAAGGGTGACGTTCAGATCAAGACTCCCGACAACCTCAGCGACGTAGAGGCTGCAACCCTCGGAATTTCTCTCTCCACAGTTGTAAGTAGCCTGTTCTTTCCCTACCATTCGGCAGGCTCTAATTCTTGTAGGGCCAAGGACTGTACCAAACCTTGGGCCTGCCCTTGCCAAACGCGGTTGAGAAAGACAACCAGTACATTCTGATCTACGGCGGCAGTACGGCAACTGGTATTTTCGGTATTCAGTATGCCAAGCTTTCTGGACTTAAGGTTATTACGACAGCCTCCCCTCACAACTTCGACTATTCTCAAGTCTCTTGGCGCCGACGCCGTCTTTGACTATAAATCACCCACCGTGGCCAGTGATATCCGCAAATACACCAACAACAGCCTGAAGCTCGCGTGGGACTGCACAGGTCAGGGAGCCGCCATTTCCGCAGGCGCCCTCAGCAGCGACGGAGGAAAATACGCCACGATCATCGGCGTGAAGAAGGAGGAGCTCCTTGCCGTCAACCCCAAGGTGGACGGCCCGCACGCGACGATGATGTACACGATTTTCAACGAGCGGTACTTCAAGGGCACGGAGACGCTGCCCAAGCCCGAGGACTTCGAGTTCGCCAAGAAGTTCTTGGCAATTTCCCAGGGACTCCTGGAGCAGGGCAAGCTGAAGGTGCCCAACCCGATTGTGAACAGGGGCGGTGCTGGTTTCGAGGGAATTCTCAAGGGGCTTGATGAGTTGCGGGCAGGCAACGTCAGCGCTGGAAAGCTGGTGTATACTCTGTAACTGAGTACATTAGCTATTTACTACACTACGGTTTGAGCAAATAAAAAAATATTGATTTCAATTTGGGTTTGTTCGGCGAGGTGTGCGGAAGTAAGATTATGCTGATTAATGGCCCCAACACTCGAGTGAAGTCGAGCTCGCTGAGGGTTGCGTTGGCGGCCAAAACCTCGGCAGTACGTCATTTCGGCGGGTGACAGTGATGATCTGCGGTATGATATTGAATGCGACACATCATGCAGTAGCCGGTGACCTGGAGAACACGAAGCGAACTGGCTGCTGGAGTTGGTGATTGGCGACAGGGGCGGAGCCAGCTGACGGCGACGCATCGCGCTAGGGACAAATAAGCTCAGAGCCTCCGCAGTGGTTGCAGTGGACAACCGCTGCTACCGCTGCTCCCGCTGCGTCTTTAGCGGGCGTCGTGCTGCAGGAGCGCCGAGCTTGAGCAGGATGACGTCCTAGCTTCAGGTCATGCGGGACCTCCAGCAGGCTCCTTCAGTGGGTATCTCCAGCGGTCAGACCCTGGCCCACAGTGGCTGGAGGGTCCTTCCCCCCTTGAGAGGACCCTGACACACTGCACGTGTCATCCTTCTGAGCCGCCTCTTGGTGGCTGCCAAATATCATAAAGTCTAATGGCTAGCTTGTTCCTTCTTCTCCTTCGCAAACCCCATCATCACCGCCGTCATCCTCCTCATCGCTCTGTCTGGACCACTCCACCGTCGCAGTCCTTGCAGCAGAGTAGACGGCCACAGCGGTCCTGATGGCACAGGAGCAGAGCGCCGCGGGGGGCTCCCGTTGGCTGAAGTTATTCCGATCCTCCGCCAGCGCCGACGCGAGCGGCGATGACAGCGACCGGAGAGGAGGACAGCCGCCTCACCCGCCGAAATGGAGCATGGGCATGCTCAACGATCCGGACACCGTCGAGGTTCCTGGTGTGTATTTCTGAACACGATCACGCCGTTGGAGACGGGGGACACTCTACTAACTTCTCCCCAGGATCCGTCCTCCTTCTTGCTCAGCATCGCAACCAGCCATTGGGACTCAAGAATGTGCACGCGAGGACCTCGCACTCGTCCATTCCCGTCGACCCCCCCTTCTCGCCTACTTCGCCTGGGGGAACCAGAATCCCAGAGGCGCAGTCGCCTGGCAGTCACACCCCGGTCGCATCCGGCTCGGGCTCCAGGACTCCAGCCCCAGAACCAGAACCTGAGGAGAAGAAGATGACGGATGATGGGACCATCATTCTCGAGCCTCAGCCAGATGACTCTGCTAACGACCCTCTCAACTGGCCTGCATGGCGACGAGACACTGCCTTGCTGTCTCTTGGTCTGTACTGTATGATTGGTGGTGGCATGACTCCTTTGATTGCTGCGGGCTTCCATAACGTGGCTGAGGAGTACCATGTTCAAGAGGAAACAGTGGCATTGACGACCGGGCTCTACATGATGGGTCTGGGCGTTGGGTCAGTCATCTTTTCGCCAACGGCCATTCTTTGGGGCAAGCGACCAGTCTACCTCTTCAGCGTCCTCATCTTCATTGGTGCCAGCTTGTGGTCCGGCTTCTCGCCTTCCTTCAATTCTCTTCTCGTCGCGAGAGTGTTCCAGGGCATTGCAGTGAGCCCCGTCGAGTGCCTGCCCTCGGCAACCATCGCAGAGATCTTCTTCCTCCACGAGCGCGCCTATCGCATTGGCATCTATACCCTCTTGCTGCTGGGCGGCAAGAACTTGGTGCCACTGGTCAGCGCTGTCATCATCAACAGTCTGGGATGGCGGTGGGTATTCTTGTAAGTCGCCACCCGCCCCCATAACCGCCATGGCCAATGAACTGACAATCTCACCTAGCATCACTGCCGCAATTGTTGCTGCAACTGGCGTTCTCCTCTTCTTCTTCGTACCTGAAACCTTCTGGGACAGAACCCCCCACAGGAAGGCGCACAAAAGACCCAACTTTCTCCGCCGCCTCTCGTCGCGACATACTTCGCATACACCCGTTCACACCCCACCTATCGTGAGCCCAATTTCTCCCACAAGTCCGGTTACTCATCATGCCCCGGAGAGGCCCGGTGCGCTTCACGTTGGTTTCGCGTCTACCTCAGCCTCTGAGAAGGAGAACCCCGAATATATCTCTTCTCAGAAAGGCGACGCCGCCCCCCCAAAGGTGTCGCAACTAACTGAGAAAGAAGCTGCTTCTGGGGACACGCATGAGCCCGGTTCTCCTGTCGAAGCGGCCCAAACGCATGAGACGCGTCTGCCTACACCACTCACACGCCCCACCTCTGCCCACCAGGCAGGGCCAAGAGAGGAGAGTAGCATATCTTCACCCATCGGCTCCTTTTCTCCTGAAGAGAAGGGATTTGCGGCTAGATTAAACCAGCCTCCCAAGATCTACGCTTACACCCACAATCTTAAACAGCAGCCAGCTCGGTCATTTGTTCAGCAGTTGAAACCGTTCCATGGCCGCCTAAATAACGACAAATGGCTAAAGGCCATGTGCCGCCCGTTCATTCTTTTTGCCTACCCCGCGGTCTTGTGGTCTTCGATCGTTTACGCGTGCTCCATCGGCTGGCTGATTGTCATCTCGGAGTCCTTGTCCATGATTTACGGCAACCCGGACCTTTATAATTTCTCCGCGCTTCAGACTGGTCTTGTGTACATCTCTCCATTTGTTGGTGGCATTCTGGGCACCGGAGTAGCTGGCAAGATCAGCGACGTGATAGTCAAGAAGATGTCAAGACGCAACGGTGGCATGTATGAGCCCGAATTCCGCCTTGTGATGGCCATTCCCATCACCATCACCACCTGCATCGGCATCATGGGATTTGGTTGGTCCGCTTCTCTCAAAGATCACTGGATTGTTCCCACCTTGTTTTTCGGGATCATCTCCTTTGGGTGCTGTCTGGGCTCGACCACCTCCATCACGTTTTGCGTGGACAGCTACCGCCAGTACGCAGGAGAGGCGCTCGTCACTCTCAACTTCTCCAAAAACATTCTACACGGACTTCTTTTCAGTTTGTTCTTCACCCACTGGCTCGCTGATGACGGTCCCAAGATGGTGTACATCTGGATTGGCATCATCCAACTCCTGCTTATGCTTTTGACGATTCCCATGTATATTTATGGAAAGCGAGCCCGGATGTGGACTGTCAGGATGAACTTCATGGAAAGATTTTAGATTGGTACATCTCGGTCCTGATAACGGACTAAGGCGCTATGTGAATGTCCTTTTTTCATTTTTTTTTTTTTTTTTTTTTGGGTTGCCTCCATTAACCTCCCTTTTACTGCTGGCGAGCAGAGGGGAAATAGCATTTACGGACGTTGAGGTATAGAAATATATAGACCTTGATAAATTGATAGTTCCATCATACCGTTTTCTTACTGCCTTTCAGTTTTTACCATTATCAGTCATTGCTTGGACAAGAGTGCACAGGTGAGAGCTACCGAGGCAATGTTATGAGGAGATTTGGGTTAGCCAGATTAAACACCACCCATGAGTATCAAGAATTGACAAACAGTGACTGTGGTAACTGCTGTGCGCAGGTTCAACTACAGAATGTCGGAAGAGTAGTCTTTGGTATTCATTATGTTGAGATGTCGGGTCTGGGATCTTTCATTGCTGTTTTTTATACTCGAACTCTCTCACCCGTACGAAGAGTAGTCAGCCTTCTTCCCTTGCCACAGTTAAAAAACCTCATCCGTGCTTGAAAATATCGCATGTAGAAAACCATTGACTGATAAAAAGCGTACATCAAGAGGATTCGTGTTGTCGTACCAATTGAACTTCAAGCCTCAGCTCGGCCTTCAATCGCCGATTGTGGCCGGGGAATTACGTAACTCTGAGAAGTGTAGTCAAAAGTAAATTCGGTTGTTTTGTCTTTTCTTTGGTGGTTTTGCCCGATCCCTGCTCATTTCTCTGTCTGGGTGATCGCTGCCGAATGGATACGTGGGCATTTTATGACACACTTTCGCGTAGGGAGGAGAAAGAAAAGCTTGAATGCGGAACCGGCACCATCCGGTATCGCTCAATATGCAACATGACTAGCTGATGGGTCCGGGCCTGTTAAAGTGGGTGAGGGCTCGTATAGAAATGCCTGGGCGGCTGGCCTGGCTGTTCTCATGATTGCTTGACGAGGTATCGCAACGAAGCCGAAGCACCTCTATCCCGAACATAATCTTCTCATCAGCGGATGACCATGGCGCTTTCGTCTCGAGCGCACGAGCTCGCCAAGCCGGACCCCAAGTTCTTCTTCTGGGAGATCATCCAGAAGCCATGGCATCCCCAAGACAAACCCGACGGCTACGTGTGCTTGGGTCTCGCTGAGAACGTGCTGATGCACGACACGCTCGCGGAGCACATCCAGCGGAACATTTCCCTCGTGAGCAACGACTTCACGTACGGAGACGGCAAGAAGCATCTTCGCTCGACCTTGGCTAGGTTCCTCAACCGACATTTCAGGCCGGTCGTTCCTGTTGACGCCGCTCATATCACGCCCACCAACGGGTGCAGCTCTGCTATCGAGCATGCTGCTTGGGCCTTCGGCAACCCTGGTGATTCGTTTCTGTTGGGCAGGCCGTTCTATGGCACCTTTGTACCGGACGTCACGCTTCGCATGGGAACCGAATTGGCATATGTCGAGTTTGGTCCCGAGACTGACCCGATTGGACCCGGGTGCGTGTCCAAGTACGAGGATACGATCCTCGAGGTGCAGGCAAAAGGTGGCAGAGTGGCGGGCTTGATACTCGCGCACCCCCATAACCCGCTTGGGAGGTGCTATCCGCGGGCGGTTCTGATCGAGCTCATGAGATTGTGCCAGAAGCACCAGATCCATTTCATCAGCGACGAGATTTACGCCTTGTCCACCTTCGCAAATACAGTAGACAGCGTGGAGGTACATCCGTTCGAGTCGGCATTGTCCATTGAGACCGCGGGCGTCGTCGATCCAGGCCTGGTCCATGTCGTCTGGGGCATGTCAAAGGACTTTGGCGCCAACGGCATTCGGCTGGGCGCCTTTATTTCACAGCATAACGCTGAGCTACACCGTGCTCTGCTCCCGGTGTCGCTCTACAGTTCAACATCGGCCATTACGGACTGCGCTGTGGCCAACATGCTGAACGACGACGAGTGGGTGGACAAGTATATTGAGGAGAATCGGAGGGCTCTGCAGAGCAACTTTGAGCATGTTGCCAAGTGGGCTAAAGAACACGGGTTCGAGTACGCGCCGGGAGTGAACGCTGCTTTCTTCCTCTGGCTGAACCTGGGCGCGGCCTATCGCGAATCACATCCAGAGCTGGAGGAGAAGGGAGGTGTAGATATCGACCAGGTGGTGATGGACGCCTTGCTTGGGGAAAAGGTCTTCTTGGCATCGGGGGCACAGTTTGGCTCCGAGAGTCCAGGCTGGTTCAGGATTGTGTTCTCACAGAAGCGGGACTATCTAGATGAAGGACTGCAGCGCATTGTTGCTGCAATCCAGAAGCGAGATTGAATACCGAATATATGGTAAGGAAGGATTGCCCTCTTAGTTTCAAGTCAGTAACTATCCCATATCACTTTTAATTTTCGCATGATTATACGCTGGTAGTAAGTTGCACCTGATATGAAGAGATACCATTGACTCTGACACATTCTCACATGGTTTAAGATAGCTGTGTCATGATTGAGGTTCGAGCAATAAGAGTTCCCGTATGGAAACCCGTGGTACATGGCCGTATACCCTTAATAATAGCTAGCTACAGGAGAGCCCAACACATCCAAACGAGGTCTGACACCCAAGCCTGGCGTAGTAGGCGCACTGATACGTCCATCCACGACTTCAAAGTCCACATCAGCCGTCGTGAGGTTCACAACACTCCGGGTGTCCAAAATGGTACGCAGGTTACGCTCCGGGATAGTTTGTCCTAGATGGACGATGGCAGACAAGGCAATCTCCGACCCAGCCGTCTCCTGAACGCTGATAGTCAGGCCCGCGGCAACACAGATGTCGCGGTGACGGCGTCCCTTGGTCAGGCCGCCATTTTTGGAGATCTTCAGCCCAATCCCATCCGCCGCATCGTCGGCGATGATTTGGATAATGGATTCATCGCCAACAGCAAGCTCATCGAGGAATATCGGCACGTCAGTCCGGCGTCGGAGAGAAAGGGTTTCTCTCCACGTAGCGCATGGGGCTTCCAGAACGAAATCAAGACCAGGAGGAACCAGCCTCAACATCCGGAGCGCGCTCTCAACGGTCATTCCTCCGTTGGCATCGACGATGAAGAACTCGCCCGGCTTCTTGTCTGCCAGCGCCGCCGTAATCCGCTCAGCATCAATCGCAGGGTCGTCGCCCACTTTGAGAGAATGTCCCGTGTATCCCTCAGCTCGGAACGCCTCAACCTGCTGACGCGTCTCGGCCGGACCAGTGACGGGGCACGAGTCAATGATTGGCATTTTGACATCCGTGCGGCCCCCGAGAAGCTCGCATACGGGAAGTCCAGTGGCCTTGCCAAATATGTCCCAACAAGCCACGTCGAGGGCTGTCTTCGCGTGGGAGTGGCCGATCAGGGCAGCATCCATGGCATCGTAGATGCGATCGACTCTTCGAGGGTCTAAGCCAATCAACTTGGGTGCGATTTCAGCGATACCCGCCCGGACGCCGAGGGCGTGGGATGCAATCCAGTTGGAGCCAAACGGAGTGCTTTCTCCCCAGCCCTCGATACCATTTTGGGCGGTGATTCGGACGATGGTGGCATCGAAACTTCTGTATTCTCTGCCTCCGGACAGACGGTAGACTCCGCCTCTGTAGGGCAAGTCCACTTGGAAGACGTCGATGCGGGCAATCTTCAGCTCCTCCATGGTTAATGAGTATGGTTAAGCTTCGTTGATGAATATATTGTTGGCCGCGGAAGCAATTTACTGATCGTCTATGTGCTGTTTTTGAGAGCCTGTGGCTACTGTATGCTCAGAAACTTGCCACATACGGGATGGAAGATGTCTCTTATAAGACCATGTCTAGAGGGGTGTTTACCATGCGCTTTGCGACGAGGAGGGTCTCTCATTAAAATTTCCCAAACAAGGACATCGCGGGAGAGAAAGAGAGCCCACTGCTATGGCCAATGATCTCTAGGGTCACAATGTATCCCTCCTTGGTTTTCTCTCACATAGGCCAGTATCTTTCCAGAAATGAAACGAAACCAAACCAATCGGCAATCCCGAGGATGGTGCATTTGACGTGAGCGGGGTGGTTGGATATCTCGGAATCAGCACCCGAAGACAGTTGTCTCCTGCGACTGTACTCCACGTGTCTCTGGCGTTCAACCCTGCTTGATTTGGGCTTAAGAAGGTGTCTTATTCCACTGTACGGTTTAAGGGATACTGCCGACCCTAGTCGATGCTAGACTTAACCACGATGATTTCTGTCATGAAAGACGTTGGATAGAGATTGCATTGTAATGCGTGGCCACCGGCTCACACCTGAATCATCTATGGCTAGAATGGCTGTAAAATGGGGCATGAGCTGTGCTCTGTAGGCAATATATATCTAGAAAGACAGTATACTGTTTACTACCACGACTTCTAGTATCAAGCGGCGTAGTTTATTTTGCAGGAAGACAACCGTTAGGGTTTTCTCATGATTTCAGTTTGCACTGGCCAGCGTCGCTTGGAAGAGACTCTGTAACCGGGCCCCTTCCGTATCGGCAACCTCTGAATAATCCCTCACAGCGTTATAAGCATGGTATGGGTAAGGACTGAGAAAGACGTAAGCGGAGGAAACTGATGGTGAATACATCGCTGGAACACTTACCCGTATTCGGGAGTGAAGGTTACGGGAGTACCGGGGTTGTTCTTAGCCCAGTCCCTTACAATTCTGGTCCAGAGGTTGTCGAAAAACGTCTTCTCAGCGACGAACGTGGGGTCTGATGGATCCGGGCACTGAGAGCCTTGTGTTGTTCCAATGCGGGCGTGAATATGGGAGACCTGAGATGACATCAATTAAACACTTCTCCAAATTTTGTTCGATTTCTACATCAAATGGCGACTTACGCGTGGGATTATCTCTGTGAGAAGCTGTTTGTCCTCTTCTCCAAGATCTAGGAGTCGCTCGCAGCAGACAACGTGGTGGGAGAAATCACCAGTAATGCGAAGCCTGTACTGGGATTTAGCAATGTGTTCAAACACGATCAAGTTCCGGCATTCATACCTTGGCACTTCGCGGATGATATGCGCTGTGGCATATGGGGTAAAAAGAGAGCGGTTACGATGCGTCTCGTGGACCACCTTGCCAGATAGCCCGAGCTCAGCGTCAATCTCAATGGTTGCCTTGTAGAATTCTACAGATTCTTCCAGGGTCCAGTAATCCCTGTGCTTACTGGTCAGCATTTCGATGTTGTTTTTAGACACTAAATAATCCCTGGAGCTGGAGTATACGTACGCGCCAGACTGGGCATTGATCTTGAGTGGGCGCAATTCCTTGGCCTTTTCCAACTGCCTTCGGTAATATTCCGCATGTTGTTGTGGTTGAAGGCCAACAGGTCGAGGACCAGCTGCGTGTGGCCAGTGGGAAACAACCCTGACATTGTTAATTCAAATATCCCACTTCTTCGGGCAGGGTTATTGCTAATCATCAAGTTACGGCCCTATCCGTAGTGTTGAACTTACTGAGTGACGATCTCTAGTCCATTGTCGTCGCAGAGCTTCCTGAGGACGGGGAGATCTGGAAGGAAGTCTGATTCGCCGTTGACATTGATTTCGATTCCAGCTAAAGATTCCAACAGGTTCAGTTATATTACCGTGCCTTTCTTGAGAATCCGAGACTGGGAATTTTCCTCAACTTCAGATGAAGACGTACCGTATCCTTTAGCTTTCAGTTCCGGGAACCATCGTGCGAAATTCTCGTAATTCTTCCCTCCATCGACTCCCCAAGTCGCTCGGATGCGTAGAATCTCAGTCATTGCGGGCGAAGAGGATGGAACTCAGCTATGGAGTTTCTAGCGGAGGTAAAAAAAAAACACACAGATAATATAATGTCACCCAATAACTTTCCCACACGAAGATTGCCCTGCATCTCCTTCCCTACGGCCCCTGATCTTATAGCTCGACCCCACGACGAATACTCCATCCTGAGGCTCGCTCGCGTCATGCTAGTTACCCCTCCCAGATTGAATCTAAGGTGCAAGAATTTCCGATAGGCCTCGGGGAACTTTTTCCTCTCTGGGAAGATCTGCCTTGGCCGGTGGAGACAAAGCCCATTTTATGGATCTCGAAGCTTCGCGCCTCTCTCTGTTCGCTCATACAAATCTCAAAAAGGCAATTTCCCCCATGGGAAAAGTTAGGACTCAGGATCTTAAATCGCGCCTCCAGACCCGTCGAGAAAAAGGGAAACTGGGCGGGGCTTGTGGTCTCCGAATAAACCGTCATGTGTTATTGGTAAAATTGTTCTCTCCGCGTCCTTTGAGTGACAATACCCCGCATGAGTCTGACCAAGAAACTGGGTGACGGAGGAAATAAGACATTAAATGGAAGGGTGACCACTTTCTACGATGACTAGAATACTTTAGCAATAAAAATGATATGTATTGACAATCCTTCGTGTATTGCCTCTCATATGTTCATTATTGACACTCAACAATTCGATAATACTAATCACAGACTCAACAATACGTAAGGGCTTCAATGCTTGGGTCTCCCGTCACCCGCTTGACAGGTTTGAATTCATGTCACTCAAGGCAAATCCGAATCCCGAGCCTAGTCCGAAGAACCTGCCACATCGTGAAGAAGAGTACTCAATGAGAGGAGAAATGTTTTGCGCAGTACAGTGAGATCACTCAATCTGCTCAGCCTTGCGCTTTTGAAGCAAGTAATAATACTGCTGCATTGGCAGGGCTGTTGTTGGATTCCTGTCCCCCTCGAAGGTGCCTTTGCCACGGCCATCGAAATGGAGCTTCCAGGCTATTTAAGCGTCAGTAATTCGGAGTTTATGAAGAAGAAAGGAAATATTGCTGCTCGAACTTACTGCTTGGATCAAATGAAAGGTATGACCAATTGTCATTCAGATATGCCTTGTCAGAACCGACTTGGATCGACTTGACCTGGCCCATCTGACCTGGCGCTGGGCGTAGATCCTTGAGGTCGGCAACAAGTTTGATCATTCCGGTCACGAAAGTAAGGGCTATCTGCTTTCCGAGGCATCCATGCTGACCGTGGCTGAACGGGCCAATGTCGACAGGTGCACGCTCGTGATCGAATTTGTCCGCATGGGGGACCTCAGCTGCGTTACGAGCAGCCCCTCCCTGAAGATGACAGTTAGCATGAAAAGAGGACATGTAAAGCGGGTAGCTTACAAGCAACATAACGACTACGTTTCCTGGCTGGACCTTCTTCCCTTCCAATTCCACGGGCTTGGTCGCAACACGCATGTTGCGCTGGGTGGTAGTGAGACGTTGAGCTTCAACAACATATGCGCGAAGCGTCTCGTCGTCGCCATTGTGGGCAAGGGACTGAACTTCAGCCCAGATAGATGCATTTCCAGGGCGCAGGAAGAACTCCAAAATCTCATAAAACTAGAAAATTTCATCAGTAAATCGTTATATTTCATGATGGAGTATTTCGAAGGGGGTTCTTACCACTGTCGATATGACGCCCACGCCACCAAACGCAGTGAGCCACAAGTTATCCACCGTCAGTTCTGGCGAATTACCTTGAGCGAGTAATTCATCAACCAGCTGATAGCCACAAGATCTCAGAGATCCAGGCTTCAGATGAGCTCTGCGAGAGAACCGAGTTGAGATAGCAGAGGCAATGCCCAAGCCAAAGCCGCGATGAGTGACGACCTCATCTACAAGTTTGCGGGTCGAGTTTACTATGAACTGTGTTCCTTCTTGGGCACGGCGACGGCGGTTCCATGCCTGGCCGGGATCGTTGTTGCAGGCACCCCAGATCCGAATGTTCAATAGATGCTTGTACAGCTCGGCCGTACCCACCAGACCGTCTGGATTCTCGTCAGAGCGCAGATCCATGTAAAACAAGTCTGCAATCAGGCGAGTGCTGACTGGGATGGCGACATCTCGAAGAATATCGATCTGGTCCAATCCCTGCTGAAGGGTGAACTTCTCCTTCTCGATGGTCTCTGTTCCGACCCTCGCAACCAGCTCGGAGAGAGCCTTGTTCAAGTTGGGGAGCTTGCCCAGTGCCTTGGAGAAGCTGACTCGATGGGCGATATTGCGGGGTTCACTTCCGGCCAGCATGTACCAACCGTAGTCTTTCTTTCCCGGGAACATGAGATTCAACGGCTTGAGCCAGGGGAGAGCAAAGTCCTGAGATTCTAGACACTGCTTGATAGCAGCTTGGGTTGAGAGAACGATCATGGTTGGGGGAGATTTGGGGTCGTCGAGAGTGAATTGGTCAATCGTGCCGAGCTTTTCGGCAATCCTTTGGTTGGCCTTCTTTGTGTACATCGGCTGCATGACTGCAACTGAATTGAAGGGAAACCATCCAGGGACACCCCGTTGGATCAGCTTATACAGCATCGATCCGCCAAGTGTCTTGGGGTCCTGCTGCACTTCATTGTAACCCCAGCTGGTCAGGTTTGCGACATTGTAGTCCAGAGTGTTGAACCGGTCGGACCTGACAAGCGTGATTGCGTCGGACAAGATTGCTCGTCCGACAGTATATGTTGGGCAGATGCCGCAGCCTGGATCTCGAGAGGGCTTGCTATCCTCCACCATGAGACCTGGGTACAGCTCAACCATGTCGGGATCAGTGTAGAGCTTCTCCAGAATGCCGGCAATCTCCACGTTGGAATTGATGTCGCTGAACTTGTCATACTTCTTGAGGCCGAAGAATTCTCGGAACTCATTCAATGAGGCGACCTGCCATTTGCGTGCTTGATTGATGCCGAGAACCTCGACAATCTTGAGGGCCTTGGGGACCATGCGAGCGCCAAATATGCCGGCCGGGTCATCCATGGCCTCTTTGAGAATTCTGACAAGGTCGTCATTCTTGAAAGTGCCATCGGACTGGCGTTCCAGACCGTCAAATGTACGGGCACTTGGGTCTTTTGGGATTTTTTGCTCAAAGCTCATGAGAGCTTGCCCGAGCTCACCCCAGCTCACATTCTGCAGGTCATCTGGATTGTGCCCGGGGAACAGCTTCAAGAAGAAGTTGTTGATCCACCGTTCATCCTTTTTGGATATGCAAGAATGAAACCGGTAGAGAAGGTTGAACTCGACACTGACCTGGTTTCCAACACCTCGTGGAACACCGTCACTGTCGAACTGCTTACTGTCGATCTCTACACGGGGGTCCAACGTCCAATCACTCTTGGAATGGTGAGTGTTGGTGATGGCTCGAAGGTAATCGTGCAAGCAGATGTTGATGTATAATCCACCAACAATCAAACGAGCCGTGTTGAAAAGGTCATGGTCCTGCTTCGCGATTGCTTTGGCCATGTCCTCTGGGCTCGACCCAGGCGGGCTCGAAAGAGTGAAGCGGCCGTTTTCATTAATCTTGAGAAGAATGTCGGCGACATAGTTGTGAAAGCGGCTGTACAAGACAAGCATAACGTTCACGCCTGCTGGCTGCCCCAGCAAGCGCTTCTCGTGGAAAGTATCCGGCTTGAGTTTTCCTTCCTTCATGGTGCGGATCTCAAGCTGGTCTCTCAAAGACGACCCATACAGGGGAGCCAAGTCAAGATAAGACGAGGTATCCGACTTATTCATATCTGTTCGATTGGTGCGAAAGATGTCATGAATGATGATCGAAGCATGATAAAACAGCATGGACGAGATGCCAGCCGGATTTTCTTTGAAGGTGTCGTCACCACGGGCCATCAATAAATCAAAGAGAAGTCCAGCATCAGGCTTGACTCCATGAAGACGTTTCTGAGGACGAACTGTCTTGGCGTAGGGCGTACCAGCCTTACCCAGATGCGGCTCCATGATATTGTTGAAGCTCCCATCAGGCATGCGATACTGATGCATCCCGTTGGGCGCCACAGGCACCTGCTCACGGAGAATGACATCGCTATCGGGAACTTTGAATTCAATGACATCGTATGGCTTGGCGGTCTGCTGGGCAGTAGCACCATCTTGAGCATTCACCACCTCATATTTGACGTCGCCGCCAACGTAACTAAGAGGTGGGTGCTGAAGATTGCTCCAGAGAGTGTCAATGAACTTGTTTGTGAGCTGGGTGCGCGCAGCTGATGTAGATGGCAACGAAGTGAGAATGCCAATCAGCAATTCAGTTGTTCTAGGTTGACGCTTAGTGAAAGAGATTCCCTTATATTGTGATAAGTGACAGACTTACCCTTTCTTATCATCGAGAGGTTCTCCCTTGTGCATCAAATCGTTCAGGAGGCCTACAAGCTGCGGGACAGAGGCCTGGCTGCGAACACCGGCATAGTCTTTGATCAGGTCTGTGGCAAGTTTGAGTGGATCAGACAAAATGCTAGAAGTCTCCTTCTTTGCATCGCCATAATCCTCTCCAAGCTGAACCTTTTCGTTGAAGGCCATGGCTGCGTCTTAGTGGACTCATCAATGAGAGAACGATCGAAAACCTCTGGGGGTTACCCAATGTTTTGTAGCTCGCCGATATCTTGCGAAGCCTTCCTAGAAGCCAATCGGATATCTTGCCTCCTCTGCCGTAATCGATAATCTTTCGTATTGTCACTGTTACCGCCATTTTTGCATAGAAATGGCTAAGCCGTCACCGGCCGACCTTGGTTGCAGTCGGCTAGGTACTCAAGCTATCTGGAAACAGCATCCGAGACAACCTCAGCCCATCAGCTGAGGATAACCCCGCTTCCTGCATGTCCTAGTCAGGTGCGGAATTATGATACTTGTGATTTACAATGTCGGTTCGATGATTCGCCAAACCTCTCCCGAGGGGCGTTTGCGTTTCTTGTTTCCTAAACCGCACGGCATGTGCGGCGCCACCCCTATCTGCCCAAACTGTCGATGTTCATTCAGCTGATATTGGAACTATATCTGGCCAGATGCATACCTTTCCCTATTGAGTTTTATTGATGCAGTGGGCTGAAGGCTGAGTTCATATTTGCGGCCCGAGAAAATTGATAGATCAACTTTTCACTTCTAAAAGGTGTACGTGCATAAGTCGTCGACGTGTCGTCGCTTAGCGATGAGTTTCGGTAATTGATTAGATGTCGGTCTCGCCGCGTTTTTATTTAAATAGACATCGGAGGTTTTCTCAGTCAGAGACGGGCAACCCGGAGGCGCTCGGGTGAGACAGAGACGCCCAAGAAACACTTGATGCATTCTCCCGTTGCTTCGACTTCCCCCAAGACTTCACCCCGCACTGTTGCATTGGCTGGGCCTGTAATGAACCAATAACACGAGCATGTTATGCTTATGTGGCTTGATGCAGCATAAGTTCACTGCAGGAAGATTACGGTCAATTATGTGTAACATATCTCATATCAACCCCCTACTATTGGTCTATAGGCGTAGAAGTGCAACGACCTTGATGCATCTGTCCCGACGGGACAACCTCCCCACCAGCGTTTGCGGTTCATTCCGGCAGTACTGGCCGAATGGGATAATTAATCTTCGGCCCGTGCAGTAGCTGGCATTAGCGGTGGCTGGCTGAATGTCCAGACCACCAAACAGAGCGGCAGCTGATGCACTACCACCTCAAGTTAAGCCCGACTTAGGCAGCCATATGACGGGGAGACATCTCACCATGCATATCGGGCTTGGCGAGGACGGTTCTCGATCGCAAGCCAAGACCGTGTTCATTCAAGTTTGTTCGCGGGCAAATGATGATTCGTCGATTTCACTATGCAAGCCACACCTGCACTATTGAATGCGACGCAATGCTGACCACGCGTATCTGCTTGTTTACGATGGTGGCCAATATAATTTTCGATTCGGTGATAGATCGCCGACCCTTTGCAGCTGAATGACGCCGTCCAATATTATGCGCGAGCGTTCGGGCCTCACTCGAGAAGACTGGAGTTTGGTTGATGATTTTAGTTCGCGGCCCGCTCCGATTCAGCATTCCGTTCCTTTTCATCGTTATCTACAATCCCAGATACCAATTCTCTGACAATGCAGCCGGAGCCAAAGAAGCTCGTTCTTTGTTTTGATGGAACGGGAAACGAGTTTAGCGGCTCGAACGCCGACACAAACGTTGTCAAGCTCCTAAGCAAGTTGGACCGAAACCATCCAGACCAGTTTCACTATTATCAGAGTAAGTAGTATCTATCGAATTCACCATCTATTCTCTACTAGTAGCAAATCATCCTCATGATATGAGCTGTTCTGAGCCTGATAAATCTTAGCTGGTATTGGAACATACGACATCAATGAAAAGTCCGTCAACAAGTCTTGGTTCGGCGAGCTCCAAAGCGCCTTCTCCAAGACGATTGATCAAGGCTTCGGGACCACATTTGACGCACATGTGATCGCGGGCTATCGCTTCCTCATGCGATACTATGAATCGGTAAGTCTCATTCCCTTGACCTCCTCATCGTTGTGTTCCTATATTAATGTCGTGGTTGTCACCTTCGTAAAGGGTGCTAAGATATATTTGTTTGGTTTCAGCCGTGGTGCTTTCACCGCCAAGTTCCTCGCACGTATGATCCATACAGTTGGTCTACTTTGCAAAGGAAATGAGGAGATGGTTCCATTTGCATTCAGGCTGTACCAGAGATACTTGGCAGGAGATATCAAGGATCGCCTAGATGCTCATCAGGAGGACTCGGAAGGCGACACCGCTCTGATTGGGGATGATTTCGAGCACAGCCATGACACGCTGGTTGCCGAGAACGAAATCACCGCCTTCAGTCAGACGTTCTGCCGAAATGAGACCGTCTTCGGCGAAGATGGTCATTCAAAGCACACTAATATCAAGGTGTATTTCCTGGGACTCTGGGACTGCGTCAACTCGGTCGCAGTCCTTGAGCAAAAGACGCCCGTGCCCGTTCCTGTGCTTGGCACTGCGACATACATTCGGCACGCCGTTGCCATTGACGAACGGCGTGTCAAGTTCAAGCCAGCTCTCCTCGCGCAGGATATCAAACTATCCGACGACCAGACCGAAGATATCAAAGAGGTCTGGTTCCCTGGTAATCACGGAGATGTTGGAGGCGGCTGGCCGTCAGTCTCTGATAATCCTCTTGACAGCAAGAAGAAGATGACCTTCTGGCAAGGCGTCAAAAATCTATTCACGTCCCGGAAGCCTCAAGAAGCCAGTCATGACCTTGACTGTGACCGTCTGCAAATGAGTGACATCCCTCTTGCGTGGATGATTCGCGAATTGGAGCTTGTGGGTGAGAAGGACCCAACCGCCGCTGTTAAATGGTGCCACAGCCTGGCCAAATTTAAGAAACATTTCAAAACCAAACGGTCGTATGCCCTTGGAGCTGTGATGCATGATTGTCTCTCATTTGGTCGTGGGTCTGGATTTTTCCGGGTTCTTTTTTGGAAGTATATGGGTAAGTCCTCCACAATATATCTATGAACCATCATAATGCTTCAAAACTGTTTAACTAACTACGAGCAGAATACCTTCCAATTATCACGCGTTGGGAATTGACCCAGAAGGGTTGGGTTGATGTGCGATTCCCGCTCAACAGGGGCTCGACGCGCGATATCCCCCCAGACGCTGTGATGCACCAGTCCCTTGTTTGGCGACTGAACAATGATGAATCCTACAGTCCTCCTAACAACCACGGCGATGACCTTCCTCCGTGTTTGAAGATTCATGGAAAGGTTACGAGCTTCGCTATCAAGGAAATAAGCGATGATCCCAACGAAGAGACCTTTATTTTCGCCAAGTGATACTTGCATTGCACAGGATGGGATGGGAAGTTTTGGGGGGCCTTTAATCCGGTTTTATCTTTTAATCTTTAATTTTCTCTGGGTTCGAAATTGATCAACGAAAGCTATATATTTGACACCTTGATTGACTGTGTACGAATGAGTTCGCCGCTATGGGGTAGTGTTACTTTGACGGAGGTGGAGCTAAGGCAAAGCAGCGAGCATCAACGTACTGTAGGCTGACTTACTCTCATACTGAGATTCCTTGGTTTGTAGGAGAACTAAACGCGAGTAGATAAATATCTGCCTCGGCAGCTAGGCTGTCAGCTCCGCCAAGCTCGGCGATACTGAAGATGGTGCGGCCAGGCCACGCGTGGTCCATCGAGAGGCGATGTTGGCAAAGTGCCGGTTGACATTTTCGGGTGCGGCGTATCGGTCAAGCTGGCTGCGGGCGTCGAGGAGAGCCTAGACGGAGGTGGCGTCGATGTTGTTCACAGCAGAGAGGTTGAGAAGGATGGCCTTGAGCGTCGGAAGGTGACTATCAATGTGCCAAGCTACGGGGACAACGATCTGGTACTAGCACCTGGCATTAACTAAGATACACCATGATCTTTAGTTTATTGTCTCATGGATATTGATTATTAGCCATCAATAATCTAATAATACCGGTTGTAGAATCGAAAATACGTAGTTTCATGTTTCAATTGGGTCTTAAAACGCTTAGATACGGCTCACACAAGAGCATTCAACATGGTCCGAATAGCCAGCAACCAAGCAGATAAGGCCCAAGCTAACTACTCGCGAATAGTCCTGCCCGCTATTTGCGAAGTTCATCATTAATCCTTGGCAGCGGCTCTCATCGAAATTCCCTCTTTTGGTATAGACTCTTGGATGATTGTCATCCCACTCCCCATCCCCAAATACGCGAGTGAGAGAACATAAATGTTTTCCCGCACTCATCATCAGTTCATTCCACATAAAACATGCCACTTGGTGGAAGATAAAGGTATCATGCCATTCTTCCGTCAAGAGCCCTGAATATTTTCGTAAAACCCTAAGATTGGCCCCGGGCCCACGGTCATTCGAAAATCATCCGACACGGCTATATATATCTGGAAAAGAGCTCGTGCAGCCTGGTAAAAGCTACCTTTTGATTTTGAGGGTAAGAAAATTATGCATTGGTCGATATAAATTCCAAAACCTCGCCCATGACTCCTCATCTATCTCCTTGATAAACACTTTCTCGTGCCATGGTCTTAGTCTAGCGGGTCATGTACCATCTGACAGCTGTGGGCACAAACACCGTTCCCAGGTTTATTAGATGTGCTAGATCTAAAAATGGCTTGGTCTTGCTCGGATTCTTATCGTGACGAACTGAGGTTTGTGAATTTTAGAATATCTATTTACGATGCTTGATGGCATTGACAAACGTGACAACAGTCTCTGATATCAACAAGACCGTCAGTTCTCTCCATGATGCATTCCAAATTCGACAATTGAGAAATTAGCCTGGCTGGAAGGGCAATGCGAAACGCACCTCTTACAGATGGTAAGACGCACTCCTACAACAATCTTTCTAAGAGACACTGCGGCACATAGGTTTATCATATTCTCATGTTGATTCAATCTGCCATAGTTGATAATAATTATTTAGCGCCGAAATCAACCAAAGACAACCCGATACTAAGAGTTCAAAGCCTCCAAAATGCGCTGCCTTACCTACCAACGCCATTTTACCATCCTAAATGAACAATTTCCCATCCGAACCGAACGAACGACCCATGCGTCAAGCCTACATAACAAATACACGAGACTCCGGCAATATTGCCGTCCAGTCATCACGATCGGCCCCGCGATCCCATATATACCTCAGCATTTCTTTAGCACGAAGTAGATTTGCAAACCCATTTCGATAATACTGTCGCTCCAGATATCCCTCGAGAATTGCTTGATGACGAGGGTTCCTGCTTGCAGATCCGGCGATGTAGCAGGGCCAAACAAGGCAGTGCTCACCCGGTGCATCCTTGGGGAATGCCTCAAGTGTCTGAGTGAAGTGTTCGATCAAGGGCTCGTCGTCGCCCTCGACTTGGACAGAACCCTCTCCTTCGGCGACCTCCATGCTAGGGTCGATATCCAACGAATCGCATGACTTTAGGGCCCGGTCGAGATATATGTTATAGGCTTGTTGTCGTATGCTCTCGATCACGCCGAATACATCTGCGTGCTGAGGATACAGGCGCTTGTAGTACTCTAGACAGTCGAAACTCTCTTCCGCTCGGCAAAGAATCTCGAGCAGTCCCGTATCAGGACTTAGTAATGGGGCGGCATACACCCGCATTCTATGTGCTTTCGTTAACGACTTGCTCGGTCTGATTCGATAGGATAGGCTGACTTACTTGCGGATCTGACGGATGGAAAACTCAGCCACTTCGCCGCCCAACTCAGCGAAGGCGGCTTCTCCTCCGATGGCATCAAGCGCCGACACAAGCATTTGGAACATGATGGGGAAATCATCACAGCCATTTACCATAACCGCAGTCAAGAGAACGACGATAGATAGGATGACTGCTTGCTGCGTCTCGAAGTCTTGGTGTGTCAGTTGCTGTCGTTGCTGAAGACCCTGGATTGCGGATTCGTATAGCTGGCTGGGATCGATCAGCGCCTGGGTGACCGCGTCGTTTCCAATAGACCCGGCCAAGTGATACGCAGCAGCCGCCATGACCGCGTTCATGACTATCTCGTTGGACTGGGCCATTGGTAGGATTGCGTGGCGCCAGCCGTTATGGTTATCATCGATGACGACCATCTCGGGGGCAATTTTCATAGAAACTACATAGTCTTGGCCTTAGTTCTGTTCACAAAACTTGGAGAAATTGGCGGCAATTCATCATGAACCTACAGTAGTCAAGTAAGAAGTCTTTCCAGGATGATGTTTTGTCGATCGAAGACCACAGTTGCAAGCTTTGCTCTCCGGGTTTTTCTGAGCCGGCTTCAGCGTCACCCACGCCGCCGTGAAGTGTTGACGGAACCATAGCCCCAGCAATATCGCCAAAAAACCCACACGGTATATCAAGGTCAAATATTGAGTCTCCCAGGGCATCGGAAGCTGCGTTTCCAAGTCCAGCGACAAACTCCTCGCTGTTGGTGGGAGAGCCCTCGCTGCATGTCGAAGAGCCGCACATTGGCGAATTCGCTTGAGGGAGGATGGGCACATCATGCATCCGAGGACTCTTGGCCTGCTCCATCTGCCACTTGAGGCTTTTCCCCCCACGGGACAGGCCTTCCCGAAACCTGAACTTGACCCCAAACCCGCTGCACTCGATACCGCGGGAGGCACATTTCAGGCAGCCTGGGCGCGTCTGATCACAGTTGATGCGCCTTTGGGAGCACTCGTAGCATCCTGTTCAAGGTTAGCAATATGAAGCCACATCATGTGTGAGCACGATGGTATCATCGTAGCCACGGGTATGGGTGAAAGGGTCGAAGTGTACTGCGTGGATTTTTTTGAGGCGTTACCTTTGACCTTAGGCACATAGGGGCGTTTCCGGCGCACCATTATGTCTATTTAGCCAGACTTATCCGAGCAGCTATTTGCCTCCGAGTTCTTGCAGATATTCCGTGGGTGCGATTTGGGGATGAAATTGCATCTCAATGATTCCTGGTCATGGTGCTGGGGTGGTGATGATTACGGGGGGAAGAAGGAAGCCCGCCACGTCTGAGCCCAACTGGAATTACTTATCTGTGGAGCCTGAAGAGTGAGGGGTTCGCTAGAATAACTGCGTGGAGTTGACTACAGCGGCAAATAATCCGGGGAGGGAGGCGTATCACACATGCTCCACCAGACCCCGGTGAGCATAGATAGAAATGCGTATCTTAGTTGATGACAGGCAACACCTAAAGGTATTCCGGTAGGCTAGAACGCCGCCCTGGGCAATACCGGAGCCAGGATTGGGCTGCGAGGGGCGACAGATGGCAGGTCGAGAGGGGGCGAGGCGAAGTGGGTGTGTGCCTGATAGATCGGCTTGGCTGGACACTTCGCCTATGGCCGTTACCGGCATTGATTGACATGGGATTACGAGATGGATTATTGGTTGCTAATGAGTTTAGCCCCAGCATCTGTATGGCATAGCAGACAGTCGATATCTCGTTGCAAGGGTCGTTTGCCTGTGGCTTATCTACCCGCCGTATCTCCATCTGTTTTTGTTTTGATAAACCAGAGAAGCAAGTTCGGGGGCATATAGAAATTGGAGGCTAATCGGTCGCCGCCAAGGGTGCAGGCATTAGGGGGGGAATTTATGGATGGCTATGGGGAGCACGAATGACACATCATCTTTCTCCTGCGACAGAGGCCGATGAGTTTATGTGCTAGATACGTTATCTCCGGGCTGCCATACATAATCGGATGTAATCCATCGGTATGCAGGTCAGCTAGCGCGCTACAGCTTTGCATTGTGAAAAGTAAAGGAGACGGCAGGATTGGGGCTCGACTGTAGAACCTGAGCTGGCAGGTAGCTGCGCAGTTGACTGGGTGGCTTGTTGCGTTAGCCGTGTATAATCCCGTAGCAGGGTCAAAACCGTTGGTCATTCATTAAATCTTATACGAGTATCGATGCGTAAACAAACTATGTTTCTTCATGGCACTATGTTGTGTGAAGCGGTAGGATAGGTGGTGGGCCCGAAGATGGCTACGTGGAATAATCAATGACCATACGCATGATCATGGACACATGCTGCCAGCTTTCAACGTGCAACTGAGATAAAGTTCCAGAGAGGGTTTCGTCCATGTGACCCCCAAGGCCGGGAACGGAGCCCCCATCACTGTCCACGCGCCAACAGTTTTGCTCAGCAACGCAGAGCCTAGCCCATGACGTACCTGCCTAACCCTTGGCGACTAGTTGCCCCCTTTCCCTTTCAAGTTATCATCATGCAAGTCTTGCATACGGAAAGACCGCGGGGTTTGGTCCCTCAGCCAATTAACACACACTCCCCCGACAAATCCGTCTCCCTCTTTCCTCCTCCAACCCTCCAATCCTATAATACCAAACTCTGGTATATGTGAGGAAAGGGAAATCACCGCCTGACGATATGATGACACATGATGCGGCCGGATGCATAGGCCCAAGTCTGACCTTGGTCCATCTCCGAACCCTTTTGCCACGATCTGAAGCACAATGTTTCCCCTAGCTGGATAAGCCAACGGTCCATAGACAATTGCAATTGAACGGGCGTGAAGCTGACGCTATGGCTGCGGATAGCAGCAACCATCACTTCTGTCTTCCGGGGCGTTAGTTTGGAGCATCGGGAAATATCCCGATAGTCTAAGAACTAGGGAAGTCCCCGCCCTCCCCCTCCCCAGAGATCTGAGATCCCCTTCGTGTTTTTTTACCTTCGCCTGAACACCTACTTCTACCAAAAGAACGGTTCTCACGGTGAGATCGCTCAGGCGGGCGTACGCGCAATCGGTGATGTCATGTTTCCTCATGGAAACTTCAATGCGCTATGAGATCTGCTAGTATTGATGCGGATTCATACCTGTGTTTCCGAGACCCAACGCATGATTCCTGGCCTCTGACCTAACGATGAGTCTGACTGGGCCCTGTTTTGAGACCCCCTTAGGTCGTACGAGAAAGGTGTTAGAAATACTGGCAATTCTTTTGTCACGCTCAACATATTCTTAGGTACCATCAACAATGTAGCAAGAACTAGATCTCAATACCATGTGTTATACCATCAATAATCGCCGCTATCTATGGACATATCATGAGAACCAAGGCAAGCCAACCGCCTCAGCAACCTCGGCCGCCACGAGCTTGTGAATTGCAATACCAGGGTGGTAGTTATTGAACCAAAGGCAGCTCGTCCCATCTTCATTGTAGCAAGTGGCGTCCGGCGCCCCGTAACGGGTAGGATTATCAATGGCCTCGTTGAAAGCAGGAGCCGTGTCGACAATCCAGGATGTTACACCTGAGTTCTTGGACTTGAATGATTCCATACTTGAGCTGATTAGGTCATTGTATTGTTCTATAGTGGCGGCAAGCATCTTGTTCGATTCTTCGCCGTTTTCAAGCATGAGCGGTGACTTTTCAGTTGCTGCCAACAAGTTAGCAGGGCCGGACAACATAACAGTTTCCTACACGTGAGAAGGGTCCATTGAGGCGAAGAGGCCAGTATATACTTACGAGGAACACCCAAGAGAAGGAAGTTTCGGACTCCGGCATCATAAAGAATTTGCAGCTGCTCAAAGTATCGTCCCAGCACCTTGACTATGAGGGCCTCTCTGTCCTCGAGCCAAAAAGAGTTCCCAACATCGTTGACACCCATCCAAACGCCAGCAAGTGTGTTATCTCCGGTCCAAGGTGCCCATGTAGGCTTCGGGGCCAATGTTTGCGAGAATAAGGAAGTCTGGTCGATGAAACTGAGAACCTCGGGGGACCAGGGAGCGATCAGCTCCGCGTCGGTCGTGGCACCCCCGCTCGCTAGATTGTAAGAGTATACTGTGCTCGCGTTTGACTCGCTGACGAGGAACCCGATCCAGTTAAGCCCTCCGCTTGTTGTCCATCCGGGAAGATCGGGGTTGCCCAGCGGATTTGCATCGTTTGGTTTGGTGCCGCTGATATCGAAACCGGTTTGCGAGTAGGAGTCTCCGCTGGTAGATATATCAGAACATGTTCTTTTCTTGGTCTATCTTATAGAATTTGAGCTCACAACGTAATGAAATATTGTGGTGTGGCGGCAAGCGGCTGCGCACCAGATAGAAGCATAGCGCCGCTGAAAAGCAATGTAATACTCTTGATTCTAGTCATTTTTCCTATTCACCTTTTCACTTTGCTTTTGGTGTTATCAACTGTTTCTTCCACATAATTTCATTGCTACTTATATCCTTTCTAACAGGCCAGGTCCACAAGGAGATATTAAAAAGCGCATCCAAGTCTCAAATTCCGGTGGCAACCTCACACTGGCTGATTGGCGGGAGTATATTAGCCATGCGGCTGCTCGGAACTCGCCCCGGGAGCCCGCCAGGTCCATTTCAATTTCAAAGAAACATCCGTGCAATTTCATCCCAAACAAAGCAGGTGGTATTTCAAACGGGGCAGGCTTCGTGTTTCATAACCATCTCCCGTTCCAATCACTCGGGTTATCTTGTGCCATCACGGCCTCAAAGGCATCATAAAGCCACGCACCCTCCGGAGGCCCTTCACTTGGTTGGGAAAGGGCCAGCTCCATATCTCTGCCATATGGGGTTGGTTCTTCCAGATCGCCCTTCTCCGCATCCCATTCCTCAAAGCCCTCCAATGGGTCTTGGCCAAAGTACTCGAGACCCTCCCGGCTAGTGAATTTCCAAATTGTGGTGGGCCATCCTTGAGGATGCGTGTCTTCGACCTGGATAAAATATATTTCTCCCCGAAGAGAAAGTTCATCAAAGTAGCGGCCCCAAAACCATTTGGGCCCACTACGTTGCCGTTCCGCCACACTATCTTCCGACTCAGTAACAGAGACAGCGTCGTCGTCACTTTGGCCTCTGTTGTCGACCTTCTTGAATTCATCAAACTCATCGTCGTCAAGAGAACTGCCGCCAATCATGAATGCTGTTGATGTCATGACGAGTCTCGTGGCTAAGAACTCAGGGCACTCATCTTCAAACATGAGGGATTGATTGTCTTTATAGTAGATGCCCAAATTGAGATCAAACTCGTCGTCATCATCAAAAATCATGTCCAATTTCTGGTCCTGAAAAGTGCACATGTCGACATCTTCGCCTTCGGGGATGATTTGGTCGTTCAGGTAGCCAAGTAGCTTTCTTTCCGGAATCAGGTGGCACTGGTGTCGTGGGTACTCGCTAAGAATCCGAACTGACTGGAGCCTGAGGTCGGGGATTTTAGAGAGTTTCTTGACTCTGCTGAGTGTCATGTTGCATTCTTGCAAGGAGAGGTGGCATAGTGTCGCAGCGCTTTCTCTTACAACCGCTATCAGCATCTTGTCTCCGATGTTCATTGAGATAAGGTTGAGAGAACGAAGCCTGGTCCATTGACTTCGGTCGATGTCAGGCGAATACCGTAAGAGGCTTTCCTCAATATCGCAGTTGTCTATCAGAGCCCACCGACTAGTTTCGCCCTCTATTCCCAAGGTCAAATGTCGAACATTGCTGCTGGCCTGTAGGCACGCCTCTACCCCATTGAAGGCGGTATCTCTCATCGGGGATGTTTGGTAGAACTGGGCCCACTTGGCGAGAGAGATGCTCAGGGTATCAAGATACCGAAAGGCTTCAGGCTCAGGGGTACCGAAGACACCGTTGCCCCGCAGCCCGTCGTCCCAAACCAGTCGTCGCACTGGAAAGGTCATTGTAGCCATGGCTGGCAGTATGAACAGGTACAGCCCGTCACTGCTCCAGTTCCAAGGAGCTTCCCAGCGCCCAGGCAGTCGGACTTGGATATGACCGGCTGTCATTGGGTAGTAGCAACCCTTGATGATCCGATCTGGGGACATTTGCCGCGAGGCCATGGTGTGAAGATTGGGCAACAAAGCGAGCGCTTCGCTGAACGCCCATTTGAAGCTTCTCACAGCCTCAGTGCGCAGCCGCTGAACGCCTTCATCGGGCCCCGCAGTAGTCTCGGTTTCGAAAAGAGCGGACAGGACACCACTTGGGATACAAGGAAGCCAGAAGGCCTGGTCGCATGACCTGTCTAATATTTCAACTGTGTCGTCGATCGTGACTGTGCCCTCTGTTCCCTTCCCGCCATCTAGGCCTTGAGATTCCCCGAGGACTTCTTCAGTCTCCGAGGCATTATCTGTACCCCGCAAGCCGTACCGATGGAGCAGATTGTTCTCGAAGCAACTAGGGTACCAGGGAAGCTCAGACCATTCAACCTCGCGTACGTGCTTTGCGAGGTGAGGCGAAAGACATATGTCAATAAACGAAGTGCGATCCTGCACCAGGGGAGAGATGTAGATGCGCCGAAAGAGCACTGACGAAGCAGAATCAGTCAGGGAGGAACAAGTCAGCCGTAAGGCTGCCAGATCTTCCGGGCTGAGGCAATCGTCCTCCACAATGAGAGACAAAAGCTCGGCCGATAGTCCTTCTAGACCGGCTGGGCCGCTAGGTGCGCCATGCGGCGTGCAGGAATCAGCCATCTCCTCTGTCTTCTCGGTCATGTGTAATGGAATAGGGAGGACAGATGAAAAGTTTGAAGATTTAGGACTTGGTCCTTGGAACCTTACGACAGATGGTAGCTGCCTAAGCGCCCAAAATTCTAAGACATTCACATTCATGCAGGGTGAAAGTATGCTTAGTAAATAATATGCATGTATCTTTTGTTGTGAAACCCCCCCAGCCTATAGGAGCTCTTTACTTTTGGAGTGGGTAAGCTGTCTTACAGACAGAGAGACCTAAATTTTAATCCAATCATCCCGTGTGGTTGGATTAATTGGCCGTTTCATTAGTCCTCTGAAAGTATTGGAGTCTCTTCTACCCCATTTTCAAGGACACGGTCCCAGTCTGGACGCAGAATGTCCGTTGCCTCGGTTTTACCCTCCCCTTCGGCATACATGATAGAGTTAGCTACTATCCGAATATCGCATGATAAAGAACTTCTTCCACTTCCAAGAGCATTACCAAAATCTCATGATCTTGTCTGCCAACAGCCAGTACCAATGGCGTCCTATCCAAATCATCCCTCAAATTTGGTTCTATGCCGTCGGCAGATAGCAACCGACTAACGATATCAGCGTACCCCGAGTCTATTGCCACATGTAGAGGAGTAAGCCCAGAAGATCCTGCCAAATTGACGTCAACCTTACCGCTAGCCAGAAGGGCAAAGACGGTTTCGGTCTGTCCTTCAATGATACCGACAATCAAGGGCGGATTCCCCGCAGCATCTTTAGCGTTTGCATCGATGTCTGCGTGAGCGAGGACAGTCTCAACAATAGAAACATATCCACCGGTTACTGCACCCAGGAACCAGGATTGAGTAAAGTAAGGGTGAATCTCGCTATTTACCAAAATGCCTTGAACGCCGAGAAGGGTGGTCACAATATCATAATTGCCGCCCTGTACAGCACATTCCAGAGCCGTAGTACCGTTTTCTGCGAAATTAACGTCAGCGCCCCCCTCGAGTAGTAAATTGACCATTTCCAGTCTCCAAGATACAGCCGCATCCTGCAATGGGCTCATCTGATCAAAGTCTCCCGCATTAGGATCAAGCGAGTCATCTTCCAGAAGTGCCCGCACGCACTCTAGTTGGTCTGCCCTGACCGCCGCGCTGAGTGCTGTAGTGCCATAGTCATTTTCGGCGTTCACGTCAATCTTTCCAGTGGCGACTAACAGCTTGACCATCTCGACATGTCCGGCCTGCGCGGCCATATATAAGGGTGTGAACCCTCCGTCCCATCTGACATTAAGATCGACTTCTTCAAAACCAAGCAGGTATCGAGCAATCTCAACATGGTCAAGAATTGCCACCTCCATGATGGAGGTCATACCATTGTCATCTGTATAACTAGGTTCAAAACACCCGGACTCGATCATGGTACGGAAAACGTCAACGTTTCCAATACGAGCTGCTTTAAGAATGGCCGTCCTGTCCGCATGATGATAGTCGCAATTCTCAAATAAAAGCGTAAGAGCATCTGCTCGTTCGAGTATCATCGCAAGTTTCAAGGCGCAATCACTAGGACAAGGGTAGCTGCTAGGAGATAAATTTCTCTCTGCCTCGAGGGCTAATTTGTATGTCGCTTCAGGCCCACGATGGATGATAGCCCGAAGAAGAGCGGCTCTGCCAATATCAAAATTGTTGTTTACAAATCGGCGAAGATTATGTGCATATAAGTAGGCATTGAGAAGTGTATAGAGGTGTCGGCTAACGCGAACAAACGCGTTCAGATCGTTCTCTTCCCAGAGTCCACGGGCGATTTTGACCAAAATCTCATTTGGGAGGTGTAGTAGAGGCATGTTGAAAAGGCGCGTGTTTGGTTCGTTTACAAGCCATGAGATCAAAATAGCTCCTTCAATTCAAATGAGGTGCGCATGGATCGCTGTATTGAAACTTGCTTTGTGGGGTGAGAGAGGCGGTGATGTGAAGGAGAGAGAAGCCATGAGAGCAGCCGTTGCAGCAGAGAATTGCTAACATATAAAGGTACAAACAATAAGACAAACATGACCTGGCTATTGTCTATTGATCGATGTCATGCCCTTGTGCTCTCACGGCCTTGATATGAAAATTATTCAAGGCTACTTATTCGTTGGGCTGATTCTGGCTTCTCTTGTTGCAAGCTTCTCCATGCGCTTCGGGGTGATCCATTTACGACGACGAACGCCTCAACTTAAGGACTACGATAAAGGGACATGGGGCACACGATGACAGGCACCATCCGACTAGTTACTGATGCATGACGTAGACCAGCCGCTGTCAGAAGTGGCCAAACCACTTACGTCTAACAGTTTCCATCTTCAACTCCTCTGGCACAGGCGATATAAAGTGATCGACTGGATCGGCCAGAATGGATTGTAGGGGTTGACATACTTCGCTGTGGTGTACTTCCAGTATAATGGGAATCATCCTGCCGTCTCCCAGTCCACGATTCCCACCACATCATCACCTGGAAGGAGGATATTGAGGCTGCTCAGGTCGCCGTGGGTAAGAACCAGCTTGTTTTCTGCCTGTTGATAGAGCTCGTCAAGGTCAGGGACTTTGGTGCAGCCAGTGTCTCAAAGAATACCATTGGATATTGCTTCGTAAAACTCTCACACAGTGGAGAACAGACCCCAGTAGTCCTGTGTTGGCAGGCGACAGTCCCAGAAAGGCCCGCCATCTATGCTGCTGACTTGTGTCCCTTCCGGGGGGGAACGAAGCGAAGTTCTGTGACTATGTCCTGCAGCTAATCCAGCAATCGCTTTTTTTTTCTCCTCTGAACGGTGTACCTAGTGATATCCCGCCATTGAAAAAGGCTGGTATATTTTCTGCAGAGTCTTGGTAAGAGCTTGTAGCGCGTTGCTTTGACAAGCATAAGGATGACTGTTCGGGCTACGCCTCCTAGTGCTAGGGGGGAGGAGGGGACGTCATCTAGATAATGACTAGAATGTCGAGGGAAGCAGCGCGTGAGATAACCTAAATAGGGACCTCTTGAAGTTTAGGGAATCCGAATTGATGTCGGCGATGAAGATGTGGCCAGGCCAGGTCTTACTGTTCATGGGAGGCACCAGGATCAGTTCTATCGGTGATATGTAGTAGTTTTGATACAGTTAATTAGATTAATAAATATTCTCCGATCCTACCATTGATTTCTCTATGTGCCACTTGTCCTCTTACCACATAGTTTTGGGCTTAAAGCGATGGGAGCAGCCTACTATTTCCTGCAAACGCTAACCTGGACGTGACCAATCTCGATTATCCTCACCCCAAAAATGGGTCCTGCCTCCATATAGGCTATGGCGATATATATAGCCGAACCTCAAAGACGACGGTTATTCTCCTGAGAACCCGAAATTCCCTAGATGAGCTATGTTGCAGAACTATGTCGGGAGAGCCTGGTGTAGATTATAGCAGATTAGCCCTCGGTCAGCTCAACCCTAGTGTAGGATGGCAGGATTCATTCTTACTCAATCAAATTGCCATCAGGGTCCCTGACGTAAATACTCTGGATCGGTCCTTGGGCGCCTGTTCGTGCGACTGTTTTGCCCCCTTCCAGAACTGTGATCCCCCGGTCCTGGAAACCCTGTATAACTTCATCCAGGTTTGTATCTTGCCCAACAAGAAAGCAAAGGTCGGCAGTTCCAGGAAGGGCCGTCGTAGCTTTTGGCTCAAACTCGGCACCTTTCTGGTGTAAATTGATCTTTTGCGATCCGTACTTCAGAGCCATCCGCGGGGTCGCCAACGGGTCTGATGCCGGTGTGAAGGTCTCCAACTTCATGCCCAGGTGCTCGGTGTACCATTGCGCAGTCCGCGTTGCGTTTGCACAGGTGAGCACAAGATGGTCAAGAGATTTAACAATAGCAAGTGGCTTTGACATTGTCACGAACAAGCACTCTTCAGGCTTAACTTCGCAAAGAACAAGAAAGTATATCCCGGTAGAGTGGAAACAAACTCAAGTGATGAGTGGTATATAAAAAACTCCGATGCTCGGGCCGAGAGGCGGAAACCCCGCATGACGTCGGGTTCCAAGTTTGAGCCCACCGCATTCACGCCACAGTAGTGCTACATTCAGCATCGTTACCCCTGCCATTTGCTCCTTGGGATCAGATTTCAGAGCCAATAATGAATGACTCATAGTGATTCGAACAGGAGCATAATAAAATCGGGACACGTTTCCTTCTCAATTCCATTTTGTTTGTATCTCCATTTCCAAGCCATAAAAAAATCAATGTCCAGCCGTTGACCGCTGAAGGTTACAGCAGCCAAGGATGGACGCCTGCTTTAATGGACTGCCAAATGCGTTTTCTTCAGAGCGGCTGTACTATATCAAAGCCGACGAGGGGGATGAAAACCTAAGGGATTTTCTACCTCGAGTGGAAGATGACCCAATGACGCAAGCTCTCGTATCAACTAACCTTTTGAGGCCCAAAGGGAAAGTAGATATCGACGAGACTATGAAGGGTTTGAGTCTTTCACTGTTAGGTGTCTCGATATGCCTTAAACCGGAAGAGGATGCGAAAAGAAATGGCAATAAAACAAAAGAAACACAATCACCAGCCGGAAAGACTCCTCGGCCCACGATCATAGGCTTTGTTGTGCTCGGGTGGGGAGGTATTCCTGCGAGCCAAGTCGTCAACAGGAGAGCCAGCATAGGAATTACACTCAGCCCTGAGTACCAGGACAAGGGTTACGGGCGGGAAGCTTTCAACTGGATGCTTGACTGGGCATTCCGTTATGCCGGGCTTCATACGGTTTTTCTGAGCGTGTTCCCATACAATGAAAAGGCAGTTCACTTGTACAAGAGCCTCGGGTTCGTACAGGAAGGCCGTCTGCGAGAGACCAGGTATTTCAACCGCAAGTGGCATGACGAGCTATTATTCGCCATTAATGAAGATGAATGGGAGAAAATCAGAGGGATAGCAAATGCTGGAGCTACCTAAAGAATTCTGGCCTTCGATAGCGAGAGAAATTTCAATCATACTTCGTGCTACTCTGCATCAGTTTCTCAGCCTCTCACAGCCGTGACATATCCAAACTTTATTTTTTTATACCACACAATCAAATCAATCTCGATCTGAAAAATGCCAGCTCTAACAATCGACAGCTTGCATGCTTGTGGAACTTCAAATATAGAACCTAAGCCCCAGATTACTGGATAGAAAATGAGAATACCGAGCCCGTCGGCAACAGAGTAAACGGTGAATGACCGTAGGGTAGTTTGAACTTTGAAGGAGACTCGTCAAGTTACCAAAGCTTCAAGATCCCTGTCTCGCGAACAGGCATAGCCCTGCCTTTGGTCCGAGCTTTAATCACCATGGATCAATGGATCTTCCCTCAGTTGGCTGGTACATTGGGAGCTTCTAGACTTAGTATGGCGCATGATGCTCATAGGTGCAGGTAATCGTATTCCCCCACACGACGTTACGTGCCGAGGCGTCTTGGGTAGTAGGAGCTTCCTTTCTAATCATATTGTATCGACTCGGCACGATTGACGTCCGGGGCACGACGGCAGGGGCTCTCATAAAGTGTCTCGTCTTTCGGGTGTCAACCACTGATATGTCTGCTTGTTGTTGATTCGTCATTTTTATATATATCGCAGTGTCGATATGAGTTTCAGGGGCCAAAGAGCTAACGACGAGAAGGGGAACGCACGGAAATCTAAAGATATAACAAGGCTGATCTAGTTCAAGAAGGGGTATATAAGTCTTGAGCATCCGCTGGCCCCAGCCAGATCGCCCCTCAGAGAAACTTAGAACCAAAGGATAACCGCCTCTTTTGCCTTCAAATAATCACCATGGCTTCCACCCTGACCGTCGGGACGCTTGCCTATGGGTACCAAGCCATCGACGCTTTTGGCCTTTTGGACGTCCTTAGCTCCGGCAGTGACATCTTTGTTAACGACTTGGAGCTTTTCCATGCTGTGAATCCGATCGCTAAGGAAAAAGCACCAAAAATAGTCTTCCATCATGTCGGCCTCAACCGTGAGCCTATTCAGACTCTTACAACCGGGCTCACTCTAGTGCCCACCTGCACGGTCGATGATGCGCCAGACTTTGATATACTCCTCGTCCCCGGGCCAAACCCGTACGGCTTTGAACTTGACCCCCGATTCAAGGAACTTATACAGCGCCAGGTTGCATCCGGACGATTTCTGTTTACCAACTGTACTGGGGCTTGCATCGCGGCTCAGGCAGGAGTCCTAGATGGGAAGAAGGCCACTGTGAACCATGCCTTTTTGAAGTGGGCCGCAAAGGAATACTCCAACGTCAACTGGACGGGTGAATCTCAATGGGTAGTGGACGGGAACGTATGGACCGCGGCTGGCGCTGTTGCAGGCATGGATATGGCTGCGCACTGGTTGAAGGAGAACTATGGCAAGGAAGTTATGACTCTGTCCGCTATGAACCTGGATTTCGAACCTCGCGATGTTAAAGGCGTTCTGAATGTGATTCCCCAAAGACATGATGCTGAAGGGAAGCAGACTGCAAGCCATGTTTTTGATTACACGGACTCTTTTTAGAGAGCGCTGGTCCGAATGAATGGCGAGGCTGGTGACTAAAAGAAGACTGGCCCGGCCTAGGTCCTGCTATTGCCATCCACTTTAGGATAATAAATGAAATAAATCCCTTGCTGAGACGTTTTTTCTTTCTTTCTCAATTCTCACTTACTGTCTCAGTTGCCAAACAACTCAACTTTTAAGATTCATCAAAGTCTTTACGCATGATTCGATTTCCACTGCCCAACATGTCTATCGTAGAATATGGTTTAGCCCTACCGGGCTCCAGCTTACATAGCTTTTTATGTGACACTATTAAAGGTTAAAACTTATGCTAGACAACAAATTTGAAATATTATGCCACTCACAGTAGTCACATCAACGGAATGCAAAGGTTGAAGCCCGAAGCTTAAGAGCGCATCAGAACCAATAGTATTTCACGTCTAAGACAATAAGCACTGATATATATGACGTGAGTACTTATATATTATCCGAATAGCCATCTTCTATAAATTGAGCCCATTTGAAAAGGTGTAGTCGGCAGTCAATGTTTTCTTCGTTAGGGTAAACAGGACTCAGGACTCTTTCAACCACATTTACTTGAGATATAACATCAAGCATGAACATCAGTTTTTCGGTTATGAATCTTGACCGCCTTTTCCGTAAAAAATATGCAGTTCTCGTGTTGATATGTCACTCTCTTATTATAGGGCCGACTCTCCACGATATTAAATCCTTTTGAGCTACAATATGCAAACAGTGCATCATTCATCATTTATGCAATGTAACATGGGGTTAACCCCTCATTTTCTCCAAGGTACTTTCTCATGAATATGTAGTAGTCTAGGTGTTGGTCACATTTTCGGCCATTTCCTTAATAGTCAGACTGAACCTAAGTTCCATGTTCCATGACGTCAATGCATATGCTGAAATGGTCTTCGGGATAGTGAGCACCGTCAACTCCTCCGGCCGTGGTCTCTTGTGAGCTGTTCTTTGACGAATTCTTCTCGGCTCTAACTTTGAGATCAAGACTAACATGAGACACGGCCTTACAATGGAGGCAGTGGTTACAGAATTCCACAACTTAGTGTCTGTTCTCGGAGACATTTCGATGCTGGGATCTGCATCAGCCCATGACAAATTGTACTACATCATTGAGGGACAAGGGGGACAGATGGAACACTAACGCCCCGCCTCATCATCGCACGAGATCGAATGGGTGAACTCTTATTGGAAGGTCCCCCGGCTTTTTAATTGCCTGCAGGGTCTTTGGGGTTAAGTTGTTGGAAACGTTACACTGAATGGCGTAATAAATTAATTGGATTCAGGGCTTCCGCAGGATTTAGATCTATATAAGTTCTGGAGGAATACGAGGTGCGAGCTGGCACAATTGTAAACTTTTTTTTTAGTTATTTGGAATCGAATCTAAGAGGCAAACAGCAGAAAGCTTCCAGTTACAGCCCAAAGCGACCAACTATTTCCCATGATGATGTTCATACAGCTGCTTGCTCTCGGCGTAGCAATACTGTCACCTACGGCTGCCGGATATGACCAACCAGCATATTTGACATGGATGGCCGACACCTTCATTCAGGACGGAGTTACTCCCAACTACGGTTACCAAGTGGCAACGCTTTACCTTGGGTTCGAAAAAGCTTATGAGATATCAAATGATGAAAAGTACCTTGACTGGTACAAGGCCCAGATCGATGACTATGTTGTGCTTGAGAACGGAACTATCAAGAACTGGAACTATACAAGATACGTTCTTGACGAATACCGAATTGCCAACAACTACCTGTACCTCTACGATAAAACCGGATTAGAGAAGTACAAGTCGGCAGCCAATATCGTCCGTAACATGATAAACTCCACCCCCAGGTCCCCATCTGGAGGTTTTTGGTAAGCTTAATCGGATCAAGCGGCTTTGGTTTTGGCGAGTTTCACTAAGTAATAACTTGATCAGGCATCAGATATTTTTCCGGAACCAGATGTGGCTTGACGGGCTGTTCATGGCCGAACCTTTTTACGCAAAATGGACACATAGGTACGATGCAGACAATCAGACCGCGTGGAATGACATCCTCCTCCAATATGATCTCATTGAAACGCATGCGCGCAACAAGACCTCTGGACTCATTCCTCATGGATGGGCAGATGGACAGGCAACATGGGCGGACCCGGTAACAGGAGTTTCGCCTCATGTGTGGGTTCGAGCTCTTGGATGGTATTTTATGTCGCTGGTCGAGGTCCTCCAAGTCTTCCCCACCTCCCACCCAGGCTATGAAAGGCTTATGGGCTATTTCGTATCTCTGGCAGAGGCTTTGAAGAAGACACGAGATGTGGATTCCGGAACCTGGTGGCAAGTTATGGAAGACCCGTACCCAAGTTTCGAGGAGAATTTCATAGAGGCCAGTGGTTCTGCCATGTTTACTTACGGATGGTTCAAGGGCATTTCACTTGGATACCTGCCGAAGGAGGCCTACTTGGAGACAGCAAAGGACGCATATACCAGCATCGTGAGGAACTTCATTTCCGAAGCGGAGGATAACCGTCTTGTTCTTCACGGGACGGTCGATGAGTGTAATCTCATCGGCAAAGTTGACCTTGCCGTATGTATCACCGCCCATCCTTTCTCTCAAACTCTCAAAGATGCAACATTGATGACTTTTTACTAATGCGTTGGGAACTACTTGCAGTATTATTTCAGCAGACCTATTAGAGACAACCATAAAAATGGTGTTGGACCTTTTATGCTTGCATCTTTTGAATGGGAGACCTGGGCTAGAGATGCGTGATACAACCATCAGGATGAACAGCTGATGATTCCACTCTCCATACCAGCTCTCTAAATCGGAAGAATAGAAAAGCCACATCGGCTGTATATATTATTGCCATAAATACTAAGTCGTAGCTTATTCTTCAAATCCGATAATTGTTTAAAGTTAACAACTGTTCTTTACTTTGCATGTAATATACTTGATGAGTACTCTCTGAGGGTACTTAGGAACCTTGGGAGAGTACGAAGTGTTCGGTGTTGGAGTATTCAATTCATCGCGTGCTGTAAAGCTTTTATTCGGCTATTTACACATCTCCCCTATTGTTCCTTCTTTTTTTCTCTTCTGTGAGGTGAGCGGCTTCCGACAACCCAAAGAAAGCTGACCCTTCAGCATCCTTGAATCCCAGGCAAAGTATGTCCCTGATGGTCTGAAGGTCCAGCTAAGCAAGAGATTTAGAGACTGCAGGAACCCCAACTAGCTGAAAATCATTATATGATCCTTGGCACTCCGTTTCGGAACAGATTTTCGGCATCATACTTCCGCTTCAGATCGACCAAGGTTGGAAGATGTTCCTTATAAACCTTTTCCAAATCAGTACCCTTAAATCCTTCCAGTGATATATATGAACTGCTGAGGATATTTGCCTGATCAGTCTCGCGTAGTTCCTGACGGACTTGCTGGCCCCATGCCAGCGCGCTTTCAGTCTGCTCTGCATCGGTAGTCATGGCTATAATTTCAACCATATGATGAGCCTCCCGAGACGCGAAAACAGACTCCTTGTACCCGCTGTCCGCACGTAGACTGTGCACGCAAATCATGCAGCTTGTATACGGCACAGTGGCGTTATGCTTACCCAGGACCGCCGCGACTTCCGGCGTCCACTTCTTAAGGCTGATCGTGTACGATCGGCCATAAACGCCGTATGTGACCAGCTGGTTGTTATCCTCGGCCATTTTCAAAGCCGTTTTGGATTCTACCATTTTCATGATGTTGGGTGCAAGGCTGGCAATCTTGTCAAACCACTTACGACCCTCGTCATGATCATCCGAGACCCAAGTAAAAAGCATGCCGGTTACTTTACCAACACCGGGGAACTCCATGGCGAGAAACTGGAGTTGCCCAGGACTTGGCAGGGCAAGATTTTGGACCTTTTCACTCAAAGTTGACCAGGTCGAATTCATGTCGCTGGACTCAAAGATGATGGTTCCAGAAAGCATCTAGTTCATCAGTTTAGTCAATAATACAGAATGAAAGGGAATGTTTGCCGGTCTACCGTACCTCTTTGAGCGGATAAACCTTGATGGTCAATTCAACAATCGGTCCAAACACTGGACCGGCTCCTCGGATCCCCTTGAGCAAGTCATCTTCTGCCTCAAAGACTTCACCGTTGTTTCTGACCAGCTTGGCTCCGAGGATCTGATCCGCACCGAACCCATACAGGCTCAAAAATGGCCCGTACCCTCCGAGAGTACTCCATCCGACGTAACCGACTGAACTAATCGTTCCGCTAGATCAAGGAGACTTCCATCAGTAAATTACTAACAAAGCCGGAGAATTCGTGGTTCACAAACCATGGGGTGACGAGGCCATGCTCGCCCAGAGTCTTCAAGAGTCCGCCCACCTGGATACCTCCTCCAATCTTGGCAGATTTCTTGTCATCACTGACCTCCACATATGCAATATCGCGCATGTCAATGACAAGGGAGTTATCGATCAGTGTTTCGCCAGCACAACTATGACCGCCGGTCCGGATAGTGAAATCAGCTTGATTCTCCTTACATGCTCTAACCAGGGCAGCAACTTCGTCCGCATTCTTAGGTCGTGCGATTGCCGTGGGACGTGCAGGGGTTAAGATGAACGACTTTCGTAAAGCGTCATACTCAGGAGAGTCGGCAGTATGAAGCTGAATGCTTGGGTTACTGGTCTGAAGCGATGAGAGAACTGCTTGTACTGCTGCGGCCATCTTGACGGTAGGTGATCTTTATGTTTTAAACTTCCAAAGTAGAAACTTGAGGGTTCAGGGAATCATAGATGGGGATGATCGTGCCTTAAAACCACGGCCCTGACTGAGAACCCTTGATGACGAGGAGCCCCATACGCCACTCTCACGTGCAAAATCCTACTGGCGTACTCACCGATATTCACGATCTCGTTTCTCACTGGTCATCGGAGAGCAGGGAAGATGGTTAGAGTAAGCACCAAGAAACTCTACCCACTACTAGCGTGGCGTGTAGGTGAACTATCCCGGCACTTCAACGCAATACGCACAAGGCCTAACCCCAGAATCTCACCAGTTTGCTTAATAATATCGAAAGGATCCAAACAAAAATGGCATAGTGGCAACTTTCTGCGAGCTGTACTTCCTAACCTGGTAATTGGGCGAAATTGAATCTGAGACTCCCAAAGATGATATATCCTGCCCGTCTTATTTTCGACTCTGCGACCGGTATTGTTGGATTAGAGGATTAGCAATAACAATCTAAATAAAGATGCCTAAAAATTGACAACGTGCACCAGTTCGTAGTGCTACATCTTTTCCGGTCATCGCAAAAAACCTCAAAGTAATGCCCATCTCTTGCGTCACCCAGTTTCGTGTAAATACAACCCAAGGAATAAGATCACCAAGCTCATCTGAGCTCTGGAAGAAAAGCTATTGAAAACCGAGCCTATGTAAGTTTTTTAATGCAGTATTTACCTTTACCACCGTAGTAATAGATAATCTGCTGTGAAGGCAAAGGCTTCAAGATGAACGGTATTGCCCTTGTCTAGATACCTACCCTACACTACGCTTGGTGAATGAGGTGTGATGATACGCGACGACACCGTGAAATAAGGTGAGTAGAGAAAGCCCATGCGTGTATTAGGCCACATCTCTTGCCATTTAAATCAATTCTCTTCTTTAAAGCTCGAATGCTTATTGATTGTGCCAAGCGGGATGCTGTGGAGGGACAGGTTTCTCAACTTGAGATAATGAAAATAAAGGAAAGATGATGGTATGAGTATTCAGAGTTTTATTTATTTACGCTATCTTCAGGTCTATCATACTTCAACTAAGGGCCTACCTATAATCGCTTGATAGTGAAGTTCTAATATGCCCGGTTATATTAAGAGTACAATAAAACTTGAGCTTATTATGATAAATCTTGCCTTGGCGCCAGTCTCTCTTTAAACTTCCATTCCTCATTTTTTTCCTAACTCAAAGCTACTCTTTCCGGCTTGACTTTGATAAATCCACAAAGAATCGTGTTTCTTGTGTTTAAAGATCGATTCATCCAAGTATACACCACAGCAATCGCCGACACTCACAGCGCTCGTGTAGACCACAACAATCCCGCTTGTCGCGAGCAGTGAAGTTCGTTCACTTTGGTCGTTCTATGTCGAGATTTCTGATGCCATCCTTCATCCATCGTAGGCTTGCTTTAGGAAGCCTACTGGTGTCTAGAGACAATAACTTTTTGCTGCAGAAACATAGAAACGTCGGGCGCATAGAGATCGACGGGACTTAATGCAAATGCAACTGCCTGCATACCACACATGAGTATATGGTGTCTGTTCTCAGTTTTGATGGGACCGGTTTTAAGAGGGTTGCCAGCAACAAGATTAACACGAGCGATCAGAAGCCAGTTAGTCCTACTGACGAAGTTGGAGATTCTCTTCATCAATAGATTCGGGTGTAAGTTCCAACTATATCAAGGTTTTGAGACAAGATCTTCAAGCTGCACTTCAAGATTAACTAAGGACAATCTCAATAGTTATGTAGCATGCGTTATAAGAATTGGACACATATCATAGCCAGAGTCGTATTAGTAGAGGCCAGGTTATTACAGTAAAGGGTAGCGACCGCCGTAATCTCTAGCTGCACTGCACGTGATGAAGAAGGACCTTAGTGGGAACGAGTATTGTCTGAGCTCTAAGAAGCTCATGATGGAGGTTATAAAGGGAGATGAGCAGGCCAGCTTGATCAGGTTTCCTTGATATCAACTGACAAAACGGCCACACCAAGACCAACCACCCCTTCAAGTCACCTGGGTGTCCTCGGAGAGAAGTCTATTGGATGTAGACGACGTTAAACCGGCACATTGCTTGAAATATTCGAGTGGTGAATGAGACCTTGCCATTCCGGTTGTGAGACGAAACGACTTTCCTCTTCATTGCAGAAACCGCAGACCAGCATGCAGATCATAAACGGTCCTTCCATTCAACTTACCATGTTGGATAAAGGCATGACGTTTCAGCATGAATCCAGTAAGAGCGTGCGTTAGGGATCAGGAGCTTCGTGTTTAGTTAGCCAACCCATCATGTCTCGTGCTTTCGCTGTAGGGGAGGGATACGGCGCGTTTCCATGTACATTTTCGTTTCACGCCATCCAAAAATATTCCATTTTCCCTTCTAGTTTGCCTGAATGGGTATAATTTATATAGTGAGCCTAGAACGCTGGCCTATTATCGCTAAGGCCGTTCAAATGGCAAAAACCTTTCTTCCCCGTCTACATCTATGGTGGCGAATCCCAGGCGTTGATTTGCTGAAATGATTCGTGTCGGTCCCGCAAGAGGATTCGGCCGCGATTCGGCGAGTCGTCATCATCAGCATGGGACATGTAAGACGGCGTGGAGCACTTCATTTGACCATGTCAGACTCGAGCTTGGCTGGGTCTCGGGCAGCTTGGATTCCTGGGCTCCGAGGGACCTTCTGTGTACGGCTAACAAGATTGGATGGGGCCGGCATTTCATTGGTAGCCGCACGTTCCGGGCACGTTCCACAATCCGTCGCTTGGTTGCTCGATTGCCGGGCTTGGATTTGCCTGAAATAGGCGCTCTGTCAGAGCACCCTCCTTGTATTATCGAAAGTATGTTCACTTGGAACAGCGGCGGCAAATTAAACCTGGGAACAGGAGCTTGATCATGTGCCTCGTACGATCTGCAAAAGGGGCATAGATCGTTTTCTCTATTCTCTTGTCAAGCTCCAAGTTGAACTGGTGGCAGCCAGGGGGACTGGTAACAAGGGGATACCCGGCGCCTTGGCTACGCTAACTTGGCCGCCCCTTTTTTGTCAGCCATCTCTGTGGAAAGACTCTGGAATTGGCCTAGTTTTCCCTCACAGTGTTCGGTTGCGATAATAATAAGTGAAGCCGTAGTGGCAGGAAACGAAGAAGCCCAGCCCATGCTGAGTCACACATCACACAGCATGGGCATGACTCGGCGCCTCCGCTCAACATGAAACTGGCTGCTTTGTTTCATCCCAAACTGATCGGCTTCATCGATGTCTGGCGACAGGAAGAACAACATGAGATTCCCTCTTCGGCATTCCCTTCAATTGCCAATCTTGGATGGAAGCTTGCCCCCTGAGCCTTAGGGAGATATAAGAAGCTTAATAGGGGAAGATCAACGGTAGCTGGCCTGCATGTTATGAACGGAAATTAAGGACTCCGCATAGGACACGAGGGATGGATTCGGTAGTTAAAAATAGAAGAGGGACGATCGGCATTGAATGCCATCTCGAGCAGTTCTTGTCGCGGCTTGAAACCTTTTCGACTACCGCCTGCCCAGTTGGAAAGGATGCTGACGGTATTTGGTCCAGGATGCAAGGATAGCAGTTCCTACAAGCTTTGGCCCTGCAACATGGTGGAACACTTGGCATTATGGGGGTTGAACATTTGAACATACAAAAACCAATATGACGAACGACTTGGTCCCAAGGAACTGTAGACACCATCATTCTTTTTCTTGAGGCATACTAGGATACATCGTCCATCATGCGTCTCGGATCAATTGGCAATATCGCTGCCATCCTGGCCTCATTGGCCGTGGAGTTGGCCAGTGCAGTGCCTCAATGTGCAACAAGCGAGCGTCTGCAAAGGCAAAGTGAGGGAGAGAGGCTGGTCTTCGCCCATTTCATGGTAAGGATTACTTCACTAGTATCGTTTGATTCAATGTCTCTGACTTGATTGCAGATTGGTATTGTGGGGTCAAGAGCCAGTGCTGCTGCATATGACGATGACATGAAGAGAGCCAAGGCGGCTGGCATCGACGCCTTTGCGCTAAACATCGGAACGGACGACTACTCCGAGACCCAACTCAACTATGCCTACGAGTCTGCTGCCAATAACGACATGAAAGTCTTCATTTCTTTCGACTTCAACTGGTACAACGTCACCGAAGGCACTCGTGTTGGCAACCTGGTTGCCACATATGCCTCCAAGTCAGCTCAGCTCATCGTGGACAATAAGGTCTTTGTGTCTTCATTCGCGGGAGACGGAGTTGACAGCAGCGCCATTCGCGAAGCCGCGGGCCGCGAGGTTTTCTGGGCACCCAACTTCCACCCTGGCGAGGCGGATTTCAGCACAATCGACGCGGCCCTCAACTGGATGGGCTGGAACAATGACGGAAACAACAAGGCGCCAAAGCCCGGTGCTACCGTCACAGTCGAGGACGGTGACAAGTCGTACGCCCAGGCTCTCGCAGGGAAGCCCTATGTTGCCCCTGTTTCTCCTTGGTTCTTCACTCACTACGGTCCTGAAGTCGACTACAGCAAGAACTGGGTGTTCCAGGGCGATACCCTGTGGTACGACCGCTGGCAACAGATTCTTCAGCTTCAGCCTCGATTCCTTGAGATTGTTACCTGGAACGATTATGGAGAGTCTCACTACGTTGGCCGCCTTGACAGCCCCCATGGTGATGACGGCAACTCGAAGTGGGTTTACGGATTCCCTCACAACGGCTGGCTCGACATGGCCGTCCCTTTCATCTCTGCGTATCACGACGGTGCATCAGACGCAACTCCGTACATTAAGGAGAACCAGATCGTCTACTGGTTCCGACCCACACGCAGCGACCTCGACTGTGACGCCACCGATACGACAATGGAGGACGCTAACAACAGCACCGGCAACTACTTCAAGGGCAGGCCTGATGGCTGGGAGACCATGGAGGACAAGGTCTTCATCGTCACTCTGCTGACCGAGGCCGGAAGACTCGAAGTCACTGCTGGAGGAAAGACGGAGAGCTTCGAGGCTCCCAAGGGTCCAGCCAAGTTCTCTGTCGACATGGCTGCCGGAGCCGTCACTTTCCGCCTATACAATGGCGACAAGGTGGTTCTCGAGGGCGATGCTGGCATGCAGATCCTCGACCACTGCCCCTGCGGCATCTACAACTTCAACCCCTATGTCGGCACCATCCCCGCGGGAGAACCTGATGAGCTCCTTCCTGAGGCCTATTCGTCTATCATGGCTGGCTTGAAGGTAAGCACCTGTGGACCATATGGCGCGGCGGCTACGGCAGCAACATCAACTCTTGCGGCTGTGGAGGCCAAGATTACTCTGTAATCGCCACCTATCTCTATTGTATGGTCGAGATATTGTGAAGGTCTCTTGAATTGTAGATTAGATTGGATTAGAGTGATCGAGGAACAAATATATCCATGTTTTGGTTTATAAAAGCATTCGACCGCGTTGATTTTCAGTATGAGTAGTGATGTCCTCCCTATGAATGCGCAGATGAGGCAAGAAATTTGTTTCATCTTTTAGTATTAGAGTTACTGACGTGTTGGATACCACTGACTGTTCCGTTCATAATCTCCTACACCGACAATTTGTGTGCTTTGATGCCGAGTTTCGGCGCTTCGCTCCGACTTGATGATGCAATTGCGGGGATCGGATCCTTCTACCAAACTTAAGAAATACCTCTCGCATGCATCACAATGTGCATAGATTCTCAACTCTCTTGAATCATCAGTTTACATCTTTACAATCGGAACGCAGAAGATCCAAGACAATGGCTACAGAGCTCAGGAACATCCCTACAACACGAACCGACCCAGATGACCGGAATTCCCACGAGGAGGAACTTGGGGAGAACGCAATTCCCATGCTTCCTCTCGTAGACAAGGGAACAGAAGCATGGAAATACTTATTGGGCTCATTTCTGATCGAGGCCGTCCTTTGGGGTATGTTCTTTCTCGCACCATCTTCAGCATTGACGGAGATCTAATGCTGCTTGTCTATGTAGGCTTCCCTCTGTGCTTCGGTGTTTTCCAAAACCATTACGCGAGCACTCCGAAGTTCGGAAATGACCCGAATATCCCAGTTATCGGGACGCTCGCAACAAGTCTTCAATTCCTTGGCGCGCCCGTTGCCGCGCCCTTTGTCAAGCGGTTCGGCCGATGGCGGCAGCACATGGTTATCTTCGGCTCAGCCATATGTGTCGTGTCTCTCGTCTTGGCGTCGTTTGTCAACACCGTTGTCGGTCTCATCTGGACTCAGGGGGTTCTCTATGGTGTTGGCTTCTTGATACTCTACCTGCCTGTAGTATCTATGCTCAATGAATGGTTCGTTCACCGCAGAGGATTTGCTTACGGAATTCTCTATGCTGGGGGCGGCATCAACGGCGTCGGGCTTCCATTTCTACTCGAATGGCTCCTCACCAAATGGGGTCACCCTTCCACTCTTCGCATCATGGCCGTGGCGCAGTTTGTGCTCGTTGCCCCCGTGCTGCCGTTCTTGAAGGGTCGGCTGCCTCATTCGCATCACTCTGTCTTGCAACCCATAGATCTGAAGTTCTTCAGGGCGCCGCTATTCTGGGTCTTTGGCCTCTCTAATCTGTGCCAGGGCTTGGCGTACTACATACCATCTCTTTACTTACCATCCATCGCATCTGCTCTTGGCCTCTCCGGAACAGTCGGCGCGTTGATTCTCGCAGCGAATAATCTTGCCTCTGCCGTCGGGCTCTTAAGCTTCGGCCATCTTACAGACCGGTTCAAGAATATATATATCTTGATCTTTATCTCGACGGCTGTCTCGGCTGTCGCCAGCTTTGGGCTCTGGGGCTATTCACACTCCTTGGTCTCCCTCCTCATGTTCTCCATCATCTATGGGTGGTCAGCCGGTGCGTATGCTGTCTTCTGGCCAAAGTTCGGAAGCATAATCTCGGAAGACCCTCAGCCAGTATACAGCATGATGTCGTTTGGGAAGGGTATTGGAAACATCGTGACGGGTCCAATCTCCGCGCTGCTTGTGACAAGGCCCGTGCAGCTCTCGGCATACGGCCTGGGCAGGTTCGAGCCAGCCATCATCTTTGTTGGATCTCTCATGCTTTGCTCCTCGCTTGGTATCATTGGGTGGCCGTTGAAGCAATATCTTGTGCGCAGCCGATGAATGCTTTGAGAAGACTTGGTCACTTCCTCTTGGTAATTAGGCTTGAGGTAGAGCAACAATTAGATTCTCGATCAAGATTCTCGACATGTCTAACTGCTCATTAGGTTTAGTATTCTGAAAGTTTTAACATCCATTACCGTGTTTTTGCTATCAGGATGAGAGGCTTGATACCAGGAGCAGTCCAAATATACATTATGTTATTAGCTAAAGTACTGTACACTGGCTATTTAACTCTGTTTCTATACGAAAGGAATTTTATTGAAAGTCCCCCTGGAAAAAGCCCTTCTATGAGAGCATTGTGGTATATAAAAGTACTGCAGCTAGAGCTTCGCTCGTTTTAGAAAACATCTCGTCGATCAAATGGATTTTGCATACTATCCGTACTACAGCTTCGAGAATCTTCATCTGCTATACACGTCAGTGAACTTGGGTGCGGTTTGAGTAAGGGTATCCAGCTTACCCTCAGACAATTCTCCTTCGGATTCTCCTTCAGAATCGAGATCAACCTTATGTTCAGGGATATGGACCCAGAAGCCTTCCCTGGGACCCTCTGTCCCATCATCACCTAGCAAAGGATCAGGGCTTCGCAGCCGTTGCAACGCGGTAGATTCGATTGGCCACCAGACCTTGACACCACCAATTTCAGCAACCTGAAATGTCCCGGCATCGGCATTCTTGCTTTTCAGTGAATCGCATGTGGCTTTGAACCAAGTCCAATCTGGGCACGAAAGAGTAACATGGGTGGTCGAAGGCACAATCCTCTTCAAAAGATTGCCAATTGAGGGGAAGAGACGAGTTCTAAGTCGGTTCTCCACTTCATCTACACTTCTGTAAGGCCAGAAAAGGCCGGTTGCGGGATCGATCTTGGCTGGTTCGACTGCCTTAAAGGCGATACGGAGAAACATCAAATATGGAAAGATAGGCGTCCGTCTCACTGTTGATGGGGATCTGGATTTCGCCTGGTCTTTGAACCCATGTGCAATCGGAACTTGGTCAGCATCCCAAACTAGTTCGAGGGAAGTGAGATGCTGTAGAACTGTCTCCGACATGATATTTTGAAGGCCTCGGAGGAGAGGGGGGGTGGAGATGTGGATTGTATTTGTCCTGTACAGAACGTCCATTCCTTCGATATACCTAAGAAACTGTCAGCATCACGAGATAAGTCTTCATCCAAGGTGCATCACATCACTCACGCCTGACGGCAAGTCAAGAGCCATCCGATGGCTTGAATCTGACACTTGTGCGGCCATTGGCCAGAGTGGTTCGCACAGGCCCCAGCGCCATTCATGCAGCCGTCTTCATCCAGTTCCTTGCCATAGTCCAGACGGCTCCTTGTTCTCCCACATGAAAGGAGCTCTATTCCAAACTCACCAGCTGGCGGGGAGCGATGACACACGCAGCCGAACCAATGCCACTCCTTCGGTCGATCCAGGTCATGTCGCTTGCCGGCAAATTGGGATTTAAAGTTCTGTATTCTTCCATGGAACTGATTATGCTGGTCGGAAGAGAAATAGATGTACTCGAATGAGTCTTGAAATTCTATATCTTTCCGGAGGTGGAAGGGGTGTTGGTAGTCCAGGTGCATGTGCAGAGTCCTCTCCCCAAAAGCTAGGATAAGAATGTCCCGGCGCAAGGTTGGAGGCAGGTTGAAAAAGAGGCCAGGATTCTGTTCGGGGGAAGGGGTTCTGGACTGGATCTCGGTGATCTGAACCTTGACGGGGCTTTTGGGTTCAAGGAACACTGCTTTGAACTCCTTTTCCCGCCGTTTCCCTTCCCGATACTTGCGGAAGCTGGCTGAGAGCTTCATCCTGGAGCAGAAGGATGTGGCGGTCGGGTGTTAGCTTTCTTGGTCGGCCAAAGTCGAATTATACCATATATAATAAGATCCGTGAATCCTCTTGGAGTGGCTTAATAAAAGTTAGACCAGGGTGACGACGAGGGAAAAAAGCATCAGTCAAGAGACAATCTCTTATGCTGCTACACCATATCATATATAATTAAACACAAGGAACAGAAATAAGAGAAAAATAAGGAAAGAAAGACATGGCGAGGAGACAAAGACGAGAGATAATACTAGGCTGTGATGGCGCCCTTGGCGTGATGCAACCCAACAAGAACCAACGGTGGCTCGGTCCATCCATATTGGTAAATTAGTCGATAAGCCAATCAATTTCAGACCATTTTCGCAGGATCGGGAAATTGCTGCGCCTCTAAGCAGCATGATAACGCCTAAACCTATCAGCAGAGGCTCCATCCACCTACACACTCTGGCTCCTTTAGGCAGCATGGGCTCTCTCTAGGCCCTGTCCCAAGCGTCTAGGCCCGTGTAGACGCGCTGGAATGTTGCAGCTGACGGCACGTGGAAGGTCAAGTCAATTTTGCGCCTCTGAGAGCTTATCTTGGTCGTAATCCTCCTTGGGAAAGCCCGCCTTTCTGCCCTACCACTATTGGACATCCTTGTCTTTATCGCTTCCCCTCTGAGTCATATCGACTTCCTACTTAGATAGGGTCGTGCTTATAACATGTAATTTGACCCCGGATAAATGGGTGCTGTGCTGGCTCCCACGTACCAGGGACGAACACCGACAATTCATCCTTTGGTACTTCAGTCGAACCGCAGGCAACAGCGCTCCCTCCTCAATGGGTCCAGGCCTTGTTTTGTGCGAGAATGTAAGATTCTCGCCTCCATCAAATAAACTATTGAAAAAAGTCGCGCTGAGGGTGTGCGGGCGGGCTGGACCACGTCATGTGCTAGGGGCCATAGGGTAGGCTGGCAGTCTCGGTCGAGAGACACCAACTCTCCTATTTCATCACATCACACCCATCCCCATCTTCATCCCCACAGCAAATTGAGTCAGCCAACGGAATGCGCCGGAAATTGTCCCACAAGCGGGGTCGAGCCGCGGAAGTGCTGCAAGGTCTGACATCCTCGTGACCGCCAATGCAGAATAGAGTGACTTCGTGGCTCGTAGCGCTCCATCCAGCACGCGACTTCTCCACGCACTGATCCTGAGACGCTTCAACGGCCGCCGCGAATCGCAAGACGACTTGCATGTGTCCTCTCAGCCAGCCTGGCCATCGCTTGAGCTGGCGCGCGACATGGCGGGATCCACGCCGCCCCTGGGCTTGACCATTGTCCCTTGGCAGGTCGACGGCCAGCAGGCACGGGGGAGGCCGAAGAGAATCCCGGATCCCAGGATCAGGACGCCGACCGGGCGCCTGCCCAAGGTTCGGAGCGCCTGTAATGCCTGCCGAGAGTAAGTTCCCTTTCGTGTCCCCTCCGCGGGAACCGATCGCGTATGTTTTCTTCTTTTTCTCATGTGCCGAACCACCGTTAGCAAGAAGACCCGCTGCTCCGGCCATATGCCCTGCATCCGGTGCCGAAAGTATGGCGAGACGTGCGAGTATATGCCCAAGGCCTCCGATCCACCCGTAGACGTGACCGGCGAGGTCGGTCAGAGCAGTCTCGAGGCAGCACGAGGCTCGGCCGAACTCTCCGTCCACCGGCAGGAAGAGAGCGGCAGCCCCCTGCTGAATGAAGGCACCATCGAAGACACCGTCCAGCAGGACCAGTTCGGCCACTATCATGGCGGCACATCCGAGTTTGCCTACCTGCAGTATACCAAGCAGAAGCTGGCCAGTATCCCCTCCATGTCCATCTACTTTGTCGACTCTCCCTTCCCGAAGCTTGAGGAATCTGATTGGATCCTCCCGCCGAAGCCCATTGCAGATGAGTTGATGCACTCATACTTTGACTTTGGCTTGACCACGACGCGTTTTGTTCATGAGCCGAGCATGCGGCAGATATACGAGACCTTCTATGGACACCTCGATGCTCGGAAGGAGCTCGGCTCAGATGTCATCGCTCTTCTCTACATGGTGTTTGCCTTGGGGTCACACTACTCTAAGCTGGAGAACCTTTTCTGCGGCTATAACTCTAGGTGTGTTGGCCATTTAGACTGACTGACTGACCATGCGTCAACTAACAATCAACCCAGCGTTCGCTTCTTCGAAATGGGCATGAAACAGCTCGAGAAAGACCCCAGCCGCATCACGCTCGCTACCTTGCAAACTAGACTCCTGGCCATCCACTTCCTCATCCACCATTCAAGGCTCCATCAGGCATGGTCCACGTTTGGCACCCTCGTGCGTCACGCCCAGGCGTTGGGCATTCATCGCCATTCCATCGGCCCACCAACAGACTACATCGCCCACGTCTTCCGCAAGCGCATCTTCTGGACCATGTACATCAACGACCGCCAGCTGAGCAGCTTGTTTGGACGGCCGTGCGCCATCCACGACGATGACATCGACCAGGAAGAGTGCGAGTTCGCCGATGACGACGGCATCACCGTATCGGGTATCATCCACACCCCAAAGGACCAGTTCTGTGCCGCTGCAGCTCTCATCTATTACTCTCGCGTCGCGCGGATCCTAGGTAAGATTCTTCGAGAGTTGTACAGCCCCGCAGCTCGCCTCAGACCAATATCCAAACTATACAAATCGGCCATGGAGCTGGAGAATGATTTGTGTGAATGGAAGGCCAATCTCCCACCCTACCTGGATTTCTTCCTCATCCCACAGTCGGCGTTGTCGGTGCTGATGAGGAGGCAACTGGCCACGATCAAGACCATGTACGCCCATACGAGCTTGCTGCTGTACCGGCCCTTCATCCTCTACTCCCTCGAGACCAACGCAATCCGCCAGCCAAGCCTGGACCAGTGGGTTGAGAAGTGCCACGACAAGTCCATCAGCGCTGCGAAGATGGTCATCTCCGAGTGTCACTTCCTTCTGCAAAAGGGAATGTTCTCGCGAATATTCTTCATGAACAACTACATCCAGTTCGCCTCAATCGGCACACTGCTCCTGTACACGCACTTCTGGCCCGGCAAGTACGACATCAGAGAAATCGCAGACCGGGCACTGAGCGAGCTCCCCATCGGAGTGGACGGGGACCCCCTCGGCCAGCGATTCCTCGAGGTCCTGCACGAGCTCCACGACCTCACTGGCGGCGCGACCGGAACGGAGGTTGGCCCCCTCCCTCCGGAGCAAGACGGGTTAGCACAGCCCGGCGTGCCCGACTGCAACGCCGTTTCCGAATTCGCCAACCTGCAGGTCCAAGGCCAGCTGGGGGGCGACAACGTGGCATCGCTGGACAATCTCTGGGCGGACCTCAGCGGGCCGTGGACGACCTTGTTCTTTGACTCGACGGCCTACGATGGCTATGTGGGCGGGGATCCTGGGGTCGGTGGGATGACCTGACTCGTTGCTGGGGTTGGGCGTGTATAATGAGCGGGCTCTTGTATAATTTTTTTACGTCATTTTGCGGTTTCCAAACATTAAGCTATCGGGAAACAGTTATTGAACACGAAATTGGTGGGATTTGGACAAAAAGTATATTATGCTCATAACTTCTGAACTATGGTAGGGAGAGAACATTCTTTCTCGTTACAAAAGCCCGAATGACCGAATTTGGACGATCAGGTAGGCGATACCTGTTCACAGCCCGATCCACGTTGGTGTAACTGAGATAGGATGAGTGTCTACCGGCAGTCCGGCTTCATTCGTGATAACTGGTTCTGGTGTAAGGGCTTGCAAGGACGATGAATGAAAAGGTCCAGCAGATAGCTCCTGCAAGTTAACATCAGCTTTAAGAGTCGCCGAGATAGATGGGAAATCTCGAATGCTCACGACAGTTGCCAGTTGATCAGGCTGTGAAGCTACAGACACTGAAGGCATGGTTTTCATGTCTGACCCCGGGTTGGCGTACACCTGGAATTGATCTGGAGCCGGCTCTTCACTTGGACCACACGTTGCACCCATTGGTTCTGGCGGCAGAGGGCCTTGGAAGTTCATTGGTATTGCCGATTGTTGACTCATATCACCGCTGGTGATAATCGCAGGTTCTACGAGGGGAGCAGTCGTCGAGCCTTCAGGATACGGAAGCTGCTGTTGTTCCATGAAAACGGGCTCCTCCAGAATCGAGACTGGAGCCAGGATTTCCTGTGGCTGGAAGTCTGGTCGCTCGCCTCCTGGAAGACAAGATTGATCATATGCTTCCGGGCTGGATATTGGTACTATCGGCTGTTGGTAAGATGATTGCAGGCAAGCATCGGCCTGCTCTGAAATCATTGACTGTTCGCTATGCAGCGGCGGAGACGTGGCAGTTTGCTCGTATAAAACCTGGTGTTCTAAAACCTGTGATTGTTGCTGAAAGTTCTGCTGTAAGATTCCCGGTGGGTACCCTTCTTGACCTGGAGAAAGAGCGGGCTGTTCTTGGGAGATTGCAACGCTTTGTTCAAAGCCGGACTGTTGAACCAGGGGCATGGGCTGCTCATAAACATGCTGCTCGTAAACAGGCTGCCCGTAGAGTGCTTGGTTCCCGACGGGCTGCCCATACAGAGACTGTTCATAGGCTTGTTGTTCATAGGTTTGTTGTTCATAAGTGGGCTGTACATAAGCTGTCTGATTAGAGACAGGCTGTTGGACCACGGGCTGTTCATGATAAGTTGTCTGCTGAAATGTTTGAGTTGGTTGGCTCAAAGAATCATCGACTCTGGCTTCACCAGATCCCACTTCAACCATCTCAGCCTCCTCTTCCTCTTGCTCTTCGTCTAGTTCCTCCTCATCATCATCAGCTTCATCTCCTTCGAGGCCAGACTCTGCCGCTCCCTCAAAGTCTCCTTCGGCAAGCTTCATACCAAGCTTAGCAACCTTCATGATGTTCCGCGCATTGCCCAATTTGCCGAACATCTTGGACATTCCGCCACCAGCTGGCTTTGGGCCTACAACCGCACGGGTGCTGGCTGCCGCAGCCATTGCGGACGCGGATTTTACTGCATCCGCAGATTTGGGCTTTAAGAATTTAGAAGCTGGAGATTGCGCGGGCAACCGATTCGGCCTCGGAGGTTCTCCTGGGCGGTCCCAAGTGGAAAGTCCTAGAGCTTCATTGACATAAAAGCGAACCATGTCCGGTGTCTGTAGCTCTTTCCAGCCATTAGGCAGGGAACCGATTGGTTTGTCCCACCTACTAGCTCCTGTCAGGCCATTGAAGAAATATACACGTCCTTCCGGCGACTTGTGCTCAGCCCACCCAACAGGTAGACCTCCCGACCGGAGGACTGCGCTTGGATTTGGTTTCACGTGTGTGCGTTGTCCTGTAGCTTTGTACATGTACCAGATTGTGCCAAACACATTCCTCCGTATTGTCCAAAGATTTACCGATACCTCAGGATTAGCAGGTAACAAGATAGGCAGATCAGAGTCCGTGACGAAAAAAGCTTTATCGTGACTGTGAGACGTGGCCGCTGAGCCAGATGTGTAGCACCAAACACAAAAGTGCGTTTGGGTCTGGCCTGTGCTACAAATAAGACAGGTATAGACGGAGACATTTGACGGGATGCCTGCGTTGTGTCGTTAGAAACAAGGGTGGGAGGGCATTAGAACTGGCGTCTTCCCTGTTTTGCAGTGATTACATGTTACGAAAATAACACCTCCGCCTAAACTAGTGATGGGTGATGAATGTATTTGTCTGACTGGCGGCGTAGAAGTTTCGAGTATGGAGCTGGTTATCAGTGTCGTTGAACCTGTGGCACTGCTCATAGTTGGAGATTGCGGTTGCCCGCTTGTTGGGAAACTCGAATGATTCGCATGTTGGTATGAGGGTGCATACGCAGTCGCTGTTCGCTGCAAATGGCTTTTTGGTTGCTGATGGGCGCGAATTGGCAAGGTATTGACCCTGGCCAGGGATGGAGGCTGTGTTACTGTTGACTGTGGACGTTGGGTGCCTTGTGGGAAGCTTGTTGGCATTGCTTGGTGAATATGTCCAGATGCGGCAGGGCTCGCTGTTGCTTGCGAGTTGATCTGATTTTGGTTGGGGCTTGATACACCTGAAATCTCGTGCATACCATGAGGAGAAGGGGATGAATATAGAGGCTGTGGGGCCAAAGCTCTAGTAGCTTGAGGGTAATATAGGTTGACATTTGGGGAGGACGACATCGTAATCAGAGAAGCTGGGCGAGGGGCTTGGGGACCTCTGGAGGAAGTTTGTTGACTATTCCCCACTACTTTTCTGGCCAAAGCCTTTCGCTCAATTCCTGATATCGGTTGCTGCGTATATTGGGGATGAGGATGGGGATAGACATTATTGACCGAGATGGACTGGTGAATGGGGGCACCAGGCTCACCAGTTGGTATCTGGCGGGGATCCATCTGTTGTGCCTGTCTCTCTCTGCAGGCCGTCTCGAATGTAGCGGATAGTAATTCTCAAGGTATGACAGGGTTGCCACGCCGCGGGTGGCTACGAAACTGAGAGTTATAAAAGATTTGTAAAAGAAGAAAGGCAGTTTGCGAAGAGCTAGAAAAATATTGGCTTTTGATATATGTAGTCTGATCCTCGCAATGCAGCATTTGCATTAGGAGCACATGTTCGTGATGCCATTTGATTTGTGTTTGCCACCCTTGGCAACCGGTGTGCAGTTAAGGATGCTCAGCTGAGTGCGTGGCGCACACTATCGAAAGCGCTAGTGCCTTGTTTTCACCTTGAATCACCTTGTTTTGCGGAAGCTGAGATCGTCTCACCAATAAAGAACCCCCAGGCAAGGCCTATTGACGGCTAGGCCCAAGTGATCGCCCAAGATGTAAGCATACATTGCTGTGAGTAGCACACTATCTGACTGCAAGATGGCCATTTGCCACTCAGCCGCACCATGCTGGATAATGAGATGTGATCCAAAAGGCGTCTCGGTTGTTTAGTACTTGAGAATCCTGCAGCAGTGAGAAGTTGGGAAACCGTGGGCAATATAGGAAACATTGCCGGCAGTAGACAACTCTCACCATTTGATAGACACTCACGTCTAGAACCCAACCGAGGGAGAGGATTAGCTTTTGGATGTAGGATGCCGTATCTTTGGTGAAAAACATCTTCCCTTTTCTACACTTCCATCTGTTGTTGATGTGATACTAGGTGCCCCTGCATGGCTCGCTCACCGAGAGAATACTGCTACATTCAAGCCCCAGTTGGTGCCACTAATAATAAACGTTTGACCTGGGGAGTGACCGACATAAGGCTCTCTCACCAGTTCACAAAAATTTGTAGCGCCTTTCACGTGCATCAGCTCTCAACTCTATCTCTTGAATCAGAATCCCATTGGGTGCATCAAACTTCGGCATACGAACGGTGAGGAGTTTGGCAGATGAGGGAACATACTCGACAACATACCCCGACACCGAGAAGCTTGAGGCGCTGAGCATGTCCAGGTCATGTTGCTTGATGCGATGTATGCATGGCTGCCCTGCGCGTGGTGCGTCGCAAGGCCTTCAACGTCTACCTATTATTTTACTGCCGAAAGTAATTCCTGAAGCGCAAATCACTGACCATATAAATTGGGCCAAATATAAACCTAATGGAATATCAATCTTGCAACGTCGAAGAATGAAATATCAACCAGCTAGCACCCGATTCGTTCAAGGCCGACACTATCTAGCAAACCATAAAATTAAGGGAATAGATCTTTCAAGACCTGACCGTATTCTGTGTATGACAGTCCCATCTTCTCGATATCATAGTCATTCCAGTAACCACCTCCAGCCAGGCTGCTCTGCGCTTCCCAGCCGGCGAAGCGAGTGCGGGCTTGCGCGGGGGTTGTACCATAGACAGGCTTCGAGTCATTGGTCACCCAGATGAGGGGGACAATTTTGATACCGAGAGTGCTCTCCCAACTAGCTAGGTTATTTCCATAACCGCCGTCATAACACTGCAGGTATACCCTATCAAGCAAATCGCCAACCTGTGTCTTGACGCTCGCCCAGAAACTCGAACGAGTGTACGGGACAATTGTAAAATGCAATCCAATCTCTCCAACCATTTTGGCAAACGTAACGGTGCTAGCCAGATCATAAATGGCTTCGTCATTGTTATTGTAGCCGTCCAGGTTCCACGCCGCCTTCAGCGCAGCGAGGTTGCGATACAGCCTTGTACCTGACCCAGGACCGGGGCTATCCATCAAGTCCTTGAGGTGGATAGAATTGCTGGTAATCTCCACTCGATTGATACTCGTCCCTGGTGCTGACTTGAGTGAAAGCACCTTTTGCGCGAGTGCGGTCCCGCCGACGTAGGCACCGTCCGAGGCTACGAGCACGTCCGAGCTCCCTGCGGTGTTGGAGTAGTACATGATATCGCCATTCTCGAGAAAGCCGACGCCAAACATGAGGACCGTATTGAAGCCCGATGTTTGAAGGGCGGTGGTGTTGGACACCATGACATCCTTGAATAGATAGATGGCCCTGATATCCTCCGCTGCGGTCTCATCACGGGCGATGGCAGCGCCGAATGCGCACCCAACGAACGAGAGCAAAACGCTCACGCAATTTGCGAACTTCATTTTTCAAAACAACGAAACAAATAGGTCAAGCTGAAGGTCAGATGTGTCTTTCAGAGTCTACGGTCTGAATACGAGGTCGAACGGTGCCCGCTAGGATCGGGCATTGCTACCTTCTTATAACACTCTCGCTTTCCGTGATAGGAATTAACCGACGGTCGAGCTGTTATAGCTCGCACATGCCTTTACGAGGCAAGTCCCATCCTCCATGGATTCAGGAAGAGACTCCAGGACTTAGCGAGCCAATAACTCCCATTCCCTCGCTGATAAAATGCAACCTTGCCGGCAGTTGGCTAAAGTACCCCGGCAGTGGGTCGGTTTGATAGAAACATAGTGTAGCCTCTATATCACTCAAGACCATATAATGACGAAATTCAGCATCGGGTATTTCCCGGGCTTGTACAAAAATGTAACTGTACCAGCCAAGGCGACCTTCCATGATCTCGTTTCGGAAGTACAAAACCCATGAATGAGGTGACAATCATACCATCATATACGAAGCTCGGATTTGAGACTCAGTGAACCAAATCCTCCTCCTCCTTTGATAGATATTTGCAGATGATTTTTTAAATATAGCGAAGATTGTTTTCGCTTTGCCGGCAGCGATCATCTCTATCTACTCGCGGATTCGTGTTAATCATCATTTAAGTAGTACTGCCGGGTTGACCCATTTTCATGCTTAGAGAGAATTATTAATCAGAGAACTACCAACGACCTTCCCCATCGAGGCAACTGTTCCGAATACAGTGTGTAGAAGGTGAAACTTGATCGTAAGGGTTGATTCTGGTTGGGATCAAGTAGCCAGTTCAAGCTTGCGAGCATCGATATCTTGCTTGGAAGCCTCTCCCGGCAGTGCGCGCGTATTGCTAAGAAGGACTCCGGCATAATGACATCGGGGGAGCAAAAGTAAAATAAACAAGATCAAAACGGAGCGGCGACTAGGCACTGCCTCTTATCACAATTTCCTTCACCAGCCGAGAGGAGGAATAGCACTTAACTACCACGAAGGAAGGACGACAGACTATCAATATAAATCTACTGTCGTGAAGGTAATGCCAAGAGTCTTTTCATCATGCATCATGCCGTGAACAAGAGTTGCCCCAATCACAGTCATGCCCGCAGGACGAGTCGCTCGTCAGATCACTATATATTCTACCTTCTTTCACCCAGCTACCACACACATAGCTTCCGTCGTTCATCTTCTATCACACCAATCCAAACACTTCAGCCAAACTCAAAGCTTTTCGACTTACAAGAATACCAACCTAGTGAGTACCAGTAGCCCCTTGGCCAGAGCATTTGAACTCACACGTGCGCAGCCTTCGTTGTTTGTCCCGACGATAAGAATCATGCCAGACCCATAGATCTCGGTGCCTTCTCTCAAAGGAAGGCAATCAAATTAACTGGACCGAGGTTAAAAAAACCAAGATCAACACCAGCGATCTAAAATATGTTGGCTATGTGATACTGCTGTAATGACCTGGCCTTGGGCACAAGGAACACCCGGCACTCCAATCCGTCAAACTCTATTGCTGAGACGGCATTAGCATCGATCTCATCATCGGGCACACGCCCAAGAATATCCTGGCCAGACTTAAATAAAACTTAGATCTGTTCCACAGATATATTCTTCAGCTGTATCAGCTGTTGGTCTTGTTCAAGGTCTTCAAAAGACTTAACCTGATCAAGGGCCGCCTTCGCATAGCCAACATATTTTGGTTGGCTGGTGTTGATCTTAGGTTTTATAACCTCGGTCCAGGTAATCCCATTGCCATCTCTCAAAGGCACCGAGATCCGTGGGTCTCAGACTCGACGTATTCCACTAGGCGGCCAGAATACTACCTGTATGAATAAGGGTTGTAGGATCATTATCGGTGAGTCGTTTGTTGCCCCACGTTTAAGTTACTATATGCTAATTCCCTTTCATAAGGAGCCCCGGGTGAGGTGCTTATAGACATGAGTATTTCATATTGCCTATCTATCCTATCAGGTTCAGAATACTACTATGGTTCCATTTGGAGTCAATTATTGCGGCGAACGTATGGTTAGTTTAAAAGGTCGGTAAGCAGAAGTACTTATTGATCGTCATTAAACGACATTTTTTCTAGGCGATTCATCCCACTCGTCGTTTTCTATTTGGGAAAGACGGCTCATGTTATCCGCTATACTCCGGTATCTGCGTCGGCTCGTCAGGGTTATACAGCCATGTGTCGGCTTCGTACTGGCTCAAGGCCCTCAATGGATGGTCGGAAATGTGACCGTAACAGCCAGATGGACAATGATTGAGCGGACGTTGTACAGTAAAAAAAATATAAATTGGGAAATCATCAACGGGCTAGTGTTTCTCATCAGTTGTGAACTAGATAGGTAGTCACCAGGGATGGAAGCATTCATGTGCCCCCCCTAATCAGTAAGTGTGATACGTCTGGCCAATGAAATACAAGGTGTTATCATTCCCCAACCAAAGGAGAAAGTGCTGTCTGCCTGAATGGTGGAAGTTAAAATGAGC